GGAAGCAGTCGGTCTGTGCAATACTCTATCTGGAAAAGCAGAAATACTTTGATCATATCTTTGAGAATATCAACTCAGACGACCTTCCTCTAAAATGTCATCAAATCAACTTTCACACACACATACATATATATATATATAATGTATGTGTATATTTATATGCATAGATATATACTGTATATGCTCTCCATCTTTACACATATATATATACATATATATATATATATATATATGCTACATATATATCTTCATATATATATGCTGTCCATTTTTGTTTTGATACACTCTTATGTTCTAGACCTATAGAGTAAATATACCTACAATATAAACCAGATTAACTAGACTTCTGGTTCACAGACCAGGAACAGCCACTGCTGTTTACAATGCAAAAAGAGGATATTAAACAAACAAGTAGCTCTTTCACATTTGAATGCTAATATATTTTGTTACACAGACAACCATTCTTCTTCCTAATGCTGGCTGGTCCAGTAGCCTGTCAGTGCTTAATTAATTTGACTAATTTGACTAATTATTCAGGTATAGTAGCCGTGTTCTTCTGGTCCTGTAACCCACCTGCTGCCATGTAGAGCACTGCCAGAGCCAGATTTATGACGAATTCAGTCAGTGGCCACCAGTTGGAGTCCAGGAGGATGGTGCGGTAGTACATGGTCATCCCCAGCACCAACACTATCACGGTGACCAGCCAGGCCAGCCCTGCCACCACCAACACAAAGGGAGTCTTGGGGCCAGTATAGTAGGTCCCACCAGTGCCCGCACCATAGAAACCTGCACCGTAGGCTCCACCGGGAGACGAGTATCCAAACATGTTGAACCACTCATTGTCTTTGTGGACGTAGGCACAAACACAGGCAAACACAGCAGCTCCCAGCAGGAGCTCCACACAACCCAGAATCCTCAGAAGTCCAGCCCACGACTTCATGAAGGAGTAGCGCTGATGGTACTCCTCCACGCGCTCACTGTAGGTCAGCCCCGTGCGGTACGTGCGCCCTGACTCAGATTCCTGCACTTCCAGGAGCTCCTTCCTGGAGTTGTAGCTGCCGCCTGAGCCGCCGTACGGATCCCGGTAGGATCCAGGAACAGAGGGGGAGTGCGGAGGAGAGCATCGAACACCCTCGCTGGTGCTGTTGTTGTTGTACGAGGACGCGGGCATGACCCACGGCTTGTTGCTGCTGCGGTTGCTTCCTCTGAAAAAGTTCTTCCAGGAGTCGGGGATGAAACGATGGACTGGTTTGATGTCAATGGCCGGGTCGTGTTCTGGTTCGCCGTTGTGCTCACTGCCACTGGGATCAACCTCAGGACCCACAGGAGGATGATCCGGCAGAGGTGGAGGCGGGAGGGGGTCCGCACTCTGGGCCAAACCAGGAGCTCTCTGCTCCCTCAGCGGCTGCACATTGAACCAGTCCTCTCGGGGTAAGGAGCCATGTGGCACTTGGTCGTAGTGGACACGCTCAGAGTGTCCTTGAAAGCCTCCTCCATAAGACATGGGGGTAGTGGTGGTCCCTGGGGGCAAACACACACAAAGGATCAGACAGGTGGACCATGAAGTTAGAAACTTGTTTAACACTGAAATGATTTACTACTGACATGATAATGTAATGACATCAGCATCTGAAAATAACTGAGTATTTAAATTATAATTAAAAGTTTTTATTTATGTTCTCAAATTAAATTTATTTTAACTTAAAATTATAATTAAAATGATCAGCTTATTACCAGCCTCTAATCCCTGTCTGGATTCATTATGAACATGACTGTTTATGGCGAGTCAAAAAAAATTCAATATGAGACCAGTATTGTAACTAACTAGCACTTTTTATTCTTAACTTTTTTACTGCAATTTTAAATTTAAAATGACAAAATATTAAATGGCTCAAATAAAGCTGGAAAAAAATGGACTACAGAAGTGGCATTCAAAAAATTAAAATCAGAATTCACATTTTCAGTTATCACTGCTGGATTATCAATGGATATTTGGTTGTTTTTTAATATGAATAAATATCACATTTCAGAGAAAAAAAAAACAATTTAATTTAAAAAGACCTTTTTCTGTGACACTATTAAACGTGTGTCAAATATTTTTACATATTTCTTGTCCAGACACTGAAGCAGCGAGTGGTTGATTTCAGTAACAGAACTCAGTCTACAACTATTAGAGCAAACGATGGAAAAAAAAAAAAATCATGTACCAGACCGATGAGGAAAATAAATGAGGGCCAACCTACAGAGGAAAGTATCACCTACAGACAGAACCCCATAAAGCAGAACCTTCATGAGTGAAGATGGAAATCCCACTATCACCAAGCAAACAGAGTGAAGAATGTATTTTCATGCTGCCACCAATTTTTTTTAAAAAGAAACAAGTCAAGATCTTCATCTTGCTATTGTTACAATGGCTCAAAAATGTTTCCTTTAGAGCCAACTGTTATAACAGTAGTTATTGCAGCCAACACTCAAATACATTCTTAACATCCAACCATCCCATAGAGTCCCAACTGTGGAAGCTGATTTGATCTGGAGAGGTAAAAAATATGAACCGTGCTTGAATACCTTTCACACGCAGTCACTCAACACGACTTACATTGGTCTGCAGGTCAGAATGCAAACCTGGTATGAATGCAGGGTTTTACCAAGGATTCACCTGCAAAGAGCAAAGAAATGGACAACATGTCAATCTAGGACAGGGGTCAGCAACGTGGTGTCGCCCTGGACTACCTAAGGTGCCCGCCAGGTACGTTTTAAAAATGAAACTTTTTTAATCAGTTCCACAGTGCAGTGATATTCAAATGGGTGCAAAGACGATGGTGAGAAGAGTGTCTGTTATTGTCTGTCCCAGAACTGATTATTATTACATTGATCGAGGAGGCTGTATCAAACAACTATCTTTCCGTATTAGTTTCAAAATGGTTGTTGACTCCTGATCTAGGAGCTTTTAACTCAGGTGTTCTTAATGTTCAGGTTACAGTAAACTCAGATTATATGTATCTACTGTATAACATTAGGTTGTCTAAAATCTATTTCAAGAAAAAATGTTTTTTTTACCATTTATGTCCCCAATACAAATACGATAGCATATATTATACTATACTGCAATATACTGAGTTTTTTTTAAACCAATTTAATTGCAGGAAAACTGTCAACGTAGTAAACCCACAATGTTGTTACATATTTAACATCACGTTACTAAAACTGGAACAGAGGGATCTACGTTTGTAATCACTAGTGAAGAATATTTACATGTTAATTGTTAATAAAACATTGATACAGTGCTTTAAAATACAGATACCGTATCGTAAAACAAAGTACTGTGATATTTCAGTGTATCAATATTTTCCTACACCACTTGTACATATTAAGAACAGCATAGAATAAAATTTTTCAAATGATTATTCCAGAGCACATTAGTACAAAATATCATTGTAAAAGCTTAAATGATGTAACAATGTAAATAGTATATATAAATACAGGATTCATCTTAATAGTAATGCATTTAACATAAATATCACAATAATTCACACTTAATCAAGTAGTACTACGGGACAACAAGTAAAGTTCTAGTCTCATCTTCCATGTCTGTTCATACACTTTATTGTGTGAGGATTTGTACTCAGTGCCTCCGTGTGCATCAGTTTAACTGGTGTAACTGAGGTTAGGGAACTAAAGAAGCAACTTTAATAACAACTGCCACAAGTCCATCAAAGTTTTGATAACTGGACACACCTCTATGTTATTGTTTATACTGAAAGACGTGAGGCTTTAAAGAGTGTGTGTACAATGTCTCAGAGTTCTTTCTTCTGGGAACAGTATAGGACACCATCGTCCATGTGGATAAGAAGCTCTAACTCTATAGTGTCAAATGTCCAGCATCGAAGTCGTTGTCAATGTAACCGGTGCATTTCAATGACATTTCCAGCACTTTAGCCTCTACGTCATGTCTATAAGTTAGTCTGTCTTAATGGGACCCGTCACTTCTTATAGATGCGTTTTATTAGCTATAATAAAACGTATCTTTAGGATTGGATTTGACGCGATAGTTTTAGCCCCGGGACCACAGAGACACTGTCTAGGTTAGACAGTGTAGGGGTCTGGCACGGATCCAGCTTCTCTGTCCGGTCAAAGTCCGCCTAAAAAAATAACTTCAGCTCAATTTGTGAATTTGACTACGTTCTGTGTCTGATACGTCGCTGATATCATCAGTTGCTGTTCATTAGCAGTTCGACAGCCGTGGCGGAAGCAGAGGTAAACTTTTCCTCTGGATTCCCCTCGGCGCGTTTCATTCGACTTCTCGAAAACACGTTCATGGTTTGAAACAATACAAAAAAATAACTTTCTGTGAATCCACAAAAGACTGAAACGCGGCGAGGAACGCAAAAACCGTTAGAAAGCACAGAACCAATGTGTGTCCTACCTTGTTCGCTTCCTTTCTTTCCTCACTCTCTCCTTCTTCCTTAATTCCTCTGTGTTCAGTAACGTTACACCACAGGTTGCTCTCGGTCACCACGTGACCTGCCCATCCCCGTGACGTCACCGTGACTGGGGAACAGCTTACCTGTGTGTGATGATTCTAAGGTAACTTCACGCCTGATACTGTGAAATATAAAGATGCTAAAACGCATATATTTAGTATATGCATATATGTATACATATACATACAGGTATACAGTATGTGTGTACTTATATAAACATATATGTAAATGTACATACATACGTATATGTGTGTATATGTGGCTGTCTTATTTATGACTTATTTTTAATTTAAATTTGTATTAATCATGGTTCATTGAGATTATTTTTCCTAAATATGACTAAGTGATAATATTACTTGTACACTAGCTTCATATATATCACAGCCTCATACGCTGCCTTATGGAAAATCATAACAAAAGGTACTTGTTGAAATTCTAAATGCAACATCAGAGCAAAACTTACAGGTTGTGACTTATTCTTGACAAGTCAAATTATGTGCAGTTTAAAAACAAACACGAGTCTCATGTAACTGATAAAATGATCACACGTTTAATGTGGAAACAATGAAAAGTCCCACAGACAAGAGACAAGAGATTTATCTGAACCAGTACTGGTGTTGTACCAACAGAACAGACACACACACACACACACACACACAGTACAGTAAAGGGAATGATTGGAATTTTAAAAATACAGCATCAGTAACATCAAGTTTTAAATGACACGGTCAAGAGACAACGAGAACAGCAACGATCACGTCCAAGTCCATATTTACTAGTCAGTCAAAAATATACTTCATCCCAGTATATTCCATTCAGCTGTCATTAACGTGCACTCATATATTGCTAGCAGGCCAAAAAATGTTTTTTTTAAATTTCTTAATAACATTTTCTATATACATTTTCACGTCTTACTACGATATATTGAAAGGTTTTAGATTTGAAATACAACTGCATGATTTATTGTAAATTGTTGACGTGTATGGAGAAAAATAGAACAATACATTTACTGTTTCACCTGATAAAATATACTTTATTGGGTTTTGGGAAATCAGTATTTATTTTTAGTATCATTTTTAATTCATGGTTATTAGCGAATATTATTTTGGATTGATTGGGATAAAAAACTCCAAATTCATTTATATTTTATAAATAATTATTTCATTGCTATTGCAAAAACTGTCACGTGTCACAGAAACAAAATAAAATATAATTAATTAATAGATTTGTTGTGCATTTTCTAACAACAACTATTTCTAAGTAAAATTATATAATTCTACTGTAGCTTTTAAAGGTCTAATAAACAATAATACTATGTTGTACTGCAATACTACAGTTTATCACATCACATCAAAATAATGTGTAACACCTAGTAGGTAGGTAAAAAAAATCTTTTTTTGGCATGACAGCAACACGTTTCCTTCTGTAGGTGTTAAAATGAGTCAGAGCTGCAACAGAAAACACTTTATACGCAGAGATTTAGACTGTAATGAATGACAGCATTTCATGTTGAACACAACAACACAGATACAGTATTAGTACACATGAATATACAGTATATTGCATAATGTTAGGTTTCTTTTCCTTTCGTCAAGTATCACTAGAGTCTACCCAGGGTAGGAGGAATGGCTTTTATAAGTGTTATTATTATTATCATGTGCATCAGTTACAGCGAGATCATCCAACAGAGGTTCGAGGAACAGAAAGTCACTCAGTGTAAACACTGACGATATGTCTCCACGTACATGTGAGAGCTGCTGACAGGTGGCTGCCCCGTCGACGACATCTGCTCACAGCTTTTCTACCACAGGAACGGAGCGGCTCCTAACTTGACCTTTTGTTTATTTATTTATTTTTTAATTTTTAACTGTATTAGAAAACTGTCAAAAGCTAACCTAAGCTAGAAAATTTTAAAAAAAGCATAAAACAAGGTGTAAATAAAAGATTAATTAAAGCAGTGGTTCCAAAGTGGGGGCATGGTGCTCCTGCAGAGCCAATTTTTTTTTAATATCAGTATTTTTATATTTGGACAGAACTGTAGTCTTATTTCCTTTTTCCAATACAACTACAAGTTTCATAGTAATAATTCAACATTCTAGAAGGCTTCTTAATCAGCAAATTAACTCGTTGGTTAAAGTATCAAAGGAGCGTCCATCAAAGGCTTAGAAAACCAATTCACAGGATATTGAAGTGTTTTCAAGCTGTGAACATGTCCAAATGGGACTGCTCAGCAATAGTCCTATCTTCACACGGGGCGTGCTGCAGAGAACAATGTGGAACACTGCACTAAAGGATCAGAGGAAATTAAAAGTTAAAAATTAATGTCTAGTTTTTTTGGTCCTTTGAACTGCAGGTTTGTGAGGGTCGCAGACACTGGATATGACTTTTTCTCCTAATAGAAAATGATTAGACTTCTGTTGGTTTTCAGAACCTGAGTAGGAAATGACAAACTGTGACTCTGTGTATGTGAGCTAAACAACAGGTTTTGGTTAGTGTGATTAACAGATAGACTCAGTGTGTGATTGCTGTTACACTGCTGCTGTGACAGGTGTGTTATATGTCAATCATTACTGTGGTTTTGGTCGTCACACTGTCATTTAAACCAAAAGAAGAAAAATCCCAGCAGTGAAACATTTGAATTCTCAACATATAGGTGACGAGCCGACAAGTTCCTGTGATAAAAAAGTTTGTGAGACAGATTTGACGTAAAGTCTTGTTCTAGAAGGTGTGAAGTGACTGGCCTTTGAGAGTAGGCATCTAAACCATGCAGTTAAAAAGACTTGAAATCCTGTTATAAATATGTTCTCTGTTTTATGATCTGTTACAGTAGATATTGTTTCTTAAAGTCATGAGATACTTCTTAACACTAGGTTTTTCTTAATGTTGATTGATTTCTGCATTGATTAAACATTTATCTTAACGACGATAATTCATGTAGAACTGAAATGCAAAGATTACAATTTATTTGATCAATAAAAAACTGCCTAAAACTCTACAATCTTTGTTCTGTTTTTAATGATAGGGAGGTGGTGCTGATCAAATACTACGATATCTATAAAGTGCATTGAAGTAAATACCAGCATAGTGACATAACTTTAAAGACGACAACAAATTGTTTGAACAAATACTATATATAATATATATACATAGATTTATAGTATTAACCTATGATTGCTGTCTTTATGCAGAACAGTGGTTTCCAAAGTGGGGGGCGCTCTCCGCTAGAAGGTGAAGAGCGATCGGGCGTAGGCAGCGGATTTTCATGGAACAGTGAGAAAATGAACTGATTTGTAATTTTATTCTGTTTTTTTTTCAATGAAATGATCACAATTACAGTGTTTTTGTTGTGTGAATGTGGAGGATTTGGCTCCACGACAGGGGGATGGACGGGAGGACAGAAGAACTTTAGGAACCACTGCTCTACCATGACAGTGTTTGGTGAGAACAGCATCAGAAGAAAATACTTAAAGGGTGAATCCAGCGCCTCCTCCAGGTAAAGCTAAACGTTGTCATTTACACTGAAGTGAAATAAAGACCAAGTGTGAAACTCAGACAAAGTCCATCATAAATTCTGGAATACTTATCATAGTGAAGACGGACCAAAAGTGCCAGAGCGCTGTCTTAAAGGAGCAGAGTGGGACACACAGCACCTGCGTTTGTATTGCTTTGTAGGAGCGCTTCACTTGAACACAGTGGAGTTGCGGTGGAAGATCCTCAGTAAGGAATTTGGTTCTGGTAATACTGCAGCATGTCATATGTTTTACTCCTGTACAGGGAAAAAAAATTAAATAAACATCTGGATGAAAATGCTTCTTGATGTCAGTGTTAAAACTGCAGGGTCAATTTTGTAATGACGTAATATTGATATTTAAGTGAACTGCAGGGTCAATTTTGTAATGACGTAAATATGTAGCAGTGTTAGCATTTGTTGATATTTAAGTGAACGTGAACTCCTTGTCACTGTGACACAGCTCACCACTGCACACAACCAAATGTGACCTCGGCTTTAACCCATCACCAAAGTGAACAGTGGGCAGCTTTAAGTGAGCTGAGGGACTCAAACCTGAAACCTTCCAGACCCAAGTCCGCTTCCTTAACCACTAAGCCACCACTACCCCTTATTGACTAATAAACAAACTTTTCAACAGACTTGGGTTTGGCAAAATAAGGAGACAATGTCATCGTTCTCAAACTTGATGCAGTCTCGTACAAGAGGAGCCGATTGGACGAGGGCAGCAAGTACGCAGTAATACGGTACGTGAGTACTGCAGCAGAGTAAGTGAAGCATTCTGATGAGTAATGCTAACGTACGTGGTGATGTAATAATGACCTTGAGTTTGAACAGACATGTGGTTGTGTGTGTTGTACTGTTTGCTCCTTCACTCACCTGCTACTGAGGAAACAGCTTTGAATGACTTTGATCATGTACGCTGCTGCTTCTTTCTCACTCATTTGTGGATTAAACCTCCCCCTAATTTAAAGCAAACAGACAGTTATATACAGGTCTATGGTACAAATACACAGATTTTTTTCCCAAGTTTGTATTTATATTTTTATCCTCCTGTCAGGTTAGTTTCTCAAAAACAGCAACAAAGATCCTGGAATAATTTACCACAGAGCAAGTTTAACTAAACCTGACAATGTTTTAGCTTCATTTATAACCATTTCAATGAATCTTTAAAGCAATCGTGTCATTTACCTCACACAGATCCTGGTTCAATTAGTGATGAGTGACTAAAAAGATTTTTCTTTTTTTTGTTTTTTTTTTACACTTTATAATTTTGGAGCAAAGCTTAAAAATAAAACAAATTCACACAACCAATCATATTTGTTTTCCATCAGTTTGTTAATTTTTTTAAGGTTTCAAAATATTTGCTTAAAAACAACTACACACACACACACACACACACAGACAGTACTGACTTGAGGAGTTTAATGGTTTGTCCTCTGAAGCACGGCAGCCCAGTGTCCAGCATGAGCGTCACCAGAGAAACAACTGCATCCATGTAGGGTCTGTAGGTGTGCAGAAGTAAACATACAACAAAAGCATTTATATTATTTAATATGTTTGATTTTTACTAATTCATACCACTGTTTGTTATTATCCACCAACAAAATAAAACTCACCGCACAGCTAGATATCCTCTCACACACATCTCCATGAACCATTTAAAGGGCGTGGCCTCCATCTTTCCTCCCATGATCATCACCATCTCGTCGGTCAGCTTGATGTCTGGCTCCCAGCCCAGGTTTCCACCTGGAGAGCTCTCAAACATGAAGCCGAAGTCTGCAGGAACCAAGGAAATCGAATTTGTAAAAAATGCTGCTGGAGGGTCGTATCCTATATGGACTCCAGAGCGGTCAGCCAATCAGGACTGGCATGTAGTACAGCAGCCATGTTTTAAAATGCATGATGGTGTTATTTATAAAACACATGTCAAAGTAATTGCTCCTCTATTAAGTTATACAGTATATGACTTGAGTCTGGACCAGTGATGGAGTATGAGCTGCATTAGGGTATTGTCACACTTTTTTTTTTACAATTTTTATACAATTGTAAAATAAAAGACAGTTTTCCTCCTGATAAATATGCTAATCTAATCTCAGATACCTATGTGGATGAGGTGACCCTTGCTGTCCAGCATGATATTGCCATTGTGTCTGTCTTTAATCTGCAGCAGGAACAGAAGAAGGCTGTAGGCGGCCATACTGCGAATGAAGTTATACCGAGCCTGGAGAAGGAGAGAGAAAAATGATGCTTGTGCTTGTTGAACCTAAATGGGTATATGGAGTCATATATTTATAAATAATAGGTAAATACAAGAAATAAAAGACTGGTTAAAACTTTCACACCTTCTGAAATGCCAGAGTGGATTCATCTCCATACTGGTTACGGAAGTAATCGTACATCCCAAAATCCGTCTGTCTGCCCAGCTGGTCTCTGGACTTGCAGTCTGGAATGCACTCAATGACTCCGCACTGAGAAAAAGAAGCAGTTCATGAAACCAACTTTATTTTCATGTACACTACATAGAAGTGTTTAAAGAGTTTCTCATTTCTAGGCAAAATATAGTCAATAAAGAGAGAGTCACCCCTGGTGCAGTAGCCACCACTCTGTATGGGAAAACAAACAGATCCAGTCCGACCAGTTGGAAGATGTTCTTGAAAAGTCCAATGATCTGCAGGGCGAGCATATCCTTGAGAATGAAAAGGAACACAAGAGAGTCAGCGGGAAATCCACAGAGGCGAGCGAGGCACAGAGGAAAGACTGGACACACCGCACCTGTCTGCAGTCGTCTCCCACTTTAAAGATGGCAGCCTGCCAGCAAACTCGCCGTGAAGCCTCTGAATTTTCCTCTCCATCCTCCAGGGGGTCGGAGGGGTTACGGAGCCCCTCTCTCTCTAATTCACTCACCCCACAGCGCTTCACCTTGAACTTGGCCAAATATGGTGCCTTAGCTGCACTGTGGTGATAAAATCACAGAGTCACAGTAAGAAAAAGACAACAACAAAACGTGTCTCTGGAATTAGAGGTGCGTGAATGCTGAAGCTGTCCTTACCTCTGCATTGGTGTTCCAGATTTGTAGTCGATGTCCAGGACTATGGCTTCAGGGTTACTGGGCAGGTAACAACCTAGAACACCAACAGATGTCACTTATGAAATGTGTTATTATTGTTGGATTTTATACAGTAATATGGGATATAACCAACATATTTTAGGTCATTAACAAATGAAACAGTAGCTGCTAAAACAGGATCAATAATGACCAGAGGAACCTGGTACCTGGCTGGACTTTAATGTCTGACAGGGCTTTGAGACAGGCTCGTTTTCTCTCCTCCCCCTTTGGAACGGGTCTGAAACCAAAAACAAGCAAATATTTCAGCATCTCCTTCAGAGAATCAGCAGTTAGAGGTACGGTCCAGTCGGATGAACTCACTTGATAATGGCAGACACGTTGGTGATCTTATTAAAGAAGTCAAACTCTCTTTGATAGAAGTCTTTGGCCGGACCTGATAGTGAACCTGTGATTTCCTCAACCATCTGCTCCAACAACTCCCCGATATCAGCTGCAGACACACAGACGGAGGTATAGGACATTTGTTAAAAAACAACTTAACATGGGATATTAGTAACTTTCAATAAAAAAAATAATTAGAAAAAAAAAACATTCTCGATGCATGATTTCAGTGCCAAAAAGTAATTTACTGTCATTTACCTAAAACAATATCTCCTACAAAAGAGGAATTACTGTCCAGTGTCTTGCGTTTACTCACGATCTTTTTGGTGTCCCTCTTCATCCATAAATATGTTGGTCTTCATGTTCCAGATGAACTGGTGGGCCAGAAGCTGGGACTTCTGTGCAGCCCACAGGATGTACTCTCTCACGTAGCCCATCTGGGCAAGAGAAAAGCAGGTGAGTTGTAGTTTCCACATACAACACTAGATGGCTGCAAACATTTGTTAGGCAGCAGATAACAGGAGCTCATGGCGGATTGTTGTTCACCTTGTCATAACGGAGAGCCTGCACAATCTGAGGGATGTAGAACAAGATGGCGTCCTAAAAGAGAAGAAAAAAAAAAATAAACCCAAATGTTTTCTGTCAGTGTCAGTGGAGTTCAGAGGTTAATTCTCCAGGAGCATGACTTACTGGAGGAAAGGAGCGCAGCACTTTCACCCCATACTGAGCTGTCAGAGGGTGAGGAGGGTACATACTGCTGAAGTAGGACAGCCCTGTGGGGGGGTCTGCTGGGGCCCAGCACAGGATGTGGCTCAGCTCAGGAGAGTCAGCATCAATGGTGTGCCATGTCACCAGGAACTGATCAAGTCAAGTCACAAGAAAGTGTAATAAAAACCGGGACATTCCAACAGTTACCTGCTGAGGCTTGAAGGACTGTGACCTCTGACCTTAACAGCTTCAGGTAGGTCACTGACTGCCCCAGGGTCCAGTCGCACCAGGCGGGTCACTTCAGTAACAATGGCGTCATTTTTAAACCTGGATTTTAAAAAGATAGAAACAAATTTAATTGTGAACAATGCTGGTGTTTATTACAGGAATATATTTTTATATTATGGATCAGTAATAATTTGATTTGATTTGTTTCTATCACTATATATAATTATAATTTCACATCCCCTCTGAATACTGGATATCCAACAGTGACCTCTATATGTTTTATAATATAAAATAAAAAATATATTTTTGGGGGAGCCAACCTTGCAGGTAACTGTACAGCCAGGTAGGGGGCGATACTCCAGGCCAGGTTGACGTTGTCCTTCCACTGTTTCTCAGTGAGACTGATGTATTTGGACCTCCAGTTGGCGATGCTGGTCTCCACCGACTGCTCCGTGGTGATAGCCAGCTCCTGAGTGGACAGAGGGTTGTACCACGTGGTCAGCCGCTCGATCTCACTGGCCTAGAAGTCCGGGTGAGACAAAGAACGAGAGGAGAGTGAGACATAACAATGAGCAGACTTTACATTTAAAAAAAACTAAACAAAACAACAAGGACTCACCAGTAAGGCTAGCAGCAGAGTTCTGCGCTTCATGTAGTATTTGTGAAGCTGTGTTCCTCTGTTGCTCTTCTTGGATGTGCCTGAATGGAGATCACATCACTGTCAGTGGACGAACAGGAAGTGGCTGCAGACCTGCCTGTTATTAAACTGTTATACACTTGACCAGGGTCATGATTTTACCAGTTTCAGGTCTCAGGCTCCGTGAAAGCAACACTCAGTCTCACACTTCATCTGCACTTTGACCTTTGTGACGTGACCTTTCCCACTGGGCTTTTATTGTTATGTTTCAACATTCAACATTTAAAGCAGAATGAAAGAAGCTGATTGTCACGGCACACATGATCAGTACCTGATTTCTTGGATGTGGTGGACATGCCACTAGACAGGGGGTAGGTGTTGATCCACCCCTGGCCACTCTGCTGGGACCGGGCACTTGAGTCCAGATTGTTCCTGAAGTCAACAGCATTCATCACAGACAGGCTGTTCAGGGAGGGGTCCTGGTTATCTGCACAGACAGGATTTGACACAGTATAACTCTCTTCCTCTCTGTTTTTATCACAATCTCCTACAAAAACTCAACAGTCCTCGATAGGAAAAAGGACTATTAATAAAATAATAACAGTACAATAACAACAGTCACTGACTACTTACAAACAGTAAAATAATCAATACAATGAAGGAGTAGGTGAAGAGTGAAATGAGTTGTCCTGTTGAAATGGTCATGTAAATCCACAATGACATCGAGGATTTAAAATGGGCCGCTGTTCACTGATGCTGATCTGATCCAGGATCTGTGAACAGTGTACCTGAAGCGGTTTGATGTAAATGACAATGAGACCAGGTGTGTTCTCTGAGACGTCGGAGATGAATGGGAGACTTTTGAGAGATTGTTTTTTTGCGGCGTGGAACAAAGGATTCTTTTTCACTTTGTAGTTCCTTCAAATGACCCCAAATTGGTCAGTCTGGGAGAGGGGCAGATTGGCGGGCTGACGTGATGAAGATCATGCATCTTAACGCTGCTGGCAAATTTGCACTTCTTCTCACAGCTGCCAAACATTTAAAAGGTAAAACACAAACTGACTGTGGTCAAAATTAGAGAAGAGTTCACTACAAGAGAAATGAAGAAAACAGGTAGAAAGTAAGGGAAATATGACGGATGCTAACCATGCTCCAAATACAACAGATCCGTGGATCTGTCTGCAGCCTGCTGAGTAAACTAAGTGACAAATTTGCCAGGCGTATAAGCATGCCGCTACTGCGGAGCAGTCAGAGCTCCACCGCTCAAGGCTTACTTAAGAGAGATATTGGAGAAGTGCTGGACACGATTAGCGATCCGAATATCCCGGCAGAGAGTGTGCTCGGGGCCGGAGTGCTGCCAAGCTCACCAGATGGAACCAAGAGACACGCTGCTAGGTACTTCTTGTCCGACAGGATGCTGGCATAGAAGCGGATGACCACACTGATGTCCTCACGGAGATGATTGTCTCCTTGAGTGGGAAACTTGGGCAAAACACTGGGATAGAATAAAAGGATAAAAACGCAAAGTTTGTCGATTCAGAATTGGATACAATGACATTTATATTTTACTTTGACTTGATACAAAAGTCACTGTAAGTGAAGGACAGTTTAAAATGAAAGGATTTGTAGTTTTTTTTGTGTGGTTTAAAATGAAAGGATTTGTAGTTTTTCTTTTCATATAAATTAATATGTACTTGTAAAACCTGTTTTGAAATGGTGTTAAAATGAAAACAGGATTATAAAATAATTACAATGTTACATATGATAATTACTGAAAAATAAGAATCTAAATGTTTCTGTAAATAAATATTTTGCACAAGGTTTGTATATGATGGTCATAGTTATCATTGGATTTAACATGATGAGGTCTTTCTGTTTCCTCTGTTCCATAGTTCTTAGATAAGAATTAAATTGTTTTTACAGAAAAACAGACAAACCAGGAGCTGTACATTCAAATGTATCAGACGTGTTTGTGTGAGTACCTGAAGTAGTCGAAGGCTGTGGAGTAAATCTTCTCTCTGAGTACATTGCGTACAGTGGCGTTGGTGACGACGTCTGAGTGGAGCAGAGCCAGACCCAGAGTCAGCAGCCTGGAGACCAAAGGAGACCCTCACTTCAAACACACACACCATGACCTTCACAATAGAAGCATGTAACACTGTGTTCATTTTTATAAAATACATTTTGATTTGTATTTTGTCTGCTTGTTCATTTATATTTTTACCATATAATTATTAGCATTTATACCACCAGCTACTGCTTTAGAGCTCCATTTGACTGTATTTTAAACGCTGTATTTCCTATAAACTGTGGTACAAAAAAGAAAATATTGAAATAAAAACTGATTTGCCTTGCTGTGCTCCTCCACCCTCTTTAATTGCTCTGTGCCCTCCACTTTGGGAACCGCTGTCTTACCTGAATCGAGGTCCAATGGCGGCGACATGGCGGTTGAGGCTACTCTTGGCCCCGCCTACGTTAAGGGACAGTGAGCGCTGAAGTAAAGTGTAAAATATTTCCACTTGATCTGCGCTGGAATATTTGGCAATCTCAAACCTTTGGACAAGAAACTAAAGAGAAACAACTAAAGAGAAACAATGCACAAAGAAGAAGCAGTGAGTGAGGAGAGCAGAAGAAGAAGAAGAAGAAGAAGAAGAAGAAGAAGAAGAAGAAGAAGAAGAACAACAACAACAACAGAGAAGGCCAGAAGAAGTCCAACCTCAACCCATATCTGGTGAGGAATGACGTCTGGAGGGCAGGGCACAGGCTGGCTCTCCTCTGACGCAGCCAGTGGATCGGCCTCCACCTGTTCATCTGAGAACAGGCCCATCCTCAGCTCCACTGTCATCTGCCACGCTCCTGCCATCTCACGCATAAACTGAAAAAAAAAACAACAGCAACATTGACGTGGTGGTACTAGAAATGTACACATGTGTGAGAGAACAGTTCTAGTTCACGTACCGGTACTTCCACTCCGGCACGTGCTGCCAGCAGCCACTCCCAGCAGGCAATGGCCGTTTCCATGCCATGCTCTGTGAACATCTTGAGAGGAGACCAGCAGAGATGGTGCAGCAGCTGAGGGTCACATTCTGTCCAGCAAGAACGAACAAAGAGTCAACGTGGAATACAACCATGAATACATCAACCTGCGACTTCGTTGTGAGAAAATACGGCCATGGAATCAAATGTTCAGACCTTTGGTGCTAATAAGTAAAGCAGCCAGTTTGAACATGGCCTCCGTGAAGGCCTCAGGTTGACCAGAGTCCAGAGCCTCTCCCATCTGCTTGATCATCATTCTGCTCAGGTCAGACTGTCCACGAACAGCATGAGCAAAGTGGATCATACCAGACACCTGCAGGGAGGCCACAGCACTTCATTAATAGGGATTTAAATTCAAATTGTGCAGGAAAAAAACAGCCCGTGTATTATAGATTCATAAAATGCTGAGACATTAACCCACTATTAGAATTTGATCATACATCATTACAACCTTTATCCCAAACATTATTCAACAGTCCACCATAACTGAAATTATGTTCATAAAATAATAATTTTTACATTACTGTAAATGCCTGACCTGCCAGAGTAACTCCTGTAGAAATAATTATGGCTCTTAATTTGATCTTATTGAGTTTCAGATTTACTAGTAAACAAATGCATAAACAAACCGGAGCAGAAATACTCCAGTTTCAGTAATAATGTATTTAAAACAGCAAAAGAATGACATGAAAAAAGTCTTTAAATGATTAAACAAATAAAGCTGAATATACATGAAAACTATGAGAATAGTGATAAAAAAGACTTTTGCTAATTTGTGTCAGTGCAAAACAGTTCCCAAAGTTGGGGGGCGGGTTCCCCTTGGGGACAGTAATGTCATTGCATGTAGGTGGGAACAGAGCAAATTAACTAGAATTTCATGATTTTATTAATTTGTGCCATTGTTCAATGACAATAACAGTTTATTGAGATTTGAAAAGTTTTAGGTACAAAGACAGAGCTAACTCCAAAAGGGAGGGGCTACAGAAAATGTTTAGGACATACTGTCTGAGTGGGCTCCTCACCTCTCCAGCGTATCTGTTCCTCAGGTTGAGGGAGGCCATGAAGTTGGAGTAGTCCTTCTTCACACACGCTGGTCTCTCCGTCAGCTGAGTGGACTATGTTTCCACGGGGAGAAAAATAAAACAATTCATAAAAAAACAAGGAGGTCCGTAACATAAAAAGGAATGTATAACTATTACTAACACACACTAGAAATCATCTGTTTGGTTCAGTAACTACATTTATAAATGAATGACTTTTTTATTGCTTAAGATTACTTACACATGAAACACTAGATTAGAGTTCAATTTAAATGTTATTGTTAGACTAAAATCCGTTTTGAACAAAGTTAATCTTAAACCTAACATAAAACCAGTCTGATGGCTCACCCCCAGAGTCGTGCTCTGTCTGTTATACCCAGCAAAGTGCAGGATGCTTTCTGTAGCCATAGCGAGGCCGGTGTGCTGTGACAGACCTGACACCCAGTTCTGGTGTTTGTTCAGATACTCCTGTGAAAAAATAAAAATACATTCTGTACAGTAAAAAGGTTACATTGCAATTTTTTTGTGTGTTTTGCACAACTTTCCCAGGACATTTCACCTGCAAATGGGATTTAGTCACAGACGGAGCCCACTTCATGGCCTCTTTAAGGATCTCACCACAGCGTGCAGCGAAATCCTTCACGATGCCCTACACATGAGAAGACGTGTGTTACGTTTTTGTTTAAAATGTACGTGCTGTGTTGTCACTGTTGAACTGTGTACAACAGCATTACCTCTCTGGCTTCGTAGGTATCAGGGGCAGTTACTCTGTATGGAGTGTCTGGGATGTCGTAATACGGCTGGTCCTTGTGAATGTCCTGAAATACATACAAATAGTTGACAGTGAGTCATCAATAATATTTGAAGATCCAAGAATTTTTTTTTTTAATACAACATTAAAGAAATGAGCTCTTTTACTGTAGTTTCCTAAATGTAAACGTGTGTTCGCTGGTCAATATTTTTCTTTCAAAATTTTTTTATTATTATATTTTTCTCTGTTCAGTCTTCTACGGGTCTCTGTAAAATGTTTGGTTTAGCACTTGTCCTACTACAACATCATCGAGGAATATTTATTTTTTCAACTCCAAACATTAACCTGTGAAACTAATGTTTTATTTTTTTTTTTTTCTAGTTTAAAACTAAAAAGAAAACCTGTTTAAAAATCACATTTCCCATTCTTGATGACATTGACTTCATGCAGACCCAAACACTCCATGTGGACTCACACACATTAAAAACCATGACCCAGGTTCTACTTACGGCACTGAGAGACAGAGAAAGGGTCTGCAGGATGTCCAGCATGGTCTTCAGAACTCGGCCGCTCCATAACAAGTGAGGGAACCTGCAGGAAGAACAAAAGCTCTGTTGGCTCTACTGGACATGAGCTCAGAGTGGACGCTCAGACTGTGTCTCTCCGTGTCCTCTTACGTTTCAGCCAGGCCAGACAGGTACTTGTCAGCCACTCGGCGGATCCTCTTGTGGATGTGGTTAAAGTTGACCAACAGGAACTGGGCGTGGCGTTCGAGCTCCTCCTCGTGGGCTTTGGTTTTTGCCTAATGAACAGACCAGTTGTTAAGAACCCCAACATGATTACAGGCAGGTGAGAAATGAGCTTTTGATGGAGAGAGGAGTTCTCACTTTTTCTGCCATCATCTGTAGGAAGACCTCAAAAACCTTGTCACTGACAGCGATCACACACTGCATCATACCTGAGTGGGAAAACACACATAGAGCATTACAAACATGACAATAAAAACAAAAAACAAAAAAACACAATCTATGTTAGAACTAATAGTTGTTTTCTCACCAGATTTATCCTTCTGAATGGCTCTATCTTCAAAATATCGAAACATGACCTGAAATCGATCAGAGTCCAGAGAACGCAGCATCCTAAAATAAATGGTTATGGATGTTAATAATTAATGTGCAAATCATTTTTTTATTTGTTTTTCTTAAACATGTCAAGACTGGTCACCTCATGTACTCCAGTCTGTACACAGACAGCAGGTATGTGGACATGGCAAAGTCCAGCTTGTTGATGAGAGCGGCCACCTCCGGAGGAGGATCCAGCAGGTTGATGATGGTGCTCCTCAGGTCATTCAGCTCCGCCTGGGGATCAAAAACACAACATGAACCAATCCTGGAAGACGTGGGAGATGACTGTGTTTCTGTAAGGATGTCAGCGAGTTCCCCTACTGGTGTGACAGTGTCGTTCTTTAGTGCGGAGTTGTACTGCAGCTCTGAGCGTAAAGGTTCTCCACTGGGGAAGGTCAGCAGTGGGGATTTGGTCGCAATCTCACAAACTCCTTCATACCACTCCTCTGGCCACAGACCTTGGAAAGTCAACAGGAGAGAAATGTGACGTGAGACACAACGTGACGTGAGAAAAAGATTTCAGCTGACAGCCAAAAAAAACCTCAATGCACCTGAACCCTCCACTGCAAAACCCATGACAACAGAGTAGAGCCAGAAGTCCCTGAAGAGCTTCTGCAGACGTGGCTTCGCTTCCTTAATGGGTGGTAACCGCCTTGTTAACTAGCAGCAGCAGAAGAAAAAAAAAACAACCACTTTCATATCAAGATGAAGAACATTTTAAGAAGTGAGTCAGTAGATCAAGACAGAGAAGTACAGACCCTATGAATAATGATTAAAGAGTCACTTACTACTGCAATCACTGGAATCAGGACGCCAAGATTCCCTGCACTGCTTGATGCCTGTGAAGAAACGACAGGATTAGCTTAGCTATATTCAGTTTATCTTTTGGTCTAGAACCAAAAAACTCCACACTTAAAGTCCAGTTTGGACCAGTGAACCAGTGATCCTTTTGCTGTAAGGCAAGTACGCTACCCACTTCTGTTCCGGTGTGGCCTTGTATGACATTTGTCTTTTAGTTTATCTAACAGGACAGCAACAATGAAACATATTTGACCTTTACACTTGAATCTAAAACAACTTACTAACAGTAACCGTGACCTAACGTTAAACCACCTGATGACAACATCTGGCACTCGTAGCTGCTGTATACCTCCATGTGTTCCATACCTTCAGGGCTGGACCCTTGTCTGAAGCTCTCTCACTGGCTCTCTTGCCTTCCAAACCCAGTTGAACAAAAAGCTCCAGCAGGTTGACCAGCAGCTCGTCCACCATCTGCTCGGCTTGAACGTTAGCCGCAATGTTGCCCAGAGCATTAATCACAGCCAAGGAGCAGTGTCTGTGCACACAACGTTATTAGTAAGAGATGTCAACTGAAACTCTGCGACAGCAGGAAAAGACTGTGGAGCTCACCTGTATCCGTGGTCCTTGTAGTCTTTTGTTGAGTAAACCATAGAACTGGCTTTGACACTGATCTGCTGGAACAGATTCCACACCTCCTGGTAGATGTATTGCTGTGTCACAAAAAGAACGACAGATGGTTATCTTTGAAAACCAAACTGTAACCATGCTCCCGACCTGCAGCCTCCACAGATATAAACTCTTACGTTGCCCGTGATGACCATGCAGCCCAGCTGGTCGATGATGAGCACATCCAGCTGAGAGGGAGGCTGACAGAACTTCTGCTGCAGGATCTGAAGAATGGGCTCCATGACTCTGGGCGTGTCTCTCAGGGCCACGGCAATGTGACCCAAGGCCCTAATGGTGTGTTCAGGGATCATGTGGGCATCCCTGGAGAAAAGAGAGTGTCACGGCTGTCACATATCACAAGTTCTCACTCGAATATCATTGATGCCTAAGTAAAAGTACGGTTATTTTTCCTTTACTCCAAGTCTGTTGAGGTAAGGTTTTTACATTCTTACAGTAATGTGTCCAACAGTGGTAAACTTTGACCCTGGTTCAGAACAAATATGTCACCTGTCTGTGGCAAAGGAAAGACATAACTCAGAACTCACTTGTCATTTTCCTGATAAATGTAGAGACGATTGGACAAACTGGCCAGAAAAGCTTCAACGATGATGTTGTCCATCGTCTGTCCTGCTTTCAGACACCTGATAAAAAAAAGGGAGAAACTACTGAGTCAAACTACTGCCTTTATACAGTTAGTGTTATAGTACTGTATTGTTATAGTGTTAAAGAGTGTTCAGTGATCATGCTCTATGCCAGGGGTGTCAAACATACGGCCCGCGGGCAAAAACGGGCCCACTGGGGGGTTCAATCTGGCCCACTTGATGAATTTTTGGAAGTGAAAAAATGCACAAACACTTCATGTTCGTGATGCTTAGTCAAATTATATTTCATTAAATATTATTATTTTCTTATAAACTTGTACTTCTTTGCATGAGGTATATAACGTATATAATGTAGGTAATTATGTTATGACAGGAGTGGTCCAGCCCACATGACCATGATCTAATCAGGCTGTGTGTGGCCCCTGAACCAAAATGAGTTTGACAGCCCTGCTCTGTCTGCTCTGTCCAGTGAGTGTTGTTACCTGCAGATGTTGTCAATGGAGATGTCCCTCAGCTGCTCATACAGGGAGGGCTGGCTCTTCTTACAAGGATTTGTATTAATGGTTGACTGGGAATGTTCATTCGTCACATGGATCTTAATCTCTCCGGCCCCTTTGAAAAAACATATATGTGAGACTGAGGAAGTTTCACCATCAAAACTTCTTCTTTTCTGTGTTGGGCAGTTACCTGGAGTAACTGTGCTCTGGCTGTGATACTTGTACAGTTTGACCAACACGGGAGAAGGAACGACCAAAAAGTCTCTCAGTGACGTCGTGACGGAATGGGCCACAACGGGAAAACGCTCACACAAACGACCAAGACCCTGACGACCGAAACAAACACGGACAAAAGGATTCATGTGTAAATATATATTTATCTGACAATATATATATATACAGTATATACACACACATATATAAATATACATATATACACATATGTTTATATGTATAGACACAAACACATAATGTATATATAAATATATATACGTGTATAAACTGTATCAATTAACTGTGATCAATATTAATCCCCAGTGAACATTCATGTGTAAATATATATTTATCTGATACCTGATTTACATTTTTAATGATATCACATTTTTATAACATCAAATCAATGTTGTGCCCAAATAAAAATACAGAACTAACATGTTCAGCGAAGGCTGAAGAGGCAGGTTAGTAAGAGAATCGTGAGTATTTGTACCTGTAGGCAGCAGATAAGGAGCGGCATGTGAGCGATGATGACTTTACTGGATGTTTTAGACTGAAGCTTCTCTGACAGTTTGGTGCACAGGTTCTCGGCCCCTGGTGAAAACACAAATAAACAGAATGAGACATAACAGTGAGGACTTCAGTAAACACTGTGTGAATGAGCCACAGTCTCACCCTGCTCCTCGGTAACAGCCCACACCATCAGGTCCACACAAGCAGCATTGGCCTGACAGCGCAGTTTGAGTGGACTCAGGTCACTCTGCAGGTACTCCACGTCATGAAGGATCCGCTGCAGCTCCGACTGGCTGCTGTTGAACTGCTCCAGGACAAAGTCGTGGATCTCCTTCACGTAGTCTGTCTGCAGATCTGACATTCACAGGAACTCGGGGTTATTATTTCTCAAGTACATGTTCTTTGCAGTAGTACTCACCAAGTTCTTTACCTTTCAGATTGTACAGTGTGTCTCTTAGCATTTTGAAAATGGTGACGTACAGAGGGTCACTGAATGACTTGTAGTGAAAATGAAGATCTGGACTCAGCTGTCAATACGAACACAAGTATCAGTAGTCATCATTGACAATACCACAGAATCAACATGTGTCTGAGGTGTATACCTGTACGAGGTCTGCCAGCGTGTCATCTAGTGATTTTAAATATGACTCGCAAACAAATAGTTTCACCTGTTCGACAAAAAGAACACATTATTTCCTCTTGTTAAAACCCAGGACATGGATGTGGTCTAGTTTTTCTGTCGTCACCACTCACCATGTGCAGCAGTTGTCTCAGAGTGTCCAGAGGAACCTGAAACACCCCAGTGCTGCTCCCAGTGAAAAGAGGAGAGACAGAGAAGCTGGAGCTGATGGTGGAGAAGTAGTACTCAGGGTCCACAGCGCTGCCGTCAGGGAGGTACGAGCCTGGAGCAGACACAGAGTGATCCATTAAAACCAAACTGAATCCTGACGGGCCAGACAATCCAACATCCAACAGAACTGCATGCTTAACATTACGAAAAACAAAGAACACAATAATAATAATTACTCAGAACTGCATTCGTCATCATTAAGGCATTTACCTTCAAAGTACTGTGCAGAGGGATCAGCGGGTGAGGCGGAGGTCAAACCTCCCTTCTCTGGACTTCCCTAAACCGGAGGGAAAAACAATCATGCACCTCTGTTCAGACAGCGTTGACCGCTTTGCCCGTTCGACTTCTCGTTCCTGTCATGTGAAGTCATTACCTGTTGTGATGAACTGGATACCGCGGAGCCTTTGCGTCTCAGAGTGTCTCCCTGACAGACTGTGATCAAAGAACTCGGCAGGATGGAGCGGAAATCGTTAAAAGACCTGCGGCGAGTGGCATCGCCATCCTCGCCATTAGGCAGCACGGGAGAAACGGGTCGAGGGAACAGCTTGGACAATAACGGCTCCTCCGTGTTGCTGTATCTCCCGAACGCTCGAGCTATGCCGAGCAGGGTCGGCACCGCGTACATGCAGAGGTATGCTGCGAGCGGAAAAAAAGTTCACAGAGACAAATGAGTAACATAAAGGACGGACAGTGTCAAAGCTGTGTCTGTTGTCTCTGTACCTTTATCCTGATCCTCTGGGTTCTTACAGACGTCTTGCAGTCCCTGCATGACGTCCATGATTGTCTCCAGAATCTACAGTATTTTCCACAGATCATGTGAATCAGCTTTTTTTTTTACAGCATAACGCTGACATTGTGACAAATTAGTTTTTCTAAACACCAGGTATTACAGTTATATACCATTCATTTCATTATATAAAGTGAACATTTCCAAAAAATAATTTATTATAGTGAGTTACTAAAAAGATTAATACAACAACCTTATTGTTGTAAGCGCCAAGCATGTGGTTCTGTATCAGCAACAGCCACAAACTACAGTATCTTAAGGTACTTAACGCCCAGAAATTATGCTTATTTTAGCTGCAAGATATCCATTAATATAGATTATATTTAAGAATCATAATATTATGAATATTTATTGGTAATAAAAACAAATAAAGCTCATAGAGAAATGTTCTCAAGGAACTTTTTATCTATTTAAGTGACGAAGTTTAGAGCAACTATCTCCAATGTACAAATCAAACCCAATCAGGATATTACACAGAAATAAAAACGCACCTAAAGAGGTGCAGAGTAAAATCAACAAATTGGAAAAGATGCTGTTCAGCTCACATGTTCTGATGACACCACAGGTCTTTTGTCTATATGTGGCAGTACAGATTTAAATAATGTTGCCACAGACACACAATTAACTCAGAATTCAGGACATTATTTCTCCTACATCGAGAGCAGCATGTCAGAATTTTTGGGCGTTTAACCAACATTTCAGTCTAAAGTATTCTGTGCCACACTCGAACTGTTCGAACGTAACTCATTCACAGATAGATATGATAAAGGTTTCTCATTCACACACCTGCCCTCGTAAGGTCTCATCACGCTGAGCAACATCCGAGAGCAGCGTCACCAAACAGAAGCTGAAGTTCTCCGCAACAGGAAGTGCTTCTACGAGAGAGGACGTTCAGCAGTTACTGTAGTAACAACATTACCATCCACAACATCACAGTCACCTGCTAGTAAAAATGAAGGATTGTGGTAATGCACAAGTGAAAATTACACAATGGCTTTAACTTTGCATTCAACGCATCTAAAAACCAAAAATGACAAAAGCAGTGCCTTACAGCTGTAAAAAAACAAAACAGTAAAATTCAGATCAAGCTGAACATAGACCTGAAGAATCTGTGATAAATGACTGAAATTAACTTGATGTGATGCTAAGGTTCAGGAATGCAAATCAGTTACCAACTACATCCAGTTAATTCATGCCTCTCACCCACTGGCATATCAAGTTCAAACTGAAGGCATCAAGTGGTTTACAGACAGGATTTATCTCTATCTGGACCAACATTCATTCAATTAACTACTCCTACTGCATTAGACTGCTGACCATTCAGGGAAAATGGGCAGCTGATAAATCAGAGTGAATTCTTGGAAGGCAGGACGAGGTCTAAAAACTGCAGTAATGCACTCTATGGAATGAGTTGTGTTGTGTGTGTGTACTGTAAGTTAATCCACTTAAAAATGCTGTGGAGGAACAGTTGAATAAAATGTGATCTTTTAAATTTTAATGCTACGGTCACAAAAACTACCATTAGAAACACAATGAACCCATCGCTGCTTTTTTTTTTACCTTTGCACTCTGACCTTTCTTCAATCCACTGAACTTTAGGCAGCCCTTTGAGCAGCAGTAAAAGGTAGGGGACGATTGCATCTTTGTGCTGCAACAAAAGTATAGCATCAGTAAAAAGGCACCATGATGTGACAGGGCTGGAGACTGACTGGTTTACCTGCAGCCCTGACTCTACCAGGAATATGCCCAGAGCAATGACAGCGTCTCTCCTCCTCTCGTCCAGCTGAAAGACTCCTCTAAAGTCCAGCGGACACATGCACTGCAGCTTTTGGACCTTTGGATGGAAAAGCATGCTTTAAATAATAATGTGATGAAATAAGCACCCTTCATTCCTTCATTGTTTACTGAAATGAAATGAATGTCGAATTATTTCTACCATCTGTGTAGTCTGGTGAATATTTTACATACATACATATATATATTAAAGAAAACCATTAAACTAAAAAAATAGTTTGGAGGATGTAGGTTGGGGACAGTATTCCTGTTTGACTGTAATATTTTTTGTTTGCTTGTTTGTGTGTGTACAATAATATCAAATCCTGCACACACTCTATATCACACAGGCAATTTTACGACATGCAAACTTGCCCGACCTCGCATTTACAAGCGGAATGAGAAACTGCCTTATTGATTCTAAAACTAAGGACAATACGTAGAAACAGTGTCGGCCTTAATTCTGATCTTGAACTCATAAATGCATGCCGTTTTGACACATTAGGGACGGCAGATTATATTACCAAGCAACGCTGTGTTTAATTGTTGTAATAACAACGACCATAACAATAACAATAAAACTAAAAACAACAACAATGATAATAATAGAATCGTTACAAATAACAGTGAGGACTAACTACTACTAATTTATTTCACTTTCAAACTCATCTTCATCCTGAAGTGGGATTGGCTCCAGGCTAAATAACAACCTAACGTTAGCCGACCACAGCTAGCTATGCTAGTTACAAGATAGTAGTAAAACCTGACAATTAAAACTCTATAGTTAACAAAAAACAAAAACAAAAACAACCTGTTTTTAAGGTTTCTATAAAAGCAGACATTTATTAGTGTGAAGTTAACCCCGGGCCTCAGTGACCGTCGCTCTGACATGTATTAGCTCGCTGCAGTCACTAACTGCTCTCTACAGTACCTTGTCCAGCGGCGCCTGTCGGTGCGCTGCCAGTGACCGAGCCAAGGACAAGACCGTGCTGAAATAAAAACCTCTGCTTCGTCCATTCAGAGACATGGTTAAACCTAACGGTGCCTGTTTTTAGAGTTGTTGCACAAACACACTCATCTTCCGTCATCTGTCACAAGATGAGACTTCGGTGCTGATGACAACTACGGCAAGCGTCGAGGCTCAAAAGCGCACGGCAAGGTCATGCTGCAAATAAGGCGACACTCAAAAGCGCACGGCAAGGTCATGCTGAAAATAAGGCGACAACGAAAACAAACAAACAAAAAAACAAAAAAACACCAATGTAAAACTTTACTGAAATCCGTAAAGTATATTTTAATTTAATATCATATAATATTATGTATATATTACATATTATTTTCAATCATAAACTTCTACTACATTGCAGTTGGTACTTATGCCAAGTATATAAAATGGCAGTATGATCAGAAAGGTTAGTAGTTGGCAGGTATTAGTCACCACTCACATATTCTGGAATTGAGATGTATATAAAATAAGAATTTGATAAAGTACTTGTTGTATTCCTTGTAAGACAGCATTGGTTGGGAATTGCCATTTTTTGAAAATAAATACTAGAGAATTAGTTTTGATTTTAAGAACAATGTTAGTCAATGCAAGCTAACCAAGCTAACCAAGTTAGCCAAGTTAACCAAGCTAACCAAGCCTATGGTTTAACCCTCCCATTTCTTGGGGGTGCGCCCTATGACCTCTGCACCCCGTTAACCTGTTAGCACCTAAAATTAGTGCTATAAATTAGTACTATTATTTATTATGTTTATTCATCTTCTTCTTGTTATTTTTCTAATGGATTACAACAGGGTAGTTCAATGTGTGGCTCCTGGGCCTCATGTGGCTCTTCTGTCACTATATGAATTACATTAATGATAATAAATGATATTTGTGAATGGACCAAAATTCCATGTGATTTTTAAACACAGCATTCATGACAAATAAATCCAAAGAGTACATATATTTACTATATATATATATCATGTCCAGAAGCACTTTCTGACTTTTAATTAATTGAGCCACACAAAAACAACGGTCTGAACTGATGTTTATTGTTAAGTGTACATTGTTATTACACTGAAGGCACAATACTTGGTTTAGCTAGGTAACATTTTGGAATTATAATGTGGATTTCTGATGAAAACAACATCAAATATCTGTGTATACGGAAACTTAGTGAGGAGGACAAAATTATTTGGAATGTAATTCTTCCAAAAAAGCTAAAAGTAAACACAGGGTCCTACAAGACCGTAGTGTCCTGAATGAAGTTGTATGAGTAAAAAACAAAGTTTCATTGCACTACAGACTCCAGTCTACAATATGTCTCCGTGTGACTGGGCCGCACTTCACACATTGGTTTGTCAAGTAAGTCAGCGAAATTAATAAAATCTTTTCTAAATGTTCTTTTTTTTCTTGCTACTTACCCTCCTTTAAGGATTAAAAGTGAAGGCACTATTCATGGATTTCCCCATCACACACCTGTATATATTAAAGGCATTGCCACTGTGGACAAACGTACGACTAAAAGCTACAAAGAATTAAACATTCACCCTCGCAGAACATCTCAAACACACTGAGCATAAGATACTGCCTGGTTTTTGACATTTGGCACCAGTACAGCGTGTACAACCAAAAAATTGTCAATTTAAAAAAAAGAAGATCTCTAAGTAGATTTAACAGATGGTCATTCTAATCTCTATATGACTTGTATAACACATACATACTGTAAGAACTGTTAACAATGTAAATAAAGCATATCTGCAATTTTTCAAGTGAGCCACATCTGTCACCATTACAGTCTGTATCGTCATGTATGTATACAGTAAGAAAACTGAAGACGTTTCATCTACCATCATTCCAAAACGTAAGGCATTGAGTTTGTTAATGTACTTGAGCTGTCGCAGTATGTGATAGAAAGATATCTTACTTTCGTGAGGGCTACAAATTGTTGCGTTAGGACTTTTGCTTCAAGTGATTAAAATAAATATTCCATTAGCTGTAGGCAGGTTACATGTCACATTTGATTTCACTCCGTTTTCATTTTTATGGTCGAGTCGAGATGTAAATTAATGGCCCAGTCGTTCCCTGAGATCTTAAGGAAATTCTCACGTTTCAATGAACAGTCTCATCTCTGGGTTCTGGAGTTGTTTTTCACATGTATATAAGCCTTACATTTCTAAAATCTGACACCTCAAATCCCTTTCATTCTTTCGCATGGAGGTAGAGGTTAGAACCTAAAAGCAGTGGTGCAGGAAAATCATTGGTGTAAATTTCCCGACCCGGCACCTCTGTTTGAGCAGCACCAGGATGTTCTCTTCACTCCGTCTTCCAAACTACGTTGAGAACCTTCACAACTTCTTCGTAGATGATGAAGACGATGGCGACATCCATACACACTCGACCCAGTCGAGGAACAGTACCTTTGTAGAACCTGCGTGGAGTAAAAAAACAAAGATCTGGTGACACTGTACGTAGTGTATGTCATGCAGACGGTCATTGATGATGTCTGGTTATAAACTTACGCCACTGGTCCCTCGTGCTTCATGATCTTTACAGCACAGTCCAACGTGCTTTTGTACTTGTGAGCTTCAAGACCCTGTCAAAGAGAACACACATTCAATCTCCAGACTAAAGTGGAACTGTTAATCCCAAGAGTAGAGGTACAGTGAGGTCCTGTCACTCACCTGCATTCTTGTTTTGATGACATCCACGGGTGTGTTTCCAAACACACTGGCAGCACCAGCCACGGCTCCGAACAGTCCAGTTATCACAGGGTTAATGTATTTGTTGGGGTCGTCGCCTTGACATGAAAAAAAAAAGAAGAAGTATTTTATTAAATGACACCAAGGTAATTCTGGACGTTTTAACAAACGTCATCTCCTCACGCACCTTTGTACCAGTTCCTCAGAGATGTCATGACGTAGAAGCGGATGGCCTGGTTGGAGCCCTGCTTCAGTACAGTGGCTGTGAGGCCCTGATAAGTCCCCTTCAGACCTGAGGGGGGCACCATTGTCAAGATCATCATCATTAGCAGTGCTTTATACTTCTTTAAATAACAGAAATACGTGACATTGAGCTTTTCAGGTACATAAAAAGGTAATACTCAACAATATCCTTTATGGAAACATTTCGCAGTTAAAAGATTAAACAGTAGATGGCAGTGTAATTTAGCTTGGCTGAACATATGACACAGTATTTAACTCTTAATAACCTACAGTCTCCATCTTCCTGTATCCATCCATCAGTCATACAAATTATTTCCTTGTCACACCCTGGTGGCTAGGGAATAGAATCGCAGTGTGACTGATGTCTATAACATTATGGTTAGATTAAAGTGTGGCAAGACACTAGACACATGTTCTATAATTACTGTGACGAAGAAAACCAACATTTGTCAGAAATAAAGATTAAAGAATAAAACATCCTCACCTTGTGTTCTGATGATCTCTCTCACCCCATGAAAAAAGCCCTTGTATTTTGGGTTTGCTGATGTCTGATCGTGGATGAATTTGACCTGAAATCACACAGAAACTGATTAGATTCTTAGACAGATGTGACGGTGATGTTTAATTCAAAATGATCCTTTAATAATGCTCTGAGCATGTGGGTTTTTTTAATACCTTTACTGTCTCCATAGGACAGACCACAACCACAGCTTCTGCAACTCCAGCTCCAAGACCACAGAAGAAGCCCCTCTTACTGTCCAGTTTACCGCTCTCATCACGCATCTTATTACTAAGGAACTCGAACATTCCAAACCTGTGGAAAATGACAAACAAAATAGACAACTTAATAAATATTATATATAACTGCACAATCAATAAAAAATACAAACAACACTTTATCAAAAGCAAAGGTCAAACTTGTTTAGTTTCTAAATGATTCTTGGTTTTTCTACAGCATTTACTTTTGTGGTTTGGTTCAAATGGTAATTTATGACCAGAATGGCGACAAATGTGGCTGTGACTTTTTAAAAGCCTCATGAGATGGGACAGATTGAATGTCTTTAGTCAGGGCAGGGGTGTTATCTCTGTATGGAGCTGACCTGTCAGCTGGGTTTTTACCTGACTGCTGCTTTGGGGATGGAACCGTAGAGCAGTGAGCTGAGGCCTCGGTACAGACCTCTGACTCCATGACTGTTCACTGTCTGCTTCACACAGTCCGCTTTAAAGAGAGAGGAGAGTGATTCAACAAGTCAGTGTGGAGGTTCTCTGTCATCCAGGGCTTCTCCAAAAGTTGTTACGTCAAGACGGACAAAGCAGAAAAACAATCATGTAATCATGGACTAATCCTGTGCTGCTGGAGTCTGTGTGAAATAATCAGTGGCTGCGATGTTCTGGAGTGACCCTGATTAAAAGTCAAAGAGACAGCGTTCTACATTCAAGCTGACAGAAGCCTGAAACAATAACAATTTACACACAAACACAAGTGAGTTCCAAAGATCTCAGTCCTCTCTCTAGCAGATAACTGAGAGCAAGAGAACAGAACTTATGTGTCAGTTAAGTAACACTGAAGACCGACAATCACTATCATTCACTGTGCGTTCCTTTACAAATTGTTTTGTTTGATGGCTCTTTTTTACATTTTAACAAGAATAGTTGAAAAAGAAGAGGAACTCAAACTTACTGATGCCCTTGTACTTTGGAGGACTTGCTTTTTCGTCCAGCTGCAGCTGTGTTTTTACATACTCTGTGGGAAAAGTGATGCAGATCTCAATGCCTCCGGCTATCCCCCCTGTGAGAAACAAAAGAATAGTTCCATCGATTGAGCAAAGACTTCAAGAACAGAAGGAGGCTCGGAAATCTAGGCTCACACCGAAAAAATACAGACAGTTGATAAACGAAAAATACGGTGTTGATGACAGAACAAACATTCGTACATTTCCTTATACAATATTTATAGTATCCTTTTTAATAAGTTAAGAATAATAATAATCTAGTCAGTTATAAATACTTAACCTAGGAATGGTAAAGTAAAACAATCCATGTCTGTAAGTATGTTTTTATTAAAAAAATGTTTTTTTTTTCTTTTTATAATGATGTTTACTTTCTACTTACTGAGTACAGTATTACAGATCAATTTATGTTTTGTACATACTGTATGTGTTTATGTGAAAAATTATAATTATTAATAAGATTATTTAAAATGTGATTTAGAATTATTTTAAATGTAAATAAGTACAAATAAAACACAAAATACTGAGCAAAACATTAGTGTTTCTGGTTTGGGTACACAGAGAGAAGTATAGAGTTCTTAAAAATATAAATTCTACTGGTGTTGACTTGAACTGTTGGTTAGAAGATGTGATGGTGTAACTTCACTTCCATTTACGTGTCAGTGCTGAGCGTAATACCACCTTAAACCCCCTGCTGGTCACACATCTGCAGTTGATCAGCAAAAACAGAGCCGTCTGCTGATTGGCTGGGCTGATCTCAGCGTGATTCAGCCCACACATACTCCCCCTAGAGGGGTGTGAACAGCCTTCAGGCCACATACCACCACAGCCTATAACAACAGTTCATGCAGCCACGCATTAGTCTGGTCACCGTGAACACAGCAGAGCGTCAGCACAGGAGCACACCGGAGCCGGAAGTCTTTAGGACAACAACTCAAATAAAGCTTTTCGTTGGTTTTATTAAACACTCATATCAAAAGTGGTGGTTTATTCAAGATTATTATTTAAAACCCATGTTTAAAAAAAAAATCACACAGTGAATGACTATAACAAACACTCGTCTTACAAAACTTCACACACAGCCTATAATGAAACATGCAAGTAATCCTGATTTTACACATGTCCACACACTGGACCACAGGCTGCTGACTGGAACCAGCTTTGACGCTCAGGCATTTCCAAAATGAGTGGCTGGACTTACACCTGTAGCTGCTGTCAAAGCTGACACAGAAACACACTCCACAGCAACACACCTGCATGCTTTACCTGCATGACGTGAAGTCCACGTACTCAAGCTGAAGGAAGACATCAAGATACCGGTTCATCTAGTCCACCAGCTAAACAGACGAACCATCGATGTTTATTCATGGGTTTTTAAACAACAAATATGCAAAATGGAGACTCAAGTGAAGCCAGTCTAAAACAATCAAATGTTCATAGTTAGAGCAAAATCTTTTTTTTTTAAAGAGAACAATTCGGCTTTGGATAAAAGCTTCAAAGTTAGCATTACTAACAGTTATCCTGATTCTTTTTCTTTTTTTCTAAGGCTGTACCAACATGTTCTTCAGTCCGTCTAGTCCTCTGCCTCTCTTTCTAATGAAAGTATAAACTATCATTTCTACACTGAACCATTCACATTACTGTGTCACGTAAACACATGGAAAAGCCTCCATGTCATTTGGAGGAAACTCACCCTGTAATAAAAAAGGAGCTTGGAAAATGTTTTTGTATCAAAACAGCTGTTGTTTGTTCATTCAAGACAGAGTTAGGACTTGGTTTAAGACTGTTAAAAAAACACAAGAGCTTTATTCAGATCAACAACAACGAGATTAAGAAGGAAGAATTTAAACTTCACCAAACAACAAGTGGTGTTGTGAGCTGCCACCCAGCCCTGCTCTATCCCACGGAAATGATATGTTCAAATTCTATGACAGAGAGTTGGTTAACCCACACCACAAACAAAAACCAAACACTCTGTGGTAGGGTGTGTGTGTGTGTAATTGTGGTTTTGGTGTGTTTTCTACTGGTACACCGGCTTCTACCTACAGGAGATGTTTCATGTCTGTAACATTCACATGTCGTCTATCACAGTCGATTTAGAAGATGCTAAACGTCCCAAAGTCCCAGCAGGTCCTTGTCCTGGTCGTAGCTGGAGTACTGAGGCTTTCTTTTTCCAGACAGTGGTGGAGGTAATCAGCTTAAACATGTGGTTCAACTCCTCTCATGTGACTCACTTGTAGCTGCCTTAACCATGTAATACGAGAAACAAATCTTATTTACGTATCCATTCATCTGATGTTATTACTCATCCATTTCACCAAGAATGAAACACAGTTTCAAGGAATTATTGTGATTATCTTGGAAAAACTAAAAAGTCAAATAAAGGACAGGAATATGTTTTAATTCTTATCACTGGACCACGGCCCTACTGCATTGACCAATGGTTCCAAAGTATGATCTGTGACATAATCTTATGTCAGAGGTAGATCAGTTCCTGTGTCGCCATGCTAGTTTTAAACTAGGCTAATGGTCTGTACACACCAGCGGAGCAGAAGAATTCTATTCATTTTAAATCTCACTGATGACAAGATTTGGCCTTCACTAAATGGTCAAAACCATTTTTTCCTAATCGGGGTTTTGGTGAAGACGAACATCTCTGGAAAGAGACGGAGGTTTGTGTTTTTGAACAGAGAAGTTCATTGGTCTCAAATAAAATAAATAATAAAAAAAAAGTAATTCTATGTGTTTTGCTCTTTCTTACACGATATCCATGTCACAAGGTCATCATTAACGATTGCCTTGCCTGACAGTCGGACCTCTGTGCACAGTTGGGCCATCTGTCACTCATTGACTCGTCAGACAGACCAGTTATCAGAGTGCAGTTATTTCAACCACGTTTCTTTGAAATACTAAAGGGTAAAGTACCGAGTGCTAAAGTCCCATTCGCATAAGACTGTTCAAAGGACAGACCAATCACAGACGTGCTACAGAAAACGGCTAAGTGCCGGCACAGCAGGTCGTGGTTGTCACATGTATGAAGACACTTGATAAAAGTTCACTCGTAAAAAACGATCTGGTCTTTCACAAGTCATTTTCAACGGTGCAACAACGAACTTTGTTGAACATAATAATACACACAGTTTATTTCCTGCTTCATGACTTGGCTGATGGAAGTTAAAGTTTATATCCTATAATAGAACTAAAGTAACCTCTATTCTCACATTTTTACTTGGCAACAGGAAATATGACTGCCACCGACTAGGTTAGCATAGGTTAGCCTGTCAGTAATCTGGCTGAGCGTTGGGGGAGGCTAACTGTTATTAGTAATAGATCTCTCAGTATGGATTTAACTTAATAAATATGTGGTGAATGTATCACAATAAGAAACAGTTAAGGTCTTATGAAGGGCTGTTGGAGTAAGGCCACAGGACATGATGCTAATCACAGTTAGCAAACCTAGCTTTGATATTTTTGTACATGGGCTTTAATGAATTCTTTTTTTGATGTAACTTGTACCAGTAATGTACCAGTAATGTACCAGTAATGTACCAGTAACCATGCACATTTATGCATTTCACCAGAGATGTAACTGACATCCTGAGTGGGAGGTAGGACTATCAGGGAGTTGACAGATGAGGTAGTGCTTGAAGTAATTGCTTCATTCATTATATTACAAATGGAAATTTCACAACGGAAAAAAACAAACAGTTATTTATAACTTTGTTATTGCCGACATTTTTATTGTTTTAAAACAAAAATGTGAGACAAAGAACCAAAATGGCCGTAATTGTTTGTAAAGGGAGTTAAAGTGTAAACATAGTTGTGTGGATGTAATGCTGAGTCATTGTAAGGAACCCCGTTATTTTTCTTCTCTGTTCCTGAATGTTTAATTAGCTTTAAATTAATATATATATCTTTGAAAGTAAGAGCCCTGTGGGGCGGTGGAGTAAAGGCTTGTAGTTCTTATTGTTGTTTCAATAGCCTGTGGTGCCTCTGTCTCTGAGAAGCATTCATTCATGCTTCCACCACTCTCCTCAATCCCTTTTAAAGGGACACAGACGGAGCTACAGCCAATCCCTGCAGTCACTGTGGAGGGCGGGTTGAACCCTGGACGGTTCACCAGTCCATCACAGGAAGACAAAAAGACACAAGTAACCATTCACACCCACACCTAGAGTCATTTACAAAGAACTAATCAACATCATCCTGCATGTGGTTAACTGTGAATGCAGTTCAAATACTGGGAGAATATGCAAACTCAGACTTCCAACAGTCCTGGGTTTTTCCATTTCTATTGTTTACATTCGTTGGGCTAAAACAAAAACAGAGACATGAATGTAGCAAGTTGACTTTTAAGTGACTTTTAGGCTTTCAATTTTAGTTTTAAATGAGGAAAATGTGTTGAACTAAACTCCTGTCTCGACTCTAACCTGCTCAACAACTCCAACAAATTCAAGGAGCAGATTCTTTGAAGGGGGTTCTTAAAGGGCCTAGGGCTAAAATGGATTCACAAAAAGATGAAAAAATAAATAAAAACTGAATATACTGTAACCAATTTTCATGTGAGAACACTTTTGCAACACTTTTGTGTCTGGCTGAAAAGTTACTTCTCGGAGTCATTACTCATTAGTCATTACGACGATATAAAAGTCACGCACCGATCTCTGACTGAAATCTGCACATTCCTTTCAAATTCATGTCGTACAATGTCCCATAATGGCAGCCCTGTGGGGCAGCGTTGTCAGCTACACGTACAGATTGGACCATGAAACAGAACAACAACTTTCTTTCTGTACAAAGACCATGCAACTTTCCTTACCTGCTAAGATGGCTTTGCCGGGGTGAGTGAGTTTGGCTTTCCCTGTCGCCGGAGCTGCAGCAGCCAAACACCGAGGTCTGTGGAACGGACTCACGAAGCCTGGTTGTCCAAACATGACTGCCTTTTCTGAGCAAACTTTGTTGTTTTTTTTACTAACAATTCCAGTCCCTGTAGTTGAGCTCAGAGGTCGTAAAACGCAGGCAGCATTCAGACCTGGTTCCGTCCACAGCAGACACAGCTGGAGTCGCTCGTCGACGTCAGCCGTTTCTGACCATTGGACTCTCCTGGTTGATGTTAACTACCCTGTACTTTTGACAGTTATCACTACAGTGCACACACGCACAGGCTGATAACGTCGCGTGTTTCCGCCAGGGCGGGGCAGAGTCAGTCGCTCCCCACTCTTACTCCAACACGGAAAGCGCCATGTTTTACACAAACAGTTAAGGTGGAGCAGCGGAGATGCCCGCAGCCTGTAAATGCAACTGTCGTTCTATGGGGGCGCTGTTTCACAGCCCACACTTCTGCACAGAAGAGCAGAACCGGGAAAACAAATCAATTATTAAATATAAATTAAACGTGGTACTACTTATGTTACTAACAGTAGACGAACTACTGGTACCGTATCAACCCTGTGGTAGACTATGATCTCACAGCTCTTTGAAGGACAACCCCAAATAACATCAATAAAGAAAGAAGATAAGGGAAGTACAGTAATAAAAAAGTTTAAAAACATAATATAAATATATATAAATATAATAAGTAATTATTATATTTATATAATAATATGTAGTCATTATTACTACTGTTACTACTACCTGTAGTTGTAGAACGAATAATAATAATAAGAAAAAAACAACAAAGCACATCTTCTTGAACTACCATTAGTAGAAGTAGTAACAGAAGAAAAAATATTGGTCTCGTACTAAAAGTATAAACAGTGAATTTACATTTAATGTAATAATACACAACGATGTATGTAATGTAATAATACACAACGAGTTAACACAAAGGTGTATAAGAGTCAGAAATACGTAAAAAAAAAAAACCTGTTGGAAAACATTATCATTTTACCTATGAAACATCTCTTGAAGTTAGCTGCAGTTTATATTATGTGAACCATGTGGTTTCTCTTCCAAAGACGTTATACTGGTCCTTCTCTGAGGAACTATGTGAACTATGTAAACTGTAGGTTACTGGTCCTTCTCTGAGGAACTATGTGATGTAAACTGTAGGTCCTTAACAACAAACCTATGACCTACACAATGACACGACAGGAATTCTCTGACATGTCTTGTATCCATATCTTAAAGCTCTAGGTACTAGAGACAGTCAGATAAGTCAGTGAGTATTTTTACGAATACAATTATAAAATCCCTGTAAGAGGTTTATTTTGTGCGCAAAACAATAATTTTACCTTTATAAAACGAATACAACTGTGACTCCAACCTGTAAAGAAAAATGAAAACGTAAGAAAAACATAATGTAAATCAGAAGATAGGAATATACAAAGTTTGTCACTGGGTGTTTTTGAAACTTCAAGTATTTGGTCCCCGGTGACAGAGAGTATAAGCGTCACATCCTCGGTGTACGTTTTGTGAACGAACGGATCCATGAATGCATCTTTGCACCGACTCTTCATCGCTCTCTGAACTCGCACCGCGCATGCTCTGTGTGTCTCCTTCATCGTGCCCTGTTCCAGCGCACAGTAAAGCTAAACTAGCTGTCATCCCAGAGACCAGCATCACGTCAGGGAGGCTCTCCAGACTCTGTTTCAGTCACGCTTACTAACCCACCTGAATACCTCGGAACTGGTGAGGAGAGTTAATTATTGCTGGTAAATGTTAGAACAGTGTCAACGTTAATGTAACTGTTTCTCTGGATAACGATTTTATTTTAAATGATTAGCACCGCATCTAGCCCTTACACAGACGCCGCTGTCTGTGGAAGCTGTGTTATGTAATGATGTATAATCGCAGTTTAATCCCCTGATTGTCGAGTTTCCGACGTGTATTAGTAGTGATGCATGTAGCAGTTTAGCTGATCTGAGGTCTCGCTGTGTGAGTGTCATCAGCCAGTCGTAAGGATCATTATCGGGTCACTGTGTCTTTAGCTAGTTAGCTGTGATCCCCTCCCCACTCTTTCTTACACACAAACACACCCCTAGGTTGTGTGTCGCTGTCCCATCTGCTGTCCTTTGTTCCTAGAGAGATGCATGTACGAACACCTTACACACCCTTTGTCAGTAGTCTCCCTCTGACCAGTGTGTGAAATGACCGGTGTGTCCCCTCGGCTGTGCTCACAGAGGCTAAGTGTCTTCTGCTAGTTCTATACGCGCCTGGGCATTTATGTCCCCAGACTACATTGTATATCTGTAGTTAAAATTTTAACATATATTTGAGCATATACATCATTTTCCCTCGCGGGTGCATCATCACCAATAAGACAAATCTTTGGTTATTTTATTTCGTTAAAAAATGTGGTATGCCTCAGGAAAATCCGTTTTATTAACACATTATCATTGTACAACCTATAACAGCTATTCCCACAGCACACAACGCGCACCCATCATCAGTTACGTCCTGCGTCACCGTGTTCTACGTAGTTGTCGTCATCGGTCACGACGTAAGTTAATTGGTTGTTAAACGGCTGTAAAACGTACTTATGATTTTGACACGTAAATATAATCATATAAATAAATAAATATAAGTTTATTATTATTATTATTATTATTATACACTAAAGAAATCTTTGGAATTATTCGTGTTATATCGGACCGTATAAATACAATAATTATCGTCAGTCTGGCAACTCTGGCCATAAATCCCTATTCAGACTACTGTGCTGTATTTCTGCCAAAAATATTCAGTTTACTGGAAAAGCAAGTGTGCTGTGTCATATTAAAATAAAAATAAAAAATACAAATTTTGCCGAGTTTTTTTTGTTACAAATTGTAGCTGATTTCTTCAGTTTCCTTTTTTTTTTGAAGGCGATCCACTGGACAATTTAGCCCATTAGCTTTTAAACCTATTAAATGTCCTTGCATGAGATCAGATTTGAATGTGATGCAGCATTGTTGAGGAGTCAAATGTTCTACCCCATCAACAAGGCAGGTAGAGCATCTGTCTAATGACTACTGTACTAATGTACTGTGTATAAGAAGATTTCACTTCAACCATTTACCAAAAAGCTTCATCAGCTATCAGAATGAAATTGGAGTAGGCGAACAAATCTTTGAGAAAATGTGCATCAATTATTATTATTACTACTTTATGATTGTTTGATTTCCACATTCTGATTTCTAATTTTGTTTTGTCCAGCATCATGGCTGTTCCTCCTTCATACGCAGACCTGGGCAAGGCTGCCAAGGACATATTCAGCAAAGGCTACGGTGAGGACAGTTTAACTCCGGCTTTGATCTACTATACCATGTGCAATATTCATACTATGAGCACTTTGTCTTGTAGGATTTTGAATATTTGAGTATGCAGACTAATTCTGTCTCTCTGAAGCTAACCTGTTGGAGCTGGTCATGCACACAGTCCACAGTCCTTTGCAGTGGTTTCAAATGAACTTGCAGCTAATGCTAGCATATGTCGAGGAAATTAAATCATCCAAACAAGCTAAAAAGCATATATTTGAATTGTTTACAGAAATGTAAATGAACTGTATTACCATTTAATAATAAATATTTGTACTATATTATGAATCATTATTTTCAATCCACCCAGGCTTTGGTGTCGTGAAGCTGGACCTAAAGACCAAGTCACAGAGTGGAGTGGTGAGGACGTTAAATCTTCCTGTCTGTCTTCTCTGTGCTGTCCTGCTGTCATGTCTAACGCTCACCTTCCTTCAGCCCACACTTGTACCTACAGTTAACGGTTCCTATAATAACAGACACTGACATTATGTTGCTGCTGCTGCTGCTGTACCTGAAACTCCTGAAGGATTTCTTGGTTGGTCACTTGGTTGATGTTGAACTGAGCTCTGGTTTAACCTGTGCTCTGTTGTGGACAAACATGCAGACCCACCTAGGTGTGTCTCTGAGGTTTGTCTGTCTCTATACCTGCCTGTCCTTTAACCTTGCTCTGTCTCCGTGCTGCTGCTGCTGCTGCTGCTGCCGCCTTCTATACTGGACTGCTCATGCTCTTAATGTAGATGGTAAGAATGTAACTGTGCGAAAAGTGTCAACGTCCATCGTACGTTCTGTTATTTCCCCGTACATTTTATTTTTTTTTTCGCCGAATGATAAGTAGCATGCATATAAACAGTACTGTGCATAACATTTACATATATAAAGGGAACCGCTACTATTATATTCATGGAAGTGAAAGGGTAGACTTGTTTAACAGTGTGTTTGTTGTTTCAATCATAATTCTATTTAAAGAATAATAATTGGTTAATATTTTTAACATCAGTCATTTTTTTAACATCAGTTACTAGACATTTCCAGTGACATCCATTTGAAATCCAAGCGACGCACATGTGGACGTGACCCTGAGGTTAAAAAACACTAGTTTAAATACATCTTTGGTTGACGGACTTTAAAATTAAAATTCATATTCTTACAGCCAATCAACTTTTGCACAGTGCTGAATATATGAGATGGTTTTTTTTGTCAATGTTATATTTCTTTCTTTCATCAGTCTTGTCCTCCCCAATGATCATGCATCATATAAATATATATATATATTTTATATACATGTGTATATATATTGGAACACAGTCCATCTTGTCTTCTTCAGGAGTTCAACACATCTGGCTCCAGTAACACAGACACAGGAAAGGCCTCAGGAAGCCTAGAGACCAAGTACAAGATGAAGGAGCTGGGTCTAAGCTGCACACAGAAGTGGAACACAGATAACACACTGGTCACTGAGGTGACTGTGGAAGACCAGGTGTGTACTCAGCACTCAGTCAGTGTGAAGTCTATAGCATTCCTTCACGTTCCTTCAATAGACTGCTGACAACGTACCACTTTGTCCACAGCTAGCCCAAGGACTGAAGGTTGGCCTAGATATGTCTTTTGTACCAAACACAGGGTAAGACTGATGGAGATCACTAGGGTGAAACAACAGGCACCAAAAATGCAAAAGTATTAAAAAAACACACAGATTCTAAATCTTTCTCCACTGCTACAGACCGGTCTTTACAGCCCAATGGTTTTCCTTTATGGCCATTTTTTCAAACCTGATTTTCAAACAGAATTCCTCACATAGAAACCCAACATGGTGTAAAGAGCCCAATTAAATGTGTCCCTCTATGAACTCTTCTAGTAAAAAAAGTGGGAAACTGAAGACGGGCTACAAGCACGATTACGTTAACCTGGGCTGTGATGTGGATTTTGAGGGTCCTATAATCCACGCCAACGGTGTGGTGGGCTACGAGGGCTGGCTGGCCGGCTATCAGATGGCCTTCGACACGGCCAAGTCCAAACTGACTCAGAACAACTTTGCTCTTGGCTACAAGTCTGGAGACTTCCAACTGCACACCAACGTGTGAGTACATGAGTTTGTCACTGGTTTGACAGCGAGTCATTAAATGTGAGACTAAGCTGTGAATGAAGTCGACGTTCACGTCGTTCTCTCTCAGTAATGACGGGACAGAGTTCGGTGGCTCCATCTACCAGAAGGTCAACAACCAGCTGGAAACAGCGGTAACTCTGGCCTGGACAGCCGGCAGTAACAACACTCGCTTTGGCATTGCTGCTAAATACAAGCTGGACAACGACACCTCCCTGTCTGTAAGTGCAACAGCAAAACAACAACAATAACGACATAAGTACAGCAGAAGGTGGACTTTTAATAAACCTCACCCTGTTATCTCCTGATCTGCAGGCCAAAGTGAACAACGCCAGCCTGATTGGTGTAGGTTACACCCAGAGCCTTCGGCCAGGTACACACCGTTTTATTCCTGTCTGCTACAACACACCATCCCCATAAAAGAGTGTGGTGCAGTGCGCGAGCTGCCACTAGGGGGTGCGCGGGTTAAAAATGTGATAGTTTGGGGTTTTGTTTTTTGGGATTTTCCCACACAATAAAGACGTGTAAATAAACTTTTCCACTGTAAAAAAAAGCTGACATTTTAATAAATAATTACTATATATAATATCTTTATAAGATTTTGTTTCCAAGGTGTGGGGACTGTGCAAGATGTAACAAATCAAAAGCCACAAATGTCGGAAAACTAAGTGTTTTTTGTGGCTGTGTCCATCCAGTCTTTACCCACATACAGTTTACAGTCTTCTAAGTTGCCAAATGAGGAGACCCATCAGTATCTGGACAGCTGGTGGGGCAAACAATTACCTATCCCTCATGTATTTCTCTACAGGTGTGAAGGTCACTCTCTCTGCCCTGATCGACGGGAAGAACTTCAACACTGGTGGTCACAAAGTCGGCATGGGCTTCGAGCTGGAGGCATAAGGACCGGCCACAAAGAAACCTAAATAGCCCAGAACCTCATGAGCCCTTTACTCACCCCCTCCACTGTGTGCCCCTCACCCCCATTCCTTACACGTCTCCATGAGTGCTTGCAGTGGCAGTGACGGCGGTGCCGCGGCATCATGAGGCAGTAATCGACCAAACACGAGACTGCTGGTGGTTAGTTGAGGACTGTTTGCTTCCATGAGCAGTCACACATATCCCTGAGTTTAATTTCCCCTTGGATGGAGTAGGCTTTAGTATAAACATGTAGCTTCATTGATCTTTTGTTTAAAAGAAAAGTAACAGCATGTCAGGGTGAAAATGCCAGTTTTATGCCCGTTTCCAAAAAGGTTTGTGTTTTCGGGCGGTGTTGCGTGGATTATTTAAAGACTGTAGTTGTTTGGACACAACACAGATGTATGAGCGTAGGACTGAAGTGTTGCAGTGTTAGTGGTTTAAGTTCAGAGAATGGATGAACGATATTTAAAGCTAAACCTTTGTTTATCCTCGATGTGAGCTTTTTATCATTTGCCGAAATTGGATGTGGTGGAATGTTCTACAGTAGTACTGTGTGTAGTTAGTTTCTGCATTCCTCCAGCATTGGTTTCTTATTCTTATCTCACAGCAGGACAGCCACACAGTGTGTTTGTGCCCCCGCGTCTGGTGGTGGAGCGCTTTAGTGGCACCGCGTCTCTTAACTGGACAGCCAGCTGTTTCCTCGGTTGCTGTAGTTGGACAGCTGCAGTCAGTGCTGCCGGGGCTACATCTACACTTGGTACATGTGGACATTTACATCCGGCCTTTTTTTGTTGTGTCAGAATGTCCAAAGGAGCTGCTGTGTCCCACACGTCCATCGTTTTATTTTTCATCAAATTCATATTTGTCACCTAGACTCTCCAATAAAGAATCCCTACAGGGAATTCCAATTAATAAAATATTTGTACTTGTTTATTTGATGAAAAAACATTTTTCTCATGTAGAACTGTTGAATGGATTGCTATTTCTTTTAGTTTTTTGTTTTAGCCAATCAGATTGAAGCAATTCTTTTTTTAAGAGTATCAACAAATGTAGTCAGATTCTTTGAGTTTTTCCACACGTCTGCTGAGGTTGGTTGATGTTTATAGTTTCATTCTTGAGGACTAGAAAACCTGATCAAATAAAACCTAGCACAGCTCAGGGTCGATGGCAGTGAAAGACAACTGAGAGACATGCAGATAAATGGAGGCAGACTCATGGATCAGCCGTCAGCTCCTTTATCATCACTGTTCTACCTGGATTATTGACTGGCACAGTTCTACTCTACATCTGCAGACGCAGCAAAGAAACACAAACAACGGCAAAATATCAGCAAACAAACGGAAACAAGACAGTAATTACGCTGCTGTCAGAAGACGTTAGCGTGGGTCGACGTCCTCATGTGAAATGAATGGGTCAATGTTGACGTAACGCGAGGATCTAAGGACACCGAGATGCAATTCCAGAATGGAATTTTGTACAAAATCTATTTTCTTGTGTCCTCCCTGCAGCAGCACTGAGTTCATGTCATTGACTGAAATCAATTGTAAGTCACTCCAACGACAAACTGACCAATCTGTACATCAGTCCAACCTGCTCAGAAAGAAAAGTCAGGAACTGACAGAGTCAGTGATCAAAATGATCCCACTGAGGCTACAGCTAATAGAAACAAGAACAATACTTTCCTCTGGAGAACAGTCCTGAACAGAGATACATCTGCAGGTGAAGGTCAGAGCCAAGTATCAACAGGACTTTTTCAAACATCTTCATAGGATTCAGAGTCTATTCAAGGTCAAAACTCCACCTTCTCTCACAGCAGGTTGACCTTGGCCACCACTTGTTTACACCCTGTGTGGGAATATTCCCGCCCGCCTACAGCAGGGTAGTACTCTATCTCAGCTGCCAGACGCTCTATGTTGGTACGATCTGGGTAGAAACCCTCCCGAGACATTTCCTCCAGGAAGCACTGCATCACATGACCTTTGTCCAACAGGCCAAACGGTAACAGAGCCGCCTCGGCCCACAGATGGTGAAGACTATCCAAAGTGTTGTGTAATATTGACGTCAGGTCTTTGACCAGGTTCTGTTGACGATGGGACGCCCTCAGGGCCATCGATGTACTGGAGGAGTTGTGGAGCATATACTTAGTGATGTGGGCGTGGCCCAGGTTGCTGAAGAACAGGTAGATGGCGTTCAGGTATTCATTGGACTGCCTGGTGGCCACCAGCTGCCACAGCATGTCCAGGATCTCTGTGTGCATGTGCTCCACCTCATCAAAAATGAACAGCGGGATCTTCTCCTCCTCCTCCGCACGCTCCACCATTTGCGAGATGAGAGTAGAAAGGTCCGCGGCACATTTTTGGGCCTCTGCCTCCTGGGGGCAGTGGTGCAGGATGTAGTACTGCAGTACCAGCGACTCATCAACCACCGAGCGGAAGTGTCCCGCCATCAGACGTCCCAGGTGGCTCTTGCCCACACCGCTGGGACCGTGGATGGACACAACCAAGGGCTTCTTGTGAACATAAGTGGACAGGTACTCCTTCAGGTGGGACAGTAGACCCTCCACTGCCCCCTGCTGTCCAAACACCTCTCTCCTCAACGTCTTCTCCAAACCCTCCAGGTCATATCTGAGCACGTGGTCGTCTAAATTCTCTATGGCGTTGTAGACCTGAAACCAGACACAGAAGAATAAGAAAAAAAGAGAGACTAATGAAGTGAGCTGTTTTTACACACAGTGGGGTTAGTCAAATACTTCTCAGATAGATTTGATAAAGTTTTAGGAGAAAACAGTAAAAAAACAAAACAAAGAATATTATCTTATTTTTACAAATGTAGGGTTTTTATATTATCTTATTTTTACAAATGTAGGGGTTTTTTTAGCTCATCTTAGTATTATTTGACTTATCCTCAGACAAGGAAGAATACACTGTTTAAAGTGGATAATTCTAGATCATTCTGTGTGAAAGCACCAATGATGGTCCTTTCAGATTTTTTGTATTTTTTTGTCCATCCTATATAATATTTTAAAGGGATAATGTGAGTAGTTTTTGCATCACAAACCTAGTATTATGCAGTAGCTTTGTAGTGAACTCTATTTATAATATACATCAACAGAAAGTATTGATAATCAATACTGAGTGATAGATTAGTGTACGGCCTTCTGTGTGCTTCATCCAGACAACATCACATCAGTTCACCTGTGGATATGAAGATGAGATCATTGTTCTGGTGAAGTCGACCTCTAAAACATGCCAGAGACTAAAAGGACTCTGGGAAAATATTTGATTTTGAAATATGCAAGACCTAAAATAACATTTCCAGAAATTTCCTTAATTAAATTATTATAGAGAGAGTTTGTATCCTCTCCATGTGTGTGTGTATGATATTGTTTTTGTAAAATCTATGTATCCAATCATTTCCATGATGGATTTGTTGTGATGAAAGGCTTTACCTGCAGGAAGACAATAAAACACAGCAGGTAAAGGCAGTATTTGGCTCGGCTGCGCTCCTGTTTTGGTGACACTCTGTGTCCTCGGTTGGGAAACAAAACTCTCTTCCTTCTTTTCTTTTTTTTCTTCTGAAGAACAGAGAACGAGGGGGACACTCCATCAAAGGTGAAAATTTTTGGGCTGGTTCGAATCGGAGCTCCTGGGAGGGAATCTACTGCTGCCAGCGCCAGGTTCATCTCCTGACGCCGCTTCTTCAAGGCCTGGTACTTCTGTTTGATGCGCATGACGGCACGCAGTGTGGAGGAGACTTCAGAGATACTGGGTCCTGTGGTGTTACTCTGACTTTCATCCTTGTCTTCATCTCCGTCCTTCTCTTCGTCCACAAGCTCTTCCTCTGACTGAGACGCAGAGGTGCTACTGTTGCTGCTGCTGCTGTTGTTGCTGCTGCTGCTGTCCTCTTGGTCCCTCATCTGCATGAAAAAGAGGAGAACCTTAAAGGTCCAGTGGCAACTTATCTGAATAATGAACAGATCATTTTGACTGCTTTCAATCAGTTCCTGGGTTTAGCACTGTAAAAGTAAACATGATGGTGAAAATGTGCTTTGACATATTCCATCATACATCTTTGTCAAGATTTCAGCTGTGTTATATTTTATCTGAACAGTTTTCATCCCACATCACTCAACAATTTTCAAATCAAATTATCAATTCTAACCAAACTTGTACAATAACCTGTTTTGCAACATATTTTGATCTTTCTTTTACATACATTTGTCAGGACCTTGATTTCAATTGTAGGAAACAACAGTGCAGGTTGTGGCTTGAAAGATCACCAGAATTCCAAATAAGAGAATATCTGATGGTAACACGTGATAACACAGAAAGAGAGGACATAGAGAGAAATAGTTTCTATCTTTTATTAAATAAAGAATTATTTCTATTTATCTTAAAACTTTTTTGACTAACCTCACAGTTCATGGTAGGGTTCTCAGTATTGTCACACTATAAATTAATGACTAATTCTGCCATTCTTACATGAGTTCAAATTGTGCTGCTTGTTTGTGCCATTTTTGCTGCAGTCACTGCTTAAACCAGCAGATGGTGCAATAACCGCAGGATAAATCGACCAAGGCTGTCCAGTCAGACCCGACTGGACAAATAAGGACGAAAGCATGTAAAAAAAACAATTTCGTAGTAGCTAAAACAAAACTATTAATTCATGCACAAAACCCCATATTTTATTTACCCATTTTAATTAACTAGCTTGAAGAGTTTTGTGTGGATAGCTTTAGAAAGAAAGATAAATTGGTCATTTTACCACAGACAGCTTGATGGTTGGTTTCGGGCCCTTTTCTTTCGGGCAGCTTTCCTTTCCTTCCGTTTTGGCTTACATTTTAGACACATACCATGAATTTTATTACTGACTTTTCTTATCTGCCTCTCAGCTGCTTTGTTTTTCATGTGGAATCAGATAACCTTCCTTTAACCTGATTTTTTTTTTTATTATTTTCATGTGGAATCAGATAACCTTCCTATAGAAACGTGTACGTATTTGAACTACCGGAGCGATCCCGCAAATGTGAGTTGATTTGGAAAATGTGTCGCCTGTGATTGTCCATTTAAAAGCGTGTACATTTTTTTAACCTGATTTTTTTTTTTTTTTTTTTACCGGATCAATATAAATAAATCTATATCTTTTGATTAGAACGTAATAGGCAGCCAATAAGGTAAGACTATCAGTCATGTTTTCATCCCACAGAGGGGAAATTTAAAAGAACCTAAAAGAGTAGAAATATTTTTAAAAGTACATGTGGCTCAGCTCTAAATATCACATATCTGTGGCTAATTTTAATCTTCAGTGAAACCTTTTCCCGCTGTTTCTGTGGATACCAACGTGCGCGTTGTTCTGCACATGCGCTGTAACAGGCTTCTTCATTTGGTTAATTTGACAAATTGATTAACACGATTAAGCTTTAAAACTGCTGTTAATGACAGTTCTAGTCCAAACACAGAATCACCTCAGGGCCTTTAACCTTTTATATGAAATGTGCTTTGAATAGTCTGGTCCTTCAGTAGTCCGTGTGTTCAAACCGGGAAGAACCGGTGCCGTGTGATTAGCGCTGTATAAACACCGGTAGGTATAGTAGATATGCTACCGTAACACCTGCAGTAGAGGGGCGTTTACCGTATATGATCACTTACACTCACAGACACTTCTTTGTGAGCCGTTTTAATACGTAACCCACCAAAGTTAGAAATCTAATCTAATCAAAAGGAATTTTACTCCTGTGCCTTCCTCATTCAGAGTGTTAATTTACTATCTGTTGCCTTCAATGTAGCATTAGAGCTAATTCCAAACCCTGTGTTGGAACAGATTTGAGTAAAAAGTAAATGTCACTTCCGCACACAGTTAAACCTGGAAGGTAAATGACACCCTTGTCTGGGGCATTAGGGAGGGGTGTCACACTGTAGTGGTGCTACGAGTTTTCTATTTAGCCCTGCAGAAGAAGAGGAACTTTAAGTTACACCCAAAGCTGGTCAGTTCAGTATCATGACATGCCACATCACATCACAAGCCACAATAAGCGGCAACTACCTGACCTGAATTTTGGCTTTGAGTAAATTTACATCTGCAGCCGCCTGACAGAACCTGACCACATTTGTCAGCAGCTCTCAGCAGAACAGCAGGAACTGCTGAAACTTTAGGACCTGCGCTGTGTCCGAGGCTGCAGAGAACAAAAGAATCCAGGAGGGAACAGGCGCAGGGAGAACATGGTATCAGGTACTTTATCTGCCGCTCTCCTGTCTCTCCGCAAGAGGAGGTGTGAAAGGATCAGCTGCATACCAGGTATTTTGCAGTGATCAGGTGGTTTACATGCAAAAGTGTCTCTATGGTGAAGGTGTTCAGCTGTGGCCTGTGTCAAATGTATGAATGGCATGTAAAACCCTTCCCTAATGTGTTTTGTACTGTGGTGTTTCACACAAAACAACAAACACATTTACAGAGTCACCGCCTCACACTCCACTGCACAGACGCACAGTCGAGAACGTGAGACGGGAACCTGAAAAACATGAAAGAGGAAATTGTCTTTTCTTACCTTCAAAGTTGGCAGAAAACTCCTAGGATTAAGATGGAACTTTGTGCAGGTTTCAGTCCATGGAGAAAACTCCTAGGATTAAGATGGAACTTGCAGGTTTCAGTCCATGGGAGTGGAGAGGAAGGAGAGAGGGCTCCACTCAGGAAGGGACCTCCTCTCTGTCTGACCTCCTACTGCTGTTCTCTGCTCCCTGCTGGCTCCTCCTTTTTCTCTCTGTCTTTCTTCCACTTTTTGACTGGTTCTCTACAGTTAACTCACATCCAGCTGAGGAGGAGCGTGGGGTTTACTGCATTTCTAATGTGTTAGGTAAACAGGTAAAGTTTTTGATTGTGTCATTTGTGTTGTTGCTGTTGCCATGTTTTACAGCAGTGGTACAGCAGGAGCGTGCACTGGTATTTAGAGGCTACAAAAACACACTTGTACCCAGTGTTGTAACTAAATATGCTGCTGAATGGTCTTCAGCAGAGGTCTTCAACAGGAGGCCCGTTAGCCCCAAGAGGTCCATGAAGGCACTGCAGCAGGGTCGAAAAATGTTTGGTTACCTAAAATAGAAAATATGAACCTGTGTATTATTTGAATAGATTAGGGCTGAATGCAAAATACCATGGTAAATTGATGCATGACACTAAGCCTAGTTATATACAATTCAAAAATGTCCTATTTCCTCAAAATAGCCTCTTCTCATCTCATCAGTTTTTGGCATGTAAATCATTGACAACCCCTGCACGTAAAATGATTAACAAAAAATTGCTTTCTATAGTGTTGTTTATATTTAGTGTCTTTTTTGTGATAGTCTGTTTTGTAGTTCACTTTTCAACTTTTGGTAAAGGTTGTGCAGTGAGGCTGAATTCCTTGCACCTTAGCAGCCATTGGGTGAGTGGACTGTTCACTAGTCCATCACAGGCCCCAGTGACAAGCACCCATTCACACTCCCATTCACACTAACATTCACCCCTACGGTCAACTTACAGTTCCAATTACAGAAACACAATTCAATTCAACTCCATAAAATTCTACTCTTAATACAACTGTGAATCGAACCAATTACTTTCTTGTAAGGCAAACACACCTGACTACACTGTATAATAACCCTACAGTGAACAACAGATAAATCCACTGGTGTAGTGCAGAACTACGGCAGCACTGGACTGATGATAGAAGTTGTAAATGACAGAAGTTTGCATACTGCAACCTTTGCCTCTGCAACCCACTGACACGCTGCTGCACACGATCACGATAACATCAAGAGGAAGTTACAGGACTTTATGATGACATTCAACCAATGACAGTACTTGTGTCTTTCTGGACAGGAAGGAGCAGTTTCACCCACAGACTATACACAGTTTACTGTGAACAGGCGGCGGAGGATAAACTGTTGATGTGTCAGTAGGAAGGAGAGATGAGTCACACATGACTGAGGCTACTGCACATGTTGGCTACAGAGCTAAGCCAGGGCTTGAACATCTGCACCTACTGGTTTTTACAGCACCTGAGGCTGTCACACAGTCAGCCAGTACGGGGGTGCCGTCTTAACACAGCTGTTTAAACCTGCATGGTAAAGCGTTAGCACAAAAACTAAGACTGCGTGGATGCTGCTCAGTTCAGTCTCGATGGACACTCAGGGTCAAAAAGTCTCCATCAGGAGTTGGCAGGTCCTTTCATGTTTGTATCTTTTATATCAATAGCTGTCCTACAGCAGTTTGGTCAGCGAGCCCTTTCTAAATTGTTTCATAAATAAAGTAAGTCACAGTAAATATTTACAGTAAGCTAGTGTTTGCTGAAGTTCCATCATTCTGAAAGGAAAAACAAACTCAGTGTCTCATCCTTGGCCCCAACAACCAAGGACAATGATTCTTAAACACGGGGCGACTGTATAAAAGACATATACGTATAAGACCATCATCACATCTTTACTGTGTTGTACACAGTAACCATACTGGGCATCACTGACATAACTTTACCAACACTGTATCCCAGTGTTGAATGTCAAACAGCTTTCACCTATGTATTTACCTGGTTCTGCTGCAAATGTTAATGAGTTTGTCCTCTGGTCACACCTCACACGTCCACACAAGGCCACTGTCTTTTCTTTCACTGCATAATTTGCAGGGAGACAGAGAAAAAGAAAAGTGCAGGTACCTGCAAATAAGTGTTGAGCTGATTAACACAGAATGAATGACACTGGCGGTGGTTATTACACCAGGGTGCAGTTAAAGTACAGTTAAAACACATACATATGACTAATGGAAAAATGAGCTCATTATAATAATAATTAACATTATTTCCAGCAGTGTGTCTCTACATGGACTCCAGCAGTAACCTCACAGTGAATGTCTGCTCTACAGAGTCAATAAGTGGACTTCCTGCACAAAGATTCCTGACTGAGTGGAACCTGGCTCCTGTCCATGGACCGCAGACAGCTGTTGAAAAAAAAAAAAAAAAAAGCAAAACATTTAAAAATAAAAGGTGTGTCTTTCCCCGTGTAAAACCATAACGTTTTCATTTTGAAATAAAACTCACAAGAGGAAAGAGTTTCAAAGTTTTACTGAAGAACTGACAAAAGGAAATGTACAGTAAAGGGAAGAACAGTAGAAAAACTCAAGTCAGAACTTCTCCTCACACAGACCTACACCTTCAGCGTCTCCGTGTCTGCCCCGCTCTCACCTGTCAATCAAATAAATACTATGACAATAAAGATTTAAATGATCAATGAGTGTCTGGAGCTGAAAAGTCCACATTTGTACCTGTTAACATTAACATGGAGATCTATTCAGGTAAACAGTGATCACTGCTGTCGTCCATTCTCAGCAGAGTGTTTGTACGGAAACCACAGAGATGCAGACGTCTCTGGCATAATTGGTCATTTATTACAACATGACAGCATGGTGTGGTACTGGTAATGTTACACCAGGGAAGAAGTGAATACTTATTTTCATATCCTGGTAAATATCTGGTTTCTTCTTATCAATTTTCCGTCAGACACAATCAGCTTCACAGGTTGCACAACACGTGCAACCTGTTTGAATTATGAGAATTCTCTTTGGAATCTAAGGTTTAACCTGTATTAGACTACACAGAATATTAAAATTCACTGTATATATATATATATATGTATATATACATATACATATGTATATATACATATACATATATATATGGTTAATGTTTTGTTTTTTTAAAGAAACCATTATTGCTACTTAAAAAAATAAAATGTGATAAATCTTCATTTAGACCTGTTTAGAGTTTCAGAGTGGAGTTATAAGAGGTGAGTTCAACCTTGGGCGACTCATTTCTCCATCACAGGGCCATAAACAACCATCCACACTCATATTCACACCCATGGTTCATTGAAAGTGTCCGGTTGACCTAATCACGCCATGATGCTTGCAGTAAGACAAACACCATTACACTGTGGACCATTAGAGTCTTAAAATCCAGCAGTTTTAAAAATACTATTCAAGTGAATAACCACCATACCATAAAAGCTCCCAGTGTCTCCAGAACGGGTTCACTGAAGTCAATCTGTTTAGGTCATAAATACTGCAGGCACTGATGACATGAATATGTCTGCACTAGGTAAGGTATGCTGTAGTCAACATTAAATTGCTACCTACATTGGGCCACATGGTGGAAGGGTGGTCAGTGCTCTTGCCTTACAGTAGGGGTCACCAACTATATTTGTCAGAGGGCCAGGATTGTTCTAGACAGACACCTTAGAGGGTGGACACTCCAATACAATGAAATTAATATATCACATTTGGAATCCAGACACTGGCTGGATTGGATGGTTCGGTGGGCCGGATTGGACCAGCGGACCACCAGTTGATCATCACTGCCTTACAGCAAAAAGATCCCCGATTTTAACAGAAGCTCTAAACTATGTTCCTCATGGACTGAGTTTCCAGGATTAAGTTAATTGCGGTGTGAACGTGAGTGTCCTGTCTTGTGACCTCTGTGACCCTGAAAAGGATGAAGCAGCACTAGACGATTGTGTGACTGCTGTACTAATTCAACTAAACTAAACCACGGTCCTTCACACAGGTCATGATGACCTCACAGATCCTTATCCTGGTGTCACTCTCACATTTCCCTCCTATAACCTCCACCCTATCAAACTGTGACGTGATATGACTTTATCAAAATATTCCATCCTTCAAACAAACACCCCAGTGATATACCATCACCACCATGTCAGTGAACCACACACACTGTTCTACCAAATGACCTGTCATGATGGCGTTTCCTTCTTTACAGACAGACAGTGAACAGTTCTCAGCACTTCATTGGTAGTTGGGGGGACGGGGGACGGGGGACGACGACTACTTCCTCTTCCTGCCCCGGCCTCTCCTGCCTCTGCTGGAGGAGGGGCCAGCTTCTGCTGAGCCCAGAGCATCGTCTGCAGCAGGACTGTCTGTGATGATTTGTCCCTCCTGGAGCTGGTGACGTGTCTCCGAGGGCAGGCACTCGATCCTCTGCTGAGTGTCCAGATAGAACATGACGTCTCTCAGCTGCTCCTGCAGTTCTGAAATCATCATGTCCTTACGCTCTCCTGCAGAGAAAACACATCCAATACTCCTGAATATGTTTTAGGCATTTGTATCTGATTAATCACAGGGAAGCCCATTACTAATATTGAAAAATGCCAAGAACAATATATAAAAGTTTAACTCAAGGTTCATTTAACAAGAGTGGGTGGATCTCATTACTGGGTTCATCCTAACAGTGGCTTGTAGAGTGTGTATCGCCTGTCGAGACCAACGATAAGTGGATGGATGGTGGAATTATTGTGCACTAAAATAAAATCTGATTAATTTTATACATTTTTAAATTCATTATCGCAATCAATGAAAATTTAATTTGACAGAGCTAGTTTCATCACACCTTTGACTTTTTAAATGTTGTTAACAGATCCGTCACACCCACAGAAAGCAAAGGTAAGTTCTGGCTCTTGGTCTGTTTTTTTGGTTGTGACCACGTCGACATCACCTTGTGGGCCCCTCATGTTTTTATCAAAATAAGGACTCTCAGTGTAGCCCACATGTGGCCAGGGGACAGCACACGTGGGTGTTTACCCTCCAGCTCACCTCAGACTCAGGTGGGCTCCACACACTAACACACCGGCTAATGTAGGTTCCATCAGTGTGAGTGAGCGTTCACCTCCCTCTCTTTTCTCATGTGTGCCTCTCTGCTCATCATGTCTTGGACAAATCCAGTCCGTGTTAGAGTTAGTTTGACTTGACACCGTGCTGCTGGCCTTCACACAGCTGTGTGAACCTGCTGACGAGCGACGTGTGAAGTGAGTGACCACTTTGTCCAAAGTCTTGACCAAACTCATTAGTGATACACGTGTGTGTCTACGTGCTCAGTGAACCGTCAAACGTCCTGCAGTGATGTAAAGGACAGGATGTGTTTGTCCACCCCATACACAACCACAGATTTGTCTCTTGTCACAGCGTTGAGCAACAGAGAGAGATCGTCACTCATTGACATCACTGACATCACTGACATCACTGACATCAGCCAAGGTGGCATTCTTTCACCTTTTTTCTGCTTGGCACAAACTGGCATCGACTCCAGGGCTTCTAGTTTCGTCTTCAAACTGAATCTTTGTTGGCTGTACGTCTGGAGTCTCTGAACATATCTTCTACTTCTAAAAAGCTTCAACAGCCCATCTGTCCTGAAACATCAGTCTGGAAGAGTCGGTGCTGATGCAGTAAAACTACCTCGTGTACCTCTAATCTCATCTCATCCAATCCAGTCCAATCTAATCCAAATTAACATACTGTAATCCCAGTTCTCCAGATGTTTCCACCTGCTCAAGAACTTTTCAAATTTCAAATTCAATGGCACTTTTTTAAAACATATCACGTGTTTTAGGAAGTTGCAATTTCTGAATTTTACAAGTTGACACCTAGTGCAGTGAGTCACACTTGGTCACGTGTTGACTCCTGACTTACCCACAGTGGGCTCTGTGCCCCAGTCTGCACTTCCTTTAGCTCTAGATCTAATAATACTACTTATTAATATATTTCAACAGTAGAAACGACAGTTCCACTGAAACACATCAGTCGTCTAAGGCTTTTAAATTCTCTTGGTGAGAGACAGACTTACAAAGATAAGACATTAGAGAATATAATACCTGTCAACCAGACAAAGGAACGGCACCAAGTCTGAATGTTTGTTCCATGTAATCCACGTGCACAAGGACAGGTTTGTTTAGAGACTGAAGAAAAAAGACCTGAATGTTTCTATTAATGACGTCTGTGCTGACATTTACTTTGTCCTGAGGCAAAGCGGTGATGAAAACCTTCTCAGCTCATGTGTCACTCAGGTCGAGGTCGTGTGGACCATTGGAGTTACATTCTGATTCCTCATGCTAACAGGTTTGCTTTCGTTTGAAACTGTCACACTGATGTTTTAATTAAAATTTAAAATTTTGTTTCAAACCTTTTTTATAAAAACCAAGCTTTGAAACCTTAAACTTTTTATCTAAAAGCATCCCTATTGTGAGGTATATAATTTCAATATCTTTTTCATGATCATGTTGGAGGTAATAACACACCAAAAAAAAAAAAAGCTGTATTTAATAAACGCCCTTTGGACGACTGTCGAGGAAAAAAACAAATGAAAACTAAAATTTGTTTATGATTTGCAAACACTACAGCACCAACAAGGAAGCAGTGCACAGCTGGCCCCAGTCTGGAGCCTGAGGCCAACATCTGAGCATTAACATGGAGCTTGAGTGTTTGGTGTTCACCAGTCAAACATGTTTATAGACCCTCAGGCATTTTTTGCACGATGAGAGACATTTGGAAATTTGAAAAATTGTCGTCTCACCACTCTCTTTTCCCTTGCGCTCCTTCTCTGTCAGCTGATTCTGCAGTTGAGTCTGATTGGCTCTCAGACAACGGTTCATCTCCTGTTCCTCCTTCAGCTCTTGGCCCAGCTTTGAAATTCTGCTGTTTGCTTGAGTGAACCTTCACATCCAAACACAACAGAGCTTAGAACTAATCTGGTTTTACAAAAACCTGAGGCCTGAGGTTATTTGGCAGTTTTGCTCCCTGACTGCTCAACCTGATGGAACGGTGCCAATGGTAACAGCAATAATTTATGGTCAGTGTGATTCACTGCAGGCAGCAACACTTTTGTAGGAAGTAAACTTAAATAAATATACTGTATGGAGTCAAATGAAAGCTGGTTTTCTTTTGTGAACTTTAAACCCTAACCCCACATATTTTACTGATAAAATATTAAACAAAACAGGATGAGACAGTTGATATTTTCACAGATCCAGATATTATCTGGACATTGGAATAACATGGTGGGAGTAAATGTACCAGGACAGACTCATCCCACCTTCACTTGTAGGTTAAATGTCTAGTTTGTTGTGAATGTTTAAAACAATGTCCACAAATGAGGCAGCCAATATGCACACCCAGAACTAAACTTAACCTAGAACTAAACTTTTTATGTTATCCAATATCACAATCTTGGTAACAGCAGTAAGGCAAGGTTTCCTGTGTAGATATGCAGAAATGCTGGGCAGTGCCAGGTTTTCATTTGTTGCTCAATACTCTGTCTTTTCAGACAAGGAGGACAGTGATGTTATCTTTGTGCTTGCAGCTGGTTTGGTCACAGATTGGTCACATGGCTTCAAAATACTTTGATAATAATAATAGGACCAAAAAATTTTAAATCAAACACATTTCCTGAGAAGACCCACCTTTTCTCAAAGCCCTGCTTCTCTTTAGTTATTTCCCCTAAGCGTTGCTCCAGGTTATCACAGCGCTCCAAGGTTTCCTTAAATTTGGCTTTCATGTTGTTAATCTAAACGTTAGGCATAAAGACAGGAGTTACACAGGAAGAACAGAGAAAGTGCACGTTTGAAAAAGTCTTAACAACCTCCTCGGCCGTCTCCTTCTCCAGACGCACGATCTTATTTTCCCAATAAATCCTTTGAGATTCCAGCTGACTGGTCAGGAGGTAGGAGTACTGCAGACAGGGAATGATGGTCAGAGCATGTGATGGTGAAAATAAACAACACAGAGGAAAAAAAACTCACCTCTAGTTGAAGTGCATCAATCTTCTCATCTTGACAGATGTCTCCTTCACACTCGTACTGGACCATCTTACCATCTGTCTTACTGGCCACAAGTCGATGTACATAGTTATCTGTAAAGACACAGAGCTTTCAGATTATATATATATATACACAGTTGATTGTTAGCTAAGCAGGACTGTCATATGGAGATTAACAATCTTTTCACAAAGTCATGAAAAGCAGCAGCAATGTTTCCTTATTAAAAGACAAGACAACTAGGACTGCATTGTTGTTGGTCTAAATTCCAATAGACTCTGGATTGTTGAAATGTAAAACTAAAAGTCTATATTGTGATGTGATGTGATGCTCTGTTATGAACCACCACCAAGTGCACACAAACCAGAAGGCTTCTGGAATGGAAGGGGAATTCTGATTGTCAAAGCTGATGTAGGGTGCCCCCTAGTGCACACAGTTATTATTGCATCTACAGACCTGCAGACCATCTACAGACGTACAGTACATGCCCACACACACACACAGGGTCTGTACCTCCTGCGTAGTCCCACACACGGTGGTTGGTGAGCTGCATAGCGTAGGTATGCTGCGTTTCCTCAAAGTGCTTATGTGCATGACGGCTAACATAGCGGCCACAGCCGATGTGACCACAGATCAAACAAATCCACAGGTTCTGTGGAGGAAAAGAAAAAGATCAGTCAGGTAGAAACTCTTAATTAAGATGAGTTTTGAGACGAGACACAGCTTTTCTGTTACCTCCTGCACTCCACACTCAAAACACTTGTTCTCTTCGACTGGTTCTGGGGTTTGACAGTACCTACAAACAGGACACCTGAGAACAGAACACACCTTTGTGTGAGTGGTCTTTTTGGAAAAAAGAAAAACTCAACAGAGATTTACTCATTCATATAGTTAAAGATAAAAAATATAGATGAACATTATGGTAGCACTGCAGGAAAATGTTTTTGATTTTTTTTCATGAAGCACACTTAAAATACCATCTCAGTGCCCATGATGAAAAGTTTGATTTATACTTTTAAAATTAACTCCATTAAATATTCCATTATTTGGATTAGCTACAAGTGAACTTTCTGTTCCAACAATGTAGAGAATGTTTTATTGAGGAACTGAGGATTTATTTTCTTATTTTTTGGACTTTCTCTCGAAGCAACATATGGACTAAAGGTAAACATAAAGATCACAAAAAAAGTGTGAGAACTCACGAGACATAATCCCAGCGCTGGAGACACTGACTGTGAAAGCTGTGATTGCAGAGAGTGGTGAGGATGCCATTGACGGACTCGTCCATCCTCTCCAGGCACACGGTGCACTTTGGCAGCTCTGTGAGTTCCATCACTGGTAGACTGGCTCCCTGAATAAAAGGAGAGGGTGGAGAAAGGCAGAGTCAAGGTCAACTCAAACAACAAAGAGGAAACTACTGTTTGTTCTTTTAGTCAGTTTTATTTCAGTAAGTATTGTGTATATATAAAAAGAAATAACATAAATGAAACCTATGTTCCTGTTGAGGTTTTAAGCAAATATATTCAAGTTGTGTCTATGAAGATTCTCAGTCATTTTAGTATGACCTGGATTCTCAGTCATCCAGGTCATATTCCTGAAAAAGTCCTGAAAGTGCTCCCACACTTCACAGTAATAAGGCCCCATGTTCAAAAAAATGAGAATTTAAGCAATTCTTTTTATTTTAAATTTAAATTTTATTTTAAATTTATATAAATGTATATAAATATATATTTATTTATATTTTAAATTTTATTTTTTTAATTTAAATATTAGAATTTAAGCAATATAAAAACAGAATACAAATGTTGCATGATTCAGTCTTAAAAGATGTGTAACTTTATTTTTAGGGCAGAATTGAGGGGTAACTGCATGGGCTCCTCCAGCAGATGGCGTCATAAACGACTGCCCATGTGTTACATTCACAATGGCTACATACACATCAGCTGACCTAGCTGCAGACACAGGGTGTCACCACAGGACAGTTGGAGCTTCATAGTTGACACCAAGCTGGTAATCATTCTCCCCCACTTTGCTGCACTTAACACCACCAGGATAATTCTACACATGACTGGGGCATTCACACTGCACAGCTCATATATTTGAATAAACATAATGAGCTTCTTTACCTTCAACAATTAATTCAACTCCTGCTGCCATTTCTGTCAAATATGTTGAGGTATAGTTATTTTGGTCTGTAAGTACGAAGGTCAGACATATGTGAAAGGTGCCATTTCTGTCAAATATGTTGAGGTACAGTTATTTTGGTCTGTAAGCTGTAAGTAAGAAGGTCAGACATATGTGAAAGAATTGACTTTTAGCTGGTACGCTGAAACATATACTTTCACAATATATACATATACTGAGTACAGAAAAGTACTCAGAAAAGTTTAAATTAAAAGCTCAGCAGTACATATTGGGGTTTACTAATGAAAGACGTTGTGCTGTGACAAGAAAACATTGTAATTATTAATAATAAAAAATGCTAAATTTATACTGTAGTTTATTATGACCAAAAATCATGGTTTGTAAACAAGTAACCAAGTAAAGGTGACAAACACATTGTAACTTTAAAAACAATGAAAAGGTACGGTAGTACTGAGAGGAACATAATAAAAGAGAAGTGTTTACTTCTTCAGACTTTATGACCTCTGCCCTCTCCACATAGACCAGTTGACACACTGCTTCTTCTATGGAGTTGAACTGGCGGCCGTTGCACGCCATGTAAAAGCTGTCTGCATCGGCCTAGAAGAGCAGAGGACAACAAATACAACAGGACAATAAAACAACAGCTATACTGAAGAACTACTGCATAGATGTTACACAGAGCTGAATTCAAACATTAGGGAGTTCTCACTCATTCTGTTAAAATCATTTCAGTGTAAATATTGACATGATGAGCTGAATCAGTCTGAAGCCTGAATCAGCAATAATCTGAGATGATGACACCACAGATAAACACAAAGACAAATGTTATACTCAAACATTCTACAGCCATTTTATTCAAAGCTTTTCTTATATCTGGCCCCAGTTCTGGCCATTTTAAAACTTCACCTGTGTCTGAAACTTAACCAGAACCATGTACTGGTTGGGAGTAGAGTCCCGTATTATCTTCATGTGGTCTATCACGTCATTGAATGGAGCCATGAACTTCATCAGATCGTGACTGGTCATGGTCGCCGGCACGGTCAGGATACACACCATGGCACTGCGTCTGACATCTTCAGTTAATGAAGTCATTTTGCTGCAGTAAGAGGAATAAAAAAGAAAAGAATATCAAAACAAAAATACGACCATCAACAATCGTTTGGACTCTAAACATTAACATGTTCATTTCTCTAAACTTCAGAGCAGAGAACTTTGGACCTGTGACTCACTTAGTTTTGTAGAGGTGCATGATGCCGTAGACTATCTCTACACAGGGGTTTCCGCTGAAGAAGGAGATCTGATCTGGCAGCTGTTTGGGGGGAGAGTCTGCAGAAGTGCTGGACGTCTCACTGTTGAGCTGTGAACCCTCTGTGTCCTCTGGGTTTGAAGCCCGAGCTTCCCCTGTCTGCCCAGAAGGACCTGACTCCTCACCTCCCCCTTTATCTAAGCAGAAAAATGCAGACGTTTTACAGAGTATAAACATGTAAATGTCACTCCCTGATATACACAAAATGCACATAATATGCCCTTTTTCAGCTAATATTAGACCATGCCGTTCCACCCTTAATATCTGTGTGACATTGTTAAGAAGCATTTGATTAAATCTTTGTGAAATTCAAACCACTTTTATGATTTTCAGTAAAATTCAGTAAAAATGAAGAAAACATGGATTTTTGGACAGTAATTTAAAAAAGCACAAACTGAAATGTTCCAACTTTACATGCAATTTATAAACAACATGACTGTTGGAATTATACATGGATGGAGTTCCAGCAGTACAAAATTATATACCTGCAATCCAATCCCTGGGAGCAGATGTAACTAACGGGTTTGAACAGAAACAAATTGAGTGTGTCTATGGGGGTCTCAGGAAGAGTTCACAGGGTGAAGAATACTAACACAGCACTGTGTCCAGAGCAGAACGTTCTTTGACAATTATGTCAAAACCAATCACTAACTCCATATAACGATAAATGTTGTTTCAGTAATCTGATCTGAAGAATCTCTGGGAAGGCATTAGACACAGTGTCTATTTGCGGTCAGATTACTTTCTAGGTCTGGAAGATAGAGACCTTCAGAGATCTGAGCCTATTATTTCACACAGGGTTTATCAGCCGACATTTTATGGTTTCCATTCCCTAACTGCCGGCTTAATGGCTTTCAGCATCATGGCTTACCTGGGCAGGGTTCAAATGTTTCTATCATCATCTCTGCCATGGCTCTGCTGCCAATGTTTTGGTGAAGCACAGCTGCTCTCTCCAGTTCTCGGGTGAGTTTGGCAAAACCCAGAGCCCGGTCCTGCCGCTCCTCTTCGGACATGTCTTCAACTTCAGCATGAAACATAAAAAATATATAAGACAAGCCACAACCAAAGTAAGGGAAGAGAGCAGCATTAGTAGTAGTTCACTGCACGGGCACAGACAGACTGACAGAAACAAAAAAGAAAAAGGTAAAAGAAAAAAGGAGAAACAATTCAAAAAAGAGAAGTTGTTTATTAAAACACTAACAAAATGTCACAGCTATATGAAGGGGATGTGACTGTGTGATTTAGATGATATTTCAAAGGTAGATTATACTGAACAACAATGCAGGTGACAACTGGATTGTGTTACTTTTGTAACAAGTCAAACTTTAGTTTATTAGCTTTGTCATAAAGATCGGTGCCCACGTTAAAATGTCATCTTAATAAATTGTTTCTATATTATAACGCAAGGATATTGATACAAATAATTTAGCTAATTCTCCAGAACATCGTTCATATATAGTTTGTGCTGCATATTAAAACAAACCACACATTTACCGTTGAATATAAAGTGTGATTTAACCAAACAAGTGTTTAGAAGTGAGCTGAATACCAGAAAAGGGAAAACAAAGTGAAAGGGGTTTGTATGACGACAGAGCGACTGCCAACAGAGACACCAATGACGACATGAAACAAAAATAAAACATAACATAACAGGATATTTCAGCTGTCAAGCTAGCGACACACAAGAGCCGCCTGTGCCACAAACTACAGTTAGTCTGAGGGTTGAAACAGACAGAATGACTCACCAGCGGAGTACAGGAAACCCCGCGGAGAAGGAGACTGGTCTGCTAACTCCAAACGGATAACAAGCAGCGACACACTCATGTGTTAAAGCACCGACAGGCTCTTCCACAGGGAACAAAACAAAACAGCTAACGGCGCTGCTAACACAGTTCAGCTAACGGCGCTGACCTTCTAACGTCTACGTTTAACAAGACACAGAAACGCACTCTTGTTAAAAAGTGTCTTGGTCATGTCGTTCTGTCCTCGACACACACAAAACACTTGTATGTCTATAGTTAATGATAAGTGGAATTTTCAGTATGTCGTCACGTCGGCTTCTCTTGCTCGTACATACAAAATATAACGGTGGTTTTTGAGCCCGACTGCGTTGCTGACATCTACAGGGACAAGTCTATACTGCACCCGTGACGCAGCTGTTCACGTTTGTATCAGGATCTTAGCACTTAGCAGCATACAGTGGCCATTACTAATGTCGAAATAAGTCAATAACAATTTGTTGAATAATTTAAATTGATAATCAGGTAATAAAAACTAAAAACTAATTAAAAAATATCGCTGGTAGACCGTCTGTGAAATTTGCAAAAAATTATTTTACTACAGTAAACATTTTATTTAAAATGATAAATATTCCTCAGAAAGACAAGAAATGAAATTCATATGAATTCAAAAAGTGTTATTATATTTCTATAATTTCATTTTACAGGTTTCTACAATATCATACTAAACTTCAGTAAAAATAAAATGAAGATAAATGAAATGAATCAGCATAAATCAGTGTAGAGCAAAATGACATCACACAGGTGTTATTTTTGTTTTCTTTATTTTCTTTAGAAAAGCTTTGACGTCCAGTGCTTCTGGATTCCATTTCTAACAAAAGTCAGGGTTAATGACACTTCAGATTGTCAACCATTACTCTGAACCTGAACACAACACAGGTTCTCAGGTTAACATCCTCTCCTCTGTTCAGACGTGTGCATGATTGTGTGCACATACAAGTTTATTAGAGGAGGGGGGTTCACCATTGGCTCCCATCTTTACGCTGCACTCCCTCCTCATTGGTTATAAAGTCGACAAGACTCCAGTTTCACACCCACACGATGTTGAAGACGCTGGAGCTGATGTCTTCATTTTGGTTTGTGAGTCTTGTTTGTAGCAAGGGTTTTTGGGTCTATGGTTATTGGAGGCAACTTTACTACTGTCCTCGTACAAACTGTACTTTCATGAAGCTGTCTGTACGTGTTGGTACAATAATAATAAGGTCCAACGTTGGTCTGTGAAACACACCTTAGTGGGTTAAGAGATGGGAACAGAAAAATCATAGGAAGCAGGTTTCTACAAAGCTGGATGTTGAGTGAAGGTCACAGTCTGTACAGTCACACAGGGACTACAGTTGACAGAATCATCCTTTACGCAGAGTCAAATATATATGCTGTAAAAAGGGACATCTAATACATTCTGGAGGAGTTATTGACAGGATTTCCTCTTACTTCACCGTGAGAGTTCCTTGCAATTTGATACATGCATCTGTGAACATCAGTCCTGAGAGATCCAGGCACAAAGTCTAACTCTAGACACAGAAAATGACCGAACCTGTGTTAGAAAGTTTAGGACATGTGGACAAACATTACTTTTGAAAACAAACATCTTTCCTCCCCATGCGTTAATGATGCTGTTTTTGGGACATTCCATCCCTCAGTAACCAGCCACTGACACACCCCAGCCAATCCAGTCTCCCAATTATGCTTTTTTCCTTTTGTTTTTCAAATGCAGTTTTATTTAAAACATTTTAAAATAAAAACATAAAACCATTTGGGACCAATGGTCAATATTTGTAGGTAAGTTTTACAGATCAGCATGAAGGAGTAGCTACCAAAACCAGGAAGCCTGTGTTGGATGCTGCTTCAACCACAACAACAAAAAATAACATTGTGGTTGAACTGAAGGCTTTCACCAATTCGTACACAGTCCGGTATTATTGCTACTACGACTTCATCTTCACCCTTTTTTGGTTTGGTTTGGTGGAGGCGCTGGAGCCAATTCCTGCAGTCGCCAGGTGAGGGCAGGGTTACACCCTGGACAGTTCACCAGCCCAACGCAGCCCCACATAGAGACAAACAACCATTCACACCGATATTCACACCTGTAGTTCGTGTTGAGCTAACGAAATTCTGCAACTTGACTGAGGGGAAGAAGCTGAAGCACAAACACACACACACAGTCACGACCACACCTCACCGTCCCACCGTCATAGTAAATCCAACTCCAAGCACTAACACTAGACTCACTCTCCACACATTATAATGCCCAATGTAAAAAATAAGAAAAAACCCCTCTTCAGCAGCCTGTCATGAGATCTCTCAGGTCGGATGTTAACACCAGAGTCTGAGTGAGGCTAATAAAAGACGCAAGTAGAAAACACACCACTTCTGGTGAACAATCTTATTTGGACACAAGATACAGTCTCTTATTAAATATTTATATGACCAGTCCAGTCAGACTGGGGTGATTTGAGCCATGTCTGGGTTTGTCTTTTGTGCTGGAACAACCGTTTTCCCCACACAGACATGTTTACAAGGGTCACATGAACTCCAAATGAAAAATAAACCACACAGTCAGACGCAGTCAATATAAAAAACAAACAAACAAACACAAAACATTGTCCTGCTGGACAACACTGCTCTTAATACTGCAACTACAGAGGTGGTTCTGCTCTGCGCACCAAAACGACACACAAGATACACGAAGGAAGAAAAGAACAAAACAGAGCAGTGACAAAAAAGAAAAGGATGTTGATTGTAAAAACGTCAGTTCTATCAGCTGCTAGCCGCATGTCCGTGTTTCCAAACGCATTCTTTCATTGCTAGTTTGGCCCTTTGAAAAGCGCAGGGCTGAGGAAGCAGCATGTCGACAGGAGTCTTTTATTTTTTTCCCCTCAGTGAGAGCCGTGTTTCATGGTCTGTTTTCTCCAGTAGAAACAGTGAGGAGCACAGATGGTACACAGTAGTGGTTTATCATGTTCTTATCTCTCATTACTGTGGAGGTTGAACCAAATACAATCTTTTTTTTTCTTTAAAGTGAGTACTCATCTTCCTGATTTATTTTAAAACAAGCTTCTTTTTTCTTCTTCACCATTTTTATTTATTACTGCTGTATAAACCTATTGTACTTACACGCTCGTGTGCTGTAAGAACTGCCAATGTGTGAGGTGTGTGTCGCAGTGACAAAAAAAAGAAGGAAATGATAAAAATCCAGACAGAAAGCTGACATACAGTGACTGAGAAATGTGCTGGGGTCGAAGAGGGTCCGTCTGGTCTGGGATCGTTGGAGCGGCCAGTAAAACGCAGTACTTGCAGGTTAGGCTGAGCTGAGAGGTGGAGCCGGAGGACGTGAAGGGGGCTGATGGTGGACGTATAGTCACTGTGACGGTGGGCAGTGACCGTGTTCAGATCTTAAGGTTCTTTATAGTTTCTGCTCTCTTCTTCAGCAGCTCCCCCACCTCCTGTAGAGAGCGCAGGTAGCTGCTCTGCACCTTGTCCATAGCAGATTTCATAAAAGACGTCTCCTCCTGAAACAGACGAAAGGACACGGTCACCGTCAATGTCTTAGGGTCGGGGGGGTTAGGGAACACCTTGAGGTAGAACCTGGGCATTGCACCAGTGCATTGTTCTGTATGAACTGATAAGAAGCAGCAATCATTTACAACCAAAGGGTTGAGGGTTCTATTCCAGGTATGTTATATACCATTGTACCAGAGTTTTTTTTTTGGCTCGTCTCACATCATGTTTCCCTGGAGTTTCTGAATAATATCTATTGACTTGGGTCATGAAGGTTTGTGCCTTTTAAAATATGGGTCCCCAGAAAAAAAGTTTGGGAAACACTGTTATATACTGTCAGTCTACTACTACTAGACATACGGCATGAGACATGAGACGACTTTATGTTGTGACAGAACAATCCGGGAAACACTGTTATATACTGTCAGTCTGGCAGCCTCGCTAGTAGTTATTACTAGACATATGGCATGAGACGACTTTATGTTGAGACAGAACAATCATCTATACACAGATTCTTATGAGGAGAGGAAACATTTTTTTATCTAACAGACCAAAGCCCTCACCTCTGTGTGACCGTCTATGGTTAAGCTGCTCAGTTTGAGGGCAACCATGCCAGTTTCCTGCCCCTTTATATGATCCAAAGCCTGGGAGATCACGTCCTGCAAACTGCCTGTCAGCTCCTGGAAGCCACACACCACCACGGGCTGCAGGAAACACACATTAGAGAAGGACTTCATTAGGACTTGAGGTCGTCTTGAGAACTACAGCAGTGACGTTCAAGGACTTCACAGACACGTAGTTTTACCAGAGTCGTGTTTGTGTCCTTTTTCTTCTTCTTCTTCTTCTGTAGACTAGATTTGAGCGGTCGCAGAATCTTTGCACAGTAACTAGACACCCACAAGACTACGCACATCGTCTACAAAGAGCAAGATCACCGGTTAACGTCAGCGAGTCGTTCACAGCAGCAGTAGAAAAGAAAACAGTCAGCGTGTGACGCCAGAGAATTCTCACCTCCACAAAGAAGATCAGATTTTCTAATAAAGTCGGCCGGGTTTTCAATTTGCCTTCTTTCATTTCCAATAAATCACCTTGGCATTTTTTTAACATTTCTGTGAAAAGGGAAATAACGCAACAATGAACACACAAACTAAAACTAAATTTCTTTTGTTTTACATCTTTGTCTTTTTTTTGTGCACGGGCTCACCTTGAAGCTGTACTACTAAAGATTTAAAAGTGTTAGAGATCTGCGTTTGTAGCTCCGACGAGTCATCTGTGAAGAAACACGCAGCAGGTAAAGGAAAAGTTGGAGTTAACACCAGAGCAGTTCACTATTTCACCAACACTTGGAGAGTCCTTCACCTAGTCCTACAGAGTCCAGCTCCAGTAGGTGGACAGACAGCTGCAGGGCTGCAGCCTGACACTGGCAGCTTCCACTGGACAACGCTGGTGCCAAACGGGTGGAGGGAGGTCCCAAAAACGGGTACTGCAGAGAAACAGTAACAAGAAGACACAATGAGCAACATCTTCACCTTAGTTGTTCAATTGGAAAATTCAAATCATGGAGTCTCCTTGAAGTGGATTTACAAAAAAAAACCTCCTACATTTGTTGTTTGTTTTGAACCTACTTGTGTGCATTTCTCTGCCATCTGATTGGCTGTCTGGAGCGTCTGATTGAGCTGAGACAGCAGGCTGCTCAGGATTGACGTCTTGTCGCCGACTCCATTTTCAGTAGTGACCTCAGAGTTCTGTGGCGAGGGCGCGTGTCCCTGGCCGGCCAGAAAGGCGAGGAGGCGAAGTGTTAGGGAGCGTATTCTGAGCCAGACAGACTCCTCCTCCAGAGACTGCTGTCGCTGCGTGTCGGTGAGCTGCCTACGAGAAGAAGGAAGGAGGATTTGGTTAATGGAGCTCTTGGATTTTTGTGTTTATGAAGTGTAAAGTTTAAAGTTGATACCTCTCTGCAGGGTCCCAGCTGGTGAAAACTGTGAGGTCTCTGTTGTCTCTGAGGTTATCCCAGGGGATGTCATCGTCCTCTGCACACAGAGACATGGCCTTTACACTTTCCTCTAGATTCAACACACTGAAACACACACAGAGAACAGACGGCATGTGAAAAATACTCATCTTTACAGCATAAAGTCCTAGGAATAAATGAGTCTCTACAGTATGGTCTCACATATCGGCCTCGAGGAACAGGTCCAGCAACATTCTCTCAGTGCGGACTTGGGCAAAGTGAAGCGATTGATTTAACCTGTTCCTAAGAGCAATGAACTCTGGGATTTTCTCAAATGCACCGTACTTATACGCCTGGATGATATATTCTGAGGTCTAGGGGAGAGAGATGACAAACCAAGCACAAATAAAATGAATAAATTATTCATTAGCCTACATGAAAAAAAGAAACAAATGAAGCAGTAGAACAAGTGAGAGTTTGGACTCACATCTTTCTGGTTCGAGTGGAAAAACCTGAGAGAGAAGTTACAGGACTGGGAGGCTGCAGCGAACTGACCCAGTGACTCTGCGTAACGGGTCAGTAAGAACCTAAAAATACAAACGAGGACAGAACACATTTACACACAATCATGTTAGTCTGGCCGCAAACAAACAGATGTATCACAGTTCTGAAAACGTGTGTAAACTGGTGAATAAACAGCATCTCACTGCTAACTAACACCCTGTGAGGTCTATGTGGTAAAGTCAGCAGGTACGTCCTAGTGTCACGCCATAGGTCTATGTGGTAAAGTCAGCAGGTACTTCCTAGTGTCACGCCATCTTCAAAATGAAGCCAACTTCAACAGAGAAGTTAAATCAGTGGTTCTCCTTTATGTCCTGTCATTCCCCCTGAATTGAAATGACAGTGAGAACCTGATCATATGGATTTTCTTATCTGTACAAACCACTGTATGAGTTGCTGCCCCCTAGTGACCAGAGGCTTGTTTATTGGTCAAGCGTTACAGCAGCAGCACCCTTCTGTCCATATTCCACTGGAAGCCTCTCACGTCCAACCCTGCCTGCCCCCCCCCCAGCTGGGCCCACCCCACAATTAAAGAAGTACTGAGTTAAATGAATTCCAATTCACATTTACCAACATGAAGTTGTAGATTTAACAGTGGCTCGAGTCGTTACTTTATTTTCAAATTATAATCCTTGTCGCTCCAAGCTCGGAACTGAGGGAAATGCACAGTTAACTGTAGATGACAACATGCGTTCTGAGCGTGTGTTAGAGCAGTGATCATTGATGGATAGGAAATATTAGATATTAGGTATACTGTACTGTACTGTACTGTACTGTACTGTATGTATTAACATGTTTTAATCTGATTAATTTAACAAAGTAATTATAAATGTGGAGACCTGTAACAAGGTTCACTCTGGGTGACTGTTCATAAGAGCGGAACAACACAGACAGTTCATAGAACACTGACCCTATGGTGTCATGCTGCACATGCTTGGCATCCAAGCTGGTGTAAAGATCCACCACGGGCTCAAAGGCTCCCAGGCGACAGTAGAGGAGCAGGAGCAGCAGCTTGAACTGAGCGTTGGAGGGACTGTGAGAGAGTCCCTCCTGCAGGAGACCCAGACCCTGCCACACCATGTTCTCATCGCCTGTGGAACGCAGCGCAGAACATGTCATAAATACAGTGACACACACACAGGAACCACAGAGGGGGAGGAGCCACAGAGGGGGAGGAGCACTCACCAGTCTCTGTCCACAGGTCGATATAAACATGAGCAGCCATCAGACAGTACATGTCAGAAAACTGCAGCTCGGTCTTCAGAGCAGTATTCCCTGTGAGCAGGAAAAAAATAAAAAAACAAACAGTCATTTTTCAACCAGAGGTAAGCGGTCCCCTAGTGGGGAATAAGGGCATTGAAGGAGAATGCAGGATTATTTTTGTATTTCTTTTTGATAATTCAAAAAGATACAGAAGACTTAATACTAACATCTATTATTGTGTATGGTAATATACTGTTATTGTCGTACCAAACTTGAGGCCATGATGATAGTGAGCCTTCAGTTCAGTGATGAGTTGCAGCTTCCCATCGACACTGAGACTGTGCTGCAGGCCCAGTGCTCGACTCAGCTGACAGACACACAGATGCCTCTGCAATGCTTTGGTATCTTCTGGGAAACTGAGGCCTTTGTCTCCCTGCTCTCTGAGAGGAGCTGCTTCACTCAGATGGTTGATGAACTGAAATGTCACAGAACAGACCAAAGGAAAAAAAAAGTATTAAAAACAACAAAAAAAACCCTCTTTTATTCATAATTCATGCCAATCATGAATAACAGTGCAATACACATATATACAAACATACATACACACAAATATATATATATACACACACACAAACATACACACACACACACACATATATATATATATATATATATATATATTTCAAAACCTTAGTACCGAGGTGACCATGTGATCAACCTTTCCAGCTGATCTTTCAGAGACACTGTCCTCACCTGGACATGTTGATCAGCAGACAGCAGGTGAAGGTACAGCTTTAGGTCTGTGATGCAGCAGGGTTTGTCTCCAAACTTCCCAAAGAACTGCACCATCAGCTCCAAAGGCTCACCTGAAGCCAAGAAACAAACTGTTGGTCAGAAAGTCCGAAGCTCCGGGGGTTTGTGTGACTGTGGAGTGTTTGTACAGTGAGTTTTTACCCAGTGAACGTTCTTCTGTGCAGCCTCTCTGTCTCAGTCGATGTATTAGTTCCAGCCGAGCCAGGTACGGTCCTCTGAGTGAGTGAGACTCTTTGCCGTCCTCAGCTTTGATTCTCTCCTCCACAAACCTGATCACCTCTGCCACAGTGTAATGGACTGAACCCTCTGAACAACTGCATTTTTTCATGAATAAAAAACAACAGAGCCCAGGTCACAACAAAGAGAAATAATTGCAAATGTAATTTTACTTAAATAACATTTTACATAAAAATACTATCTTTAAAAACATTCTGACATTACTGTCAAAAACCTAAGATGAGCTGAAAAAAACAAAAAAACAAACAAAAAGCAGAAAATGAAAACTCACTGTTCGCCTTCTTCTGGTGGACTCCACGACTGATCCATGAGGTGGAAGAGAGAGTCGAAGTAGATAGGATAGAACTGCCAATCATCAGGACTGAAAACACAAGAGGATTTGGAACAATATGGAATTATTGCACAATGAAATATGTCCTCTGTTTTTGACACATCCCCATAGTGAGCAGGGCTGCAGGGTGTGGGAAACAGAAACAGTTTCATCACTTCCTGTGTCCTTGTCACACATCTTCAGCTGGGACCACAGCCTGTGACAGTGAGTCTAAACTAAACCAGACCTGACATCTACTATTTATGAACAGACTGAGTTCTAACCTCATTTTCAGGAAGACAACACAAACACACAGACAAATCTATATTCTCACTTCTTCAGTAGCAACTTATGGGCCAGGGCGTTGCACTCCGGCCACCGTTGTAGTCTCTTGTACAGCATCATACACTTGTTTTCCCTGCTCTGCAGCTCACTGGTCAACTTCTCTGTGGAACAACATACAGGTGACAGCGATCAGTGCACATCCGCAAACCACAAGTTTAGACTCTTTGAGATAAACATTCATTTCAGGACAGTAAGATGCAGAATAAGTGGTGGGCTACATAAAAAGATATGACGGGCCACTTTCGGCCCACGGGCCTCGAGTTGGACAGTTTTGACCAAAAAAAAAAAAAAAAAAAATCAGGATCTGGATCCAAACCTGTGGAGACATGTGAGAGACTTGTCCTCACATGTCTCATTTATTCAAATCAGAGACTTTTTGAAATGATAACATCCGTCCTACAACTATTAGACATTATTATTTCATTTGTTCAGTAATAACAGACACACAACATATTTCTTTCCAATCACCTTCCTCACTGTAACATCAATAAGTCAGTGTTTGTTTCTGACACTGCAGTCGTTCTAGACTCTCGTCATCACAGCCACAGGAATAGATGGAGACAAACTTCACCCACCTCCCAGCGGCCCCCGGACCACGTCAAGAGCCTCTTCACATTTTCCTAAACGCTCGAGGATCATGAAATACAGCTGCACCTACAGTCACACACACACACACACACACACACAAATATACACACACGCAATTATTACAAATACAAAAAACATATCTGATTTTTCTGAAACAAAGGTAGATTACCCCCCCCCCCCAGGGTTCTCATATACTCCCACAGTTTATTACAAGGGATATGTCAGATGAAGAAGCATCAGAACTCTGCAGGTCAGAGACACTCACCTCTGCTTCAGCCTCAATCTTCTCCTCTTTGACCATCTTCTCCACCATGCGCTCGGCCAGAGGCAGGAACATGATCTGGGCCAGTTTTTCATCTTGTGCAGAGATGGCCTGAATGACACCACGTGTCACTTCATAACAATAACAAAGACATTCAGGGGCTGTCAAAGTGTGAGTGTGACTGACAGCTCGTACCTGCATCACCAGACTCATGACCGACCAGAAGTAGTAGGGATTCTTGGGCACGATTTTATACAACGCCATTCCTGCCTGTGAACACAAACACACAGATGTCAACAGCCTCACCAGATATCTAGCTTCAGGATTTGCAACAAAACAGATGAAGTCCATGCACAGTTTCTTATTTGAGAAGTGGGAAGAAATGGGTAGCACTAGAGCCAATCAGAGCTAAGGTTGCTGACTCAAAGGCGGGGCATCTAAACAGAGATCCAATCATAGTGAATGTGTGTCCAGTTGCAGAATAAACAGAAGACAGGATGAAACCAGGAGCAAGAAATAATTCAGTCAATTTGTGACCAAAGCATGTCTGGTAGGACAGGTACGTATATGGAACTGTTTTACTAAAAGTCAGATGTGGGAAATTCTAAAGTCACTTCTCCATTCTATCTTCTAGAATACCACTGATATTTAGCGGTCGTCAGACCAGTCATATAAGGTCATTGGCATGTATGTTGATCATCTAGCTGCAGCTCCACTGTGGCGTTTCAAACCTGCTGCATCTTCTTGTACTCCCCGACACGAGCGTAGGCCATGAAGAGGTGGGAGTGGTACTCCTCACTCAGGGGCACCTTCTTCACGGCAGCTTCGTACAGCTTGGTGACCAACTCCGCTGCGAGCAACAGGAACAACGATTAGCTCTCAGTCAGCGCAGTCTGAAGGAAAGCCCCCAGGTGGGAGTGTGCAGTGTACTCACGACGATGCATCTCTCTGTACAGTATAGTCAGAGCCTGCAGCGAGTTGTCGTCGGTGGGCTCCAGCGTGGCCACCTCCTGTGCTAAAGAGAAGGCCTCATCCTGCTTCCCAGTTCTCTGAAGGCCAATGGCTTTTAGTACCTGAGAGAGGGTTGGTCAGAACTGTGGTGAGGACAAGGCTACAACTGGCAGAGACAGCGATGAGCTCAGATGTTTGAGGAGGTGACACACTGGCTGCTAAAGGTAACTATATTTAGTAGACCACCCCCTCCTCCGCCCAGCAGTAAATATCTGTCTTATATTATTACACAAGAGGACATTTCTTTAGGGAAAAAATGTTCCTTTCTTCACCCACCTTGGCACAGTGCAGGTCCTTATGTTTCTTAAGCAGTTTATCCGCTTGCTGTATTGCCATTTTATTGTTGCCATTATCTAGGTAATCTGCAAAATAGCAAGGAAAACGATGTATTATTTAAATGCATCATAATTTGGGCCAAATGTTTGTGTTTGATCGACACTCTGTCCTGTTTGTCATCTAAATTTGGAAATAAAAAAATTAGATTGAAAAAAAGAAATGTCATTTCAGCCTGAAACTGATCTAATCTGACCTCTAACTGCACTCATTAAAGGGGTCTTTCCACAACATTCAGAAAAGGATTCATAATTCATAATGTCAGCACACGTTACAACCACCCTTAAAACATGATAAAACAAACAGAGTTTGTAAACATTGATACGATGCAGTAAATGGAGTTTCCATCTGTAACATTCACAGGTTTTCTCTGTGAGGTCAAAACCATCATCAGCTGTGGTTCATCTGTGATGACAGTTTAAATAGAGGAAATTAATGTGACATGGAAGAGTTGATTCTAGTTCAACTGTCCTGAGCATGCACACACTGTGTGTGTGTGTGTGTGTGTACATCATTATAGTTGTAGAGCCAGCATTGTAGGGTCAAAGTTAATACTTAACTGAGAAAAACTCATTATGACTCTAATAACTAATAAATACAAATCTATACATGGGTAGATATGTTGGAGATGAATGTACTGTAATGAACGATGTAATGATACATGTTATATATATAATGATTTATTTCCCCCAACAACCAAGCAATGGACCATTACCAAGCTGAACAGGAACCATTATAAATACATTAATTCGACTTTATTAATGATCACTGTGAAAGTTTTGCGCATATCAAGACGCGACTCTCGGTCACGTGATAAAAACTTCTCTTATAATAAAACCGCTGGGAGTGTTTTGGATTCTTATCATGCCACTTTACTCTGAAATCACCACACGGTCCATGCGTTAAAGTGCATCGACTGCAGACCTCCACAGAGACCCAGCTCAGCCATTTCCTGGGGTACCTGCCTATAGTCCAATGACAGCTGTGATTGGCTGCTGTGATTGGCTGCAGCTCCCCCTGCTGCATAAAGCAACACAGGGTGATTTTAGAAGCGAGTTATTTATATGGGGTTGTATGAGCAAACTCAGCTTGTAGGCAACCCGTACTACCGCAGAGTTATACACAAGTACCGAGTCGGACACTTATTTTCACAACGAAAAAAAATATTGCTAATGAATAATGAATTGAAATGAATGTAAAAAGGGGGGGAATGTTTTCCCCTGCACAACTGAATGTGATCAGCAACACTAAACGATAACTCAACAACGGTCAATGTAAATGTAAATGGTTGCGATTTTTATACCTCTATGTTACACGTTAAAGTAAATTAATGTCGGTACTTAAAGTACAGTGTACAGTTTTTACACAAAGCTCTATGCTAACAGGCCAGTCGGCTAACCCCTCTTATTCAATGCAGTTCACTTGGATCATTGTCCTTTAACTGTAAGGAGCTTAATGCTAACTTGAGGCTAGCCGTGTCACATTTATCTTGTTCGTAGCGAAACAAACAAACGTGTTAAAATACACACCACCACTCGATCGCAGAGAAACACACAATGAATTATATCTGCCTCTTTAAACCAACTATTTTTTGAAGACGAAGAGCCGCATCAGGTATGCGACGAGCTGACAGGTTAGCCGGCTAGGCTAGCTGTCAAACAGAGACCAAGGCGAGTTTAGGCGGATGAGGTGAGGGTACAACAGCGAGCTTTGTCTCCCGAAGACTCCTGTGCGGACACAACTGAGTTCACTCGGGCACCAGTCGCGGTCGTGGTGTCCTAGCTTTGGCAAGATTTAGGACAGGATTAGGAAGCACTGTCATCGGGCGCTGCGGGGTAGCACAACCCGCGGTCAGAGCTGTAGGGGTCTCAGTACTGTGCTGTCTCCTAACACAATGCGCTCTTCCTCACACACACACTGCTCTCTTGACAACAGTAGAATCCAGTAAAGACCCGAAATATGAAAGTGTAACAAACACACGCTCTAAGTTCTTACCGTAAATGGGTCTGAGCCTCCTGTCGTTGGGATCTTGCACATGGCCTCTCGCCGCCATGGTGGAGTTTACCTGCTGAGGGGATGTTGAGGCATGCGCACTGGGAACTGCATAGTCTTCTTATTCGTCGTTATTTACAAACGTTTGCATGCGGCCTTATAATTTAGCAGCGCCACCCTGTGATTCAGCGCAAGAACACAAGAGTTTTTCCTCATTCATTTTGATGGTTTTTTGGCCAAGAACAAAGAACAAAGAACAAAGAACATTTCTCACAGGCCCGTGACTCAACATTCTTCTTCTTTTCCTTTCGGATTGTCCCTTTTTCAGGGGTTGCCACAGCGAATCATTGATTTCCCCATTGTCCTGTTCTCTGCATCTTCTACTCTGACTCCAACTATCTGCATGTCCTCCCTCACTTCATCCACATATATCTCCTCTCTGTCTTCTACCTTGGTAGCTCAGCTAAAATTCGAATTACTTTAGTTACATCTGTCAATTACACTGGTATTTAAAAAAATAATTTTCAGGCATTTTACAGCTGGTAATTGTTTTTTTCTGTAGTGATAAAAAACATTTCCTATTGATTAGTCAGGTAACTTAATGAAAAATGTAGTTTAAGGAAGGTCTACTGAGACTCATTTCATGTCCATGCTTTACAGACCTATAACGGGTGCGAAGATATCACTACATTAAAGTTGGCATAGAGTAAAAACACTGTTTCTTACGGAGCCCCTAAAGTGACATGGGAGAATGCAATAGAGTACCTTCAGGTCCACACCAGAAAATTAGAGTTTTACTTCCTCACTTCTGTGGATCCCCCTGCCGTATCACCTGAAGCATTCTGTACCTTTAGGGGCTCAGTAGTTTGGGTCTCTTATGGCCAAAGTAGTTGTTTGATAGCTGCACTTACCCTCCAGCCGTGGCTTTTGACAATTTGTGGAATGGACTAGTCTAAATCTCACCTGAGGGAGCTGGAAACTTCATATCTGGTGAAACTGGGAGAGAACTACATCACAACAACTGCAGTCAGTTTACTGTCTGACTGTTAGAAATGGATCATTGTGACTACTTTTACCATACAAGTTTGATTAAATACATACATCTTTATGAAGACTATGTTTCTTGAAGCCCAATTTGAAAAAGACAATTCTGAAAAAATATTTTGTTGTGGAAATATATGTGTGAAATTACAGCAACACACAATATTAATGGCACAGCACACTATTATTATTTGTTCAAATTTATTAGATATTCTGTTATGTTCCATTGTCTAGACCTTCTGTTACAGCTTGAGGGCTGTGAAAAAGAAAAAAGTTACTAATTGTTTTTTACATTCACTACTAATTCCCCTGATTTTTTATTTATTTTTTGCCATACCAGAAAACAGACAATTGAATACATTGTGAATCGTTATCTTTCAAATAAAGGTAACAGAAAACAAAAGCAGAAAAACACAGTAGACATCGCAAGTGCTTATTCATTATTACAACTAAGATAACAATATTTTGGAATTGGTCTGTTTCCTAATCCTCCATCGCTGCCCTTTTCCATCACATCCTGGCTTTACGGACAATGATGTGCATCACAGTCTCTCAGAGTCTGTTTATTGTGTGATTCCCATCATGGTTTTACAGTCATCTGTCAGATGCCCAAAGCTCGAGCTAAATCAGCCTGACACACAGTGAAAGAGTGGACTAATCAAACAGAAACGGGGTCAAAGTGGAAAAAAGAAGAATATAAAAGTGTTGAGCATGCAGAGCAAATCTGACTTTGAGAAAATTTCCAGGTGTTAGGGTGACATAATGGCCTGTGGATCTTTGCCCATTTACTGTATGAAGATGATGTATAATCACAACTGAGGTACATTTGAACCAAGGTCAGAGGGTAAGGGACAGGTGGACCAGCTTCACACAAACACACACGCAGCACACCATCCTCTGACATCACCAGACCTGACCATGCCACAAAGCTTTCAGGTTTTTAGCAGTAACTGTAAGACCTGATAGACCTGACCACCAAACAACTGTCAACAGTATGTCTACACTCAGTATTTGTATATGTACAGTCTGTCCTTTTCTGTTGTAAAATATAGTTTACACTCGCCTTTAACCAATCATACACAGAGCCTTTGGATAGGTTTCAACGTAAAGACCTGACATTTTTTGGTAACTCTCACACCTGATTGAATAAAATCCTCAATAAAACAAATTATTCTCCATCATATAAAACATGACAAAAAAGTTGCCTACAAAGCCCGACGACATTACAACGAGACACAAAAACAGAATCAGCTCTCACTCTTAAAAAAAACCAAACCAAACAAACACTGCAGCCACAGACTAACATTAAAGAAATGTTGGGGAATGGAAAAAAAGTCTGAGCGTTAGGGATGGAACGATACTCTACGATAACTCACAATATCATATTATTAAGAAGTTTTTTGTTACAGTACAATTTTATCACAATTTTTATTAAACAGAATGAGTTATGACCAAAAACAATGAACTATGTATTGTATTAGAACCATGCAAAACACCGTTTCCCTTTACAGAAACATGTTTTCTGTAAATGGTGGACCTGTTTTTGTCTAAAGTTCTTCCTCAGTTTGAACGCCTGAAGGTCACTGAGGCTACATAGGGACATGACGTCTTGGTTTAAGAGCGGGTCACAACCAACATTCTTAGGTGCATACCGCCACCTACTGTACTAGAGTGTGCAGCCTCGCGGAATAACCACTGACTTTTTGAGATAACGCAGCTTAGTTCTAACATTTCAATGCACGATTCATTTTTTATTTCAACTGATCTGTTTTGATTCTTAACAATTCACGAGGCATCGTTACATCCCTATTGAGCATAAACAATTCAAACGACCCAAAATGCTTGTTAATCTTAGCTGCACCAGGTCACTGCTGGACTCCCAGGACTCCGTCATAAATGGTAACTTCATAACATTAAAGTACATGACCTTGATTCATGCAGGCAGCAGCTCCAAGACCCACAGCAGTTAGTTACAGATTAAGAAGAGAATAAAAAAAAAATGCTTGTGCGGAGGCAATGAAAGCCTGTCAGGTGAAGCCCAAACTGAAGAGACAATGCAAAAGGAGGCAGCGCTCAAACGGCTGAGAGGGAAGCTGTGAGCAGACGCCACATCAACGACCTGGTCTCTAAACATACAGTTCCTTTTTGTGAAGGCAGCTGAGAACAGAAACAAGCACAAGCAAGCACGCGATTCCACACCGGTGTGTCACAGAGACTTTCTCCTTCTACATTAGCTGCACTGCAGCAACTGTGCACATGCAATGAGAGTTACAGGGTCGATAGTTTAGCAGTTTTCCACATGCACTTGCGACAATAATGGGACTGCACGTTAAAATGTCGGAGGTGTGTGTAAATGTTAGCTGGTGCAAAAAAAAAAAAATAACGTAAAACAAATACAAAACATAATAACAACCACAAAGAATTGCTGCTCATGGTTGAGCTCAATTTGTTTTAAACCCCTAAGTAGATGGTTATTAACCTCAATTAATGTAAAATAAAATTAAACTTCAGGGAGAAAATATAAAACAAACAAAAAATTCAGACTTCCAACCATCTGTCAGACAGAGGGGACAATAAAACATAGGAAGGACATCTAGACAATATTTTTTTTTTTTTTTATCAAGACAAGAGTATAGACAATACTGAGGGAAAGATGACGATTTAAGTAGACAGTTATAATACAAAGGAGGGTGAGAGGAGGAAACAATGGTCCAATGTCTGCTAAAGTTTTTATATAACAATTTATGTGGGAGTTTGTCGACCTAAAAACAACATTCTAAATGGTTTAAAAGGCTTGATTTTTCTGTGTTGTCCTTCAAACACCTGAATCAACAAAGCCCATTGTAATTTGTACTTACAATTATGTATCAGGCAATTATGTTCAGTGCAAAGAGTTGGGTTTTTTTTGAGAATGCAAAATCATTTTTGTTATTATTTTCTGGGGTGAACAGGAGGCTTGTGATTGGGTCGGATCTCTACAGCACTGTTAACCAATCATGTAAACCCCCCCCAAATTAATAATGTGAGACAGGAAGAGGAGAGAGGCAACGCCAGGGCCACTTGCTCGATGTGGTGGGCGTGTCTCAGATGACATCATCGTGACAGGGTTTGGTTGGTTTGCCTCACTGCTCATAAGCAGCACTGGTGCCTCGAACTGGACCGGTTTTACGCAGCTGTGGGGAACAGAAGGTCAGGGGTCAGTTTGGTTGACTCGAGTCGACAAGTGAGACATTCAATTTGTTCCACATTGAGCCATGGACATGCAGAATGGCCAGTTGACAACAGTCAGCAGGATGAGTGGCTGTTAAAGAATGAAAAACAGCAGAGAAAGTATTAGGTGTCAGAATGACAGGACTGTTGGCAGCAGAGAGGGTGCAGAGAAGGGCAGGACGTTGGCACAGAACCACAGAGTCAGTGTTAAACAGGTTACAGATGAAAACACCTGACAACACACAGATGACATGCAAAGTTATTGAATTGTATCCAAAAGTGTGGAAAGAAATACTGAATTACTGAAAATTACAAATGGAAACTTCATGTGACATAGGAAGAAAGAAATAGGATTTAATATTAGTATTTAAATATAGAAAGTTTTTCTTTTTCACAGTAAAGACATTTTGGTGACTTTGTTTTTCCATATTTGGAAAACAAGTACAAGGTGTGCAAAACACCAATGGCCTAGATATTTTAAAAAATTGAAGTCTCTTATTTATCACACTCAGTGTGAGTTTTTGCAACCCACACAGGCTGCCACAGGAGGCGCCACTAAATGTGGTTTCTCTGGTTTTGAAACCCAGAGAAACCACACGTGTAAGGCAGAAGATCCTGGGTCATGTTAGCTGGGGGTAAGGAAGAAACATCACAGGCAAAAAAAAAAAAAAAAAAACATGCATTCAAAAATGATGGAAAATTGATGTATGAAAAAGACAGCAGCGGCCCAGACGGGACAATGACGCGGAGTGAAACAGGAACAGAGGAGTGTGGAGGGCAGCATGCAGCCCCGCTAATGTTCTCTGGAGACTTACTCAGCCTGCCTCTAGTGTTTGACCTACATTGACGTGTGTCTACTCGTCTGTTGCACAGGTGCCTCGCACATCTCCCTTCTGACGCATCTAATGTGACATTTAGGAGTAAAAACAGGTTAATTCAATATTCAACGGACTCCGTCGTCTCCTGGTGGGACGGAGACTGAAAACAAAACAAAACAAATCATTTACGGTTCACAGTCAATGATGAAGGTTTTCTCCTGATTTCAACTCGTTTCTCGGCTGTTCGACGACACACAGTTGTATTAGGTGAATAAATTACCTCCTCCAGCTCTTTTTGAGTTTCGTCTTCCATTCGCCTGATGTCCTCCATGGTCAAACCCACCCATTTGTCGATCCAGCAGAACAGCTGACGGTGAAAGTTAGTGAAAATACGCTGTTCTTGCTGCAAAGGGGGAAAACAAAAGGAACTTAAAGGATGGTACCTTTGCAACTAAAGCTGAGAAAAAAACAGCAAGGGCTCGGGTCAAATCAATATGTACTGTATAATTAATTAAAAACTAATTATATTATTATAATATAAAGTACAGTAATAATTCAAATAATTAATAATGTATAATACTTACAATATTTAATATCACAAAAACAATCATAAATTATTATTATAACTTGCATTTTTAAGTACAAAATCATAAAATGTGTTTTAAAAGTGATGTATTGAACTCTTAGTCTTTGGACCCAGCGTAGCTTTAATGATGTCATGACCACCTCATACACAATGCTCTGAAAACAGCTACAACGTCTTTCTGTTTGTGTATGAAACACGGAGGTGACGTGGCACTGAGGGTCTCTCAGGACCAGTGTCGGTACCAGGACTAAACTGGATCAAAGAAGTCCCCAAACAAAGCTTCATATGAAGATGTAAAGGAAAGCAGCAGCTCACTCTGTGGATGAAGTTCTCCACTTTGGTCTGCAGACCCCACCATTTGAACTTGACGGTGACCAGTTTGTATGCACACATGTAAGGACAGTCTGTTTTCTTGATGTCGTTCTGTCAAAGGAGGAAACACAGGACAAAGAACAACTGAAGAAAATGAACCTGAAACTACTGGAGTTTGTCAACGAAGAGCATGAGGACGAAAGACATTTTTCAATCATTTAAATGAACAGTTATATGACTATTTGTTCTTTAGTCTCTTTTCTTCACCTGTAATGTCTGTTAATTACTGTGGTGTTTACTGACGTTTATTTCAAATACTTTCATTACTTTTTTCTTCCTGCAGGTGGTACTGATGAGTACAGTGGGGTGTGTGTGTGTGATACCTTCCACTCAGGGCCCAGGGGTCCTCTGTCTGTCTTTGCAGAGTGAAACAGAGCGGGGTCTTCTTCAGGTTTGTAGTCCTGAAAGAATAAAGAGAAAACCTGATGTAAACACAAACACAGACAGATGTTCCTGGAACACCTGGAACACAGACTGGTCTGTGGATTTTCAGTGTGTCTGCAGATCCCCCCCCACCCCCCACACACACACACAGACTGTGCCTCATAAGAACCAGGTTCTGGTCTACGTCAGACATGATCTTAGGTCAGCAACAGCTAAGTAACAAAGACAACAACAACATGCTGGTCCTGGCCCCGTGACATCCCATTTACCGAGCTGTGGGCTCACTGGTTTAATCCATCATGTCTGTGAAGATATGGTGATGAAGCCCTACAGCAGATGGTGGACAGTGAGGTTAATCCTTTGACCTCAACGCTAATCCACTAAACCCATTACTGTCCAAGAGAGTGGAAGAAACACAGAAAACTTTGAGTCACATGGAGGGACACAGCACCAGGTCTCACAGGAGACAATGTTGCCAAGTACTTTGGTTCTATGACATCATTTAGTTGGTTACTAAATAAGTGAGTTACTATTAGTGTTATATTATTTTATATGATTATTGTATTTAGTAGGAAAACTAATATATATATATATTATCACAGAATATATTTAATGTCACACTAAATACTTTCTCAGCTTTAACTGCACAACGAGGAACCAGGAAGAAAGTAAAAGTGAAACTACAAATACTACTACACACCAAACAACAATCAAACCAGACCTCAAATATTAATATATTTGAGGTCTGCATTTTGTAGCTAGAAAAGATAAAACGGTAAAAATAATTCTATATATATATACATATATATAAAATAATTATTAGACTTCCTGTGTAACTATGCTGTAAAGAACAAATATTCTCGTTAGTGCTTGAGGTTTTATTCTTTGGTGGTGTGGCAGGAGTTCACGTCAACACTCGTGTCCAGCATTAGTCCACTGACCTGTCACGTGGGCAGGGTGGTGAAACACTGTGGTGTGGTCCAGTACAGTAACACAAGTAACACAGTGAGGTTGGTCAGAAAGTCAGATGCGGTTCACAGTTTTTTGACCATCTTTAAAGTGCTGGTCATCATGACTCACTGCATCAGCTGTTATTTAAATTGTTAGTTTGTTTGTCTCTGCACTCTGCTGGTTTGACAATGATTTTCACTCAGCAATATTGATGCACAATACTGTTGTTTTCTGCCACATCACTGCTGCTGAAGGCATTTTTCTATCTGAACAAGCATTCACACCTTGACACCTCATCAGGCCGTGTGTCCTGTCACTGTTGTAAATCCTCACAGCTTCACGTTGTGCTTCACGTTGTTACTTAGGGACTGTATCCATACTCACCCCAGAGGCCACCTCCTCGTTGTTTGCGATGTCTATAGGCACCACGTGCACGTTCCTCCACGACTGCTCATCCAGACAGTGGACCTGACACAAAGGAACAAAACAACAGTAAAGAATCAGTGAACCTACGTCTGATGTCAAAGAAACACGGTGTCTCAGTACAAACACAATACGACAAATCAAAAACCAGGTGCAGTTTATCAGGTTTTTCTGTGGCTTAGTTGTGAGAGAAACTATTTTTTCTTTGTAAACCACATGATCTCTGTTTATAACCAAAAACAACACATCATTAAAGTGGCCAGGCAGTTTTCTTCTTAATGATTCAGTGATTCTCAGTGACGTGTTTCCTGATGCAACAAAACCTAGGGTTTTGGGCATAGGTGGTATTGAACCCAGAGCCTCCTGGTGGCAGGCTGGTGTCTAACAACTGCACCACACTGACCATGGACAACATAACGTAAACTTTCACTGCTATAGCACACCATACATTACATGACAAAGTCCATCGACAACAACCCTGTAAATCCTGTGAAATCCTATTTAGTTTAGTATTCTTCTACGGTGGCAAGAAATGTATGGATGCGTTAAAAATTCTAATAAAAAAAAAGTTAATATTTTACTGAAAATTTGAGTTTAATTTAATTTTTAAAAAATTATATGTAATGCAAAAGTCAAGCCAAGGTTTACTGCGGTCCATGACAGCAGAATCCTGTATTTCCTTCCACTGCTACTGTTGATGCGTGTAAAAAAAAAACTAGACTTCTACATAAAACTGCACCACACAGATGCTGCCACTGAGTGAACGTCTTTCTACAAACAAACAGGCAGAACCATTAATGCTGCGCTAGACCCATATTCAATACACTGGTAATGTGTATTCACCCTTGGTTGGCACGTCTATATTTTCCTCTGTGGTGATGTAAGATCTAATGGGCTGGAGTCTGACTCAGAGTGGAGACCGCAGTCTATGAACTGGGATCTCACATTCCATGTAAAATAAAACTTTTTCCATCCAAATGACAGTGCAGTTTAAAATCACTACAATCAGTGCATTTATTTCCGCTGCATCACGTCTTCAACTCACTCACATTTTCTATTGTTCCCATGTCAGGTTTGTGCCAGGTCTCGATCTTTATCATGAAGTCGTCTTTCATGTACTCGTTCTGAAGAGTAAGAAAACGATGATGGATAATGACAAGTTCAAACATGAATATGACATTGACACAAAAAACATTTAGTGCAGCTAGTAACATGACTAGGGAGTGACAGGTGTGGCAATGATGACGTGTCAATTTTAATAACTGCAATAAAACAAAAACTTTTTACACAGTTAAAATGTCCATAGATTGGACCTAACAGAAGGAAGTTCTATGGTTTATCAACACTGGTCCAACTGCTACCTAGTACCAGATTACTCTGATCGGAGCCTTGTGTTACTAAATAAATTCTAAAGCTATTCCAACTAGGAAAAGTTTAAACATGAGTCAACTCACCGTCACAACTGAAAAAGAGGAAGAGGGGTGAGGAGTGGGGGACAAAACAACAAGTTAGCATCTCTGTTGATGTAAAAAGACAAGTGTAAAGACAGCTATAAATGAAACGGTGTGTCTGAACTCACTGGTACGACAGTATGGGTAGGCATTCCAGGCCTTTTCATGAAATACTAACGCTCCCTCTGGTGCGATCAGCTTCACGTAACCTGGGACTTTACTGTTGTAGGAGACGAAGAAGTCAGTCGTTTTGAAATAACCACCACAGCCTGAACAATATTTGTTTATTAATCACATCACAGCTGCGGACTGATGCACTGTGATGGTAATTAATCACAATTAATCAAGACAAATCAACATTCATGAATATGAGAAAATATGTTTCCTGTACATCGCTGGAACAGGACTTCAGTCATTACTGAGCAGCTCTAAGTGCTTCAGTGAAACAGAAACTATTTCCCTCTTTGTGAGTAAATGTCTATCGACTGTGTGTTAGTTAGCAACAACATATCAATGCACGGCAAAATCACTGGATAAACAGTGCACATCATTTCACCCAAGTGCCTTTTAATCTAATTGAATCTGATGAATTTCACTAATTATTTCACTTAATTAACACACTCCGCCCTACTGTAACAACAAAACTCTTCACCCTGCATGGACAGAAAGTTAAACTGCAAAACTACACTGGGAATGATGTCATGATATAGACTGTGGAGAATAGACCGGTGTTCTCTTTCTGTCTGGTGGTTGACAGTTATCTGACAATATCTTTATGTTGGCTGTTATACAGCTGGGCAGAGAAGGAATCGTCCCTTTGGCCTGAAGGCTGCCAAGAGATCACCACTATCAGGTTTAACAGCTGGCAGCTAATAAGGTTTATTTTGGAGGTTTATCTAAAAGAGTCCAAAGAAGGTTCATATGTTGTTGCTTCTTCCTCTGGTCCTGGTTGAATGGATGTTGGCTGCTGTGTGTTAATGTTTACTTTTAGACTTAACAACAGGCACTAATGGCTCCTTTTTGACTGAATGACACCAAAACTACCATCTAGGCTGAAACTACAGTACTTCTCCTGCCATGATGGGAATATGATGGTGATTCCAGAGGTTCTTAGGCAAATCTCTATTTGTGAAAATATCAACGTTGTTTCTCAAAAATATGTGTTTTAAAAATTACGATTTTTCTCTCATAAAAAAAATCGTTCACTGTTGAGGATTGAAAAACCTGATAAAATAAACGCTACTCAGTGGTGAACAAATAATGAGAAAACATAGTTGAAACACGTCTCAACACGTTCCAGCTTTTACAAACAAACACATTGTGACTTCACATATTAGTTATGATCAGAATTTTCCCCCCAAAAAAAGTTATTTTCTTAATGACAGGATTGGAAAAAACATCTCTTGAACAGTTGATTTACTTCCATGACCTTTAAAATATATAGATTTTTTAAATATAAATGTCAATGCAATGATCAACTAATTAAACTCTTCATACATAGAAGACAGGACTTTGGAACCCACCTCTTTAGATGGTATATTTTGTGTGTGTACTGTCCCTTTTCACCATCCTTCTCATAAGGTTCATTCTTCAGAACCTCAATGCCTTCTCCGCCTCCTGTCTCATTTTTGCTGGCTTCAGCAACAGAATACAACTGTCCTACTTGATACTGAGAGAAAGAGAAGAGAGAAGAAAACGCAGTCAAAACAGAGGCACAACAGCTGTGACAAATTCTGAAATTATTTACTAGTACAAGCAAAGTAACCAACAACCAATCACTGCTGTCTGAAATTATTTACTAGTACAAGCAAAGACTCTCAGTCCCTGAGGGAGGCAGGTGCAGGTGCATCGTGTAACTGATACCACCAACAACCAATCACTGCTGCACAGATACCTCTTAGTATTCATACAGGGTGGATATGTAGTGAGAAACATCTTATTTTTTTATTGTTTTATTAAGGCAACTGTTGAACTAGGCAATCCACACAACCACAGTCAACTCAACCACTGTCCTTCAAAAAGCTGTGTCCTAATCAAGCTGTCTGCACGTCTTTCTCTCTGACTGCTTTGGATTTACATGAATATCTTTCATTCATTCTTCTATTCATATTTCAACATATTATCCTTCACTGCTCTGCGAGGTTACACTACCAGCAATCATCAGTTGAGGGCACTACACACAGGCCATCACAAGGCCACACACATTGAGACAAACCATACAAAGACAAATGTCCACATTCACACCTGTGGTTAAATTGCAGTGCACCAGAGTGAGAGAACACTGCTTCTCATACAGAGAGACTATCAGACAGAGGGGTTGAACTAAAATCAGTGATCACCAACACAGGGCTGTCCAACCTGGCTCATGACTTTTTTCCAAAGGAATAATATTGGACAAAAATGTGTTTTTGATTGAATTTTATTTCAGTGTCTGTCCAGAAAAAATCTGGCGCTCTGACAAATATATTTGGTGACCCCTGCTGCATAGCAATACAACTAACCACTCTCCATGTGTGGCCTTATTTACATCGTTTACAAGCACATCGAGGACCAGTGATACTTTTGGTTAAACCAACGCATGTGACAGACATACAGTAGAGCACCAAGGCATATAAATATATAAAGTTTACCAGAAAAAAAAAATATAAACACTATAGTATATTTAAAACTATTTACAACTAAATAAGCAGTAAACTCCAAATTACAACTTTGAGGTTGTAAAGAACTACCACATCTAAAACTACATTTTTTATGAGTTAGCAGTAAACCCATTAATTATGCTGTGTGATGTTCTCCCACATTTTATTGAATTAACCTACTTGTATAAAGTGTTTATAATTGCTATACAAGGTGTCACAGACACTGTAACTGTCCACATCAGAAGCCACTTCTTTAACAAACAACCAGCAGCTTGGCACAAAACCAAAAGACACCAGTGTTCTCTGACAAAGCTGTTGTTTCTCTGCTAGATTAAAACCTGATAGGATGCTTAATGCGCCTGCTAATGGGACAAAAATGATTTAAAAACCGACGGTGTTATTAGAATACCAAAAAGAAATCCTAATGATATTAATATGCCATTAAAGATGGTTTAGAGCTGACGACACTCACCTCTTCCACAGAGACTGGCAACACCACGCGGCTGAGGACGACAAAAACAAGGGGGAGGAAAAGACAATAAATAATATTAAAAAACAAAGTCATTATTAAGAGATAATGACAATGACATATAATGAAATGAAAGTAAAGTCAATAGTTCTACCAGAATATAACTGTGTTGTTTATTTTGCATGGAAAACATAGCAATGCTTGGACATTTAAATAAGAAGACTCTTTGACAGCAACATCTGACCAAACAAGTAGAGATGAAGCATAAACATTGAGAGAAACATGATAAAAATAAACCAGGACCATTAAAGGGAAAAAACTTAAGGAGAAAAACACTGGTCTCACTGTTTAAACTCATAGCTTGGAGCTTGTTGGCGTTGCAACAACCATTTTTAAGTGATGACAACTAACTGAGCAGCCGTAAAGAGGACTGTAATGTTTTCCGTCGTAGAGCGCTGTGTAAAATGAACATACAGTATACAGTCAGTTTACCATCCAATAATGTCACAGTAAAGATCTGGGAGAGTCATATTTTGTACAGTAGCAGAATTCCCAGAAGGCCGAGGTGTGACAGCGGCACCTGCTTTAAAGGCCAGGAGTCAGAATATGTCAAACACAACAGTGCTAACGCCCGTGGCACAGAGCTCTGCTAGTCCATCTCATAGTAAGACTGTGTTTATGGTCTGTGCAGAACCCACGACACATGCCGGAGGAACTATAGCTGATGCCCTGCGTTATAGGAAATGTTACCACGTCTTTCCGTCCACTAAAAAATGTAGAGTACACCACACTGGTGAGAGAGCAGGAAACTTTCTGGAGAACCTCTGCAGAGCCACGTCCCTGGATTGGTACATTCATTTCCACATGATCTGTGGTCTAACGGAAAACTCCCTACAAGCTGAGGGGGAAGTTCTTTTATTTGGTTAACTGACACACTGTGACTTCAGATCCAGTAATTGTTCTCCTTGTCTAGAGAAAACAGGAGTTTCAGCCTGATCCCACATCACAGACCTGAATATGTTTTGATGTCAGTGTCATCAGACATAACACTGTCCTGTTCAGGTGGGGTGCTAATATACTGACACAGCAGTGTTTCCCAGTCTAAACAACATTAAACAACGCAATTCACAATTTTAATGAAATAAATTCAGACATCCAAACTGCTCGGCTGTCGTGGCCAAAGTATTCTCTAACTTCAGGAGTCTACCACACATCAACAGCGGCCTTGTGACGCCAGCAAGTTAAAGTAGATATCTCCTGTACTTTGGAGTGAGCGAGCAAGAACGATATCTCCTGTACTTTGGAGTGAGCGAGAACGAGTACACAAGTACACAAGTCAAAGTGAGCATGATACTGACTGATACTTCATGCACAGGATAAAGCAAATGAGAGACATTGTACTTGAGGGTTGAATTTACGTACCAAGTACAGACCATTCAACCTCTGATTTTCATGTCAAACCCTTCTTCAATGTCCCTCTGGACATTCAAGCTAAGATGCTTATTATATAGTGTGTTCTCTCACTGTTCTGGTGGTACGTAGTGTTTAGAAATATACCTCCACAGATAGGCCATCCAGTTGTAATGTAAACACGGCTCCAGCCTCAACATAATGTCTTTGTTACATTCAACAGCAAAAGTTGTTGATGTTTGAAGTTTTCTGTCACTTAAGAAAGTAGAACTTCAGAAAGATTTACCAAACTGTTTACAGGAGAAGGGCGCTACGGTTGTTGTTCTCTACCAAAGTCTTGTCTCTTTAACAGTGACTTTTGTATTACATATTATGATTACATTAATGCCTGCAGAAATGTGTGGGAATGATTTTACAGTGGTAAAAGTAGTTGGAGTAGTTTAACAGAGGTTTCTTCATGAAGTATTTGCAAATATCATGACATGGAAAATTTTTAAAGAAAAGCTTTGGTTACTGAAAGTCATGCAAAAGGAATGTAACAATGAATCGTGAAACAAACGTGTTGGCACTGGCAAATGTGTGTGTGTGCTACATGACATTATGTAATGTACCAGTCCAAAACATTAACTGTGTGAAATCCACATTATTTTAATGTTAATTATTAATAATTATTATAGTTGTATTGATTTATTTTATTATATGCCATAATAGGTTTTACTCCAACTGATTTTGGGAACCTGTGAATCTAAGTTCTGCTATCGGTCTATTTTAGTTTTTATACTTCCTGTATTTAATTGGTTTTTGTTTTTTGTTTTCATGTCAAAACTGTAAAGTTCATTGAGGCAAACTTGAGGCATGTTTTTTGTACAAATGGAATGGACTTGACTTTCTTTAACAGAAATGCCACCAGATAGTAAACAGTTTTGTTCCATGTACAGCTGGAGAGGCTGGTGACTAATCTGTTATTTATAATTCCCTGCTATGGAACTGATTATGACACGCTACAAATCAGAAAAGTTGACTGATTTGTTCTGCTGAACTACAAATTAACATTTAATTGTGTCATTTTAAGTTGAACTTAACTTTGGACTTAAATACAACAATGTTGCAACAAAAATAAAAATACATTTTGGAAAAGACACCAAAAAACATAATGCAAACCATTACATCATAAAATTAAATTAATTTTTCTTTATAAATAACATGTCAACAATAATATCTCATTTAGCACCTGGATAGCATAACAAGCCCTTTCCAATGTGTTTTGTCCATGTCAGCCATCCCAAATGAAATTAAGAGCTCTGACAACAGTTTTTATCTTTATTTTTAAATATTATTACTTTAGACCCCTTCTGGTACAAATAATATAATTAAAATAATATAGAGTAGATATACGTATTTTTTAATTTCTTTTTACAATCATCAAAACTTAGTTTAATCTACCTCTGCTGTGATTTCCCTGTTTAAAAAGTCTACCATGACAAAAACCACTCTCTCTCCCGGTTAAATATTTGCATATATGTCCTGCTGTATTTGAATACAAAACATCTTACATGGCAAACATTTGTTTCAAACACTGAATTACATTTAATTAGCACAGGAGTACATAATTATGCTTTCAGTTTCAAATACAATTATTCTAATGTGGTTAAATAATGCTAATAAGTCACGTAAGAAACCATGACGTGTCCCCTGTTATCTGCTCCTGAGAATAGCCATCCCTCCTACATGCTTTTTAACCTTTTGGGGGGAAACACATATTCCCGTATGGTCTACTTTATCATTAGGTACTGTTTGCTCATACGGGTATAGATTAGCCATGATAAAAGCTAACACTGCTAAAAATAAATGCGTGTGAAAGTGGTTTCACTGTGGATGTATACCAACATAACAACATTACTTAACTCGTGTTAATCTTTGCTGACCGTTTTAAGGCTTTAACTCGCTCAAGCTAGAGCCAACAAATTAGCAGTCAAGTAGCTCGTCTTGCCATAACCCCACACTAACGTCAACACTAGACCTGTTATTTACCGTTGGCTAATACAATTAGCACATTTCTGCTAAAATGGCTGGCATATAGGCTATAAACAACGCAACGCAGCGTTTTGTATTGGCAAAAAATACCAAGGGATAAATGGGAGGTTAGCAGTTAGCCGGTAGCTCTAGCTACCATAGCCAGTTAGCTTCAGTGGCAAATCCGACAAGGAAGAGCCTTAATCTGTCACTCACGGGGCTGAAGCTTTACACAACGACACTTCACACACAAATCACACCGGCAGCTGATATTGCCAACCTCTCCTAGCCCCACAGTTAGCTGTAGAGGCTTAGAACAAAATATTTATTGAAACCCAGCTGCATTTAGAAGCTATTTACCCTCTATGATAACGTTAGCACTGGCAAAGCCTAAAAAAGACCGGTGTGGACCGTTATCCACGTCCCGTTCCACCCTCCTCAAAGCTGCCTTTTTACAGACCATGCGGATGTTAAATCTAGCGAACGACAGTGATAAACAAACCACACACAACCACACTTCACTAATGAGCCATCTGACAAATAGAATTGATAGAGCAACAGCGACAATTTATATTTGTTAAAACACTTCGGACTCACTATTCCTTGACGACCACCATCTTCGTCTCTCCGGACTGCGGCTGCGCATTGAAAGCGTTCAGCACAAACCCTCGTCACCACGTTAGTCCCGTCTACCTGCTCATACCAGATTGGCTAAAACTATTCACAACTTATCCCATATTGTGATGAGTGGGTTTTCTTTGCATGTTGATTTTCTTTTTTCAACAGTGTCTTATATCATTGGACAATGGAACACTCAGGTGCACTTTTTTGTTTTTGGTACTTTGGGCCACACTTACTGTCATGACACCCCTGAATACAATCGAGCCTCAGGAAATAGATAAAATCCCGCCCACACGAAAACCTCATTGGTCTATTTGACAAAACCAGCCAATCACGACGCTGTTTGTTTTGCTGACTTCATAAACAGGCACGCACAGACCCAAAGTCTCTCTGTTTCTCTTTCTTAGGGTATTATTTTTAATGTGTTAAATAACAGTCGATGATTTTATTTAAAAAAAAAAACTACACCTGTGTAACTCAAGTTCTAAAACGTTATGCATTAAATGCATTGTTACAAAAGATTTTGAATAGAGGGTTTGTACTTTAGCTTTTATTTTAACTTTTTAACATGAACTTTTATCCCAATAAAAGTTAAATTATAACAACAACAACAATAATAATATTTACTACTATTATAATAATATTATTGTTATTATTAAGTTATTATCCCTATTATTATATTATTACTTAAGAAGATCTTTACAGACATCTACAGACATTTGACTCCAATATTTACTGGTGTCCAACCTCTTTTTTTAACAAGGCCTAACATGTGCTAGAAAAACAACATTTCATTCTAGTGAGCATCAACAATATAAATATCGATGATAAATAAAGACTAAGTCTAAGTCAAAGTCAAGTCAAGTCAAGAGTGCCACCCCTAAAGTAAAAAAGTCTACTGCAACCTGCAGATCTTGTCCTGTGGCTTTTACACCTTTTACACCTACAGTAAACAAATTGTTTTGAATGTCTGGTCATAAAACATTTTATAAAACGTCCCCTCTGGGAATCTAATCCATTAAAACCCTACTAACCAAACCAGTCTGTACAGGACCCAAACATTAGGATGTTCCACCTCACACTGTCTCCAGTGGAACACAACAGCAGCAGGGCCTTGAACAGCATCACTTCAGAGCGGCTGGTGATGAAGCTGCAGCTGTGATAACAGGGTGAGGTTGATTGGTTTTTCTGATGACCTGACCTCAACCAACACCACCACAGCAGTAACCAACGAAGCCCAGCAGCCGCGCCACTCCCTCCATAAACTTAGGTCTTCTCAGTCTGACCTCCACTACTTTACACTACAGACAGAAACCACCCTAACGCACGGCTTCACCTCCAGGTTTAGAGGCTGCGGCGTTTAGGAAAACTGAGCTAAGCAGAGACGTCTGCATCGTCATGAACCCACACTACCCCTCCCACCACATCTTCTCTAGGTAACTGAAATAACTGAAAACCAGTCTAAAGACGACTGAACCTTAAAAAGAGGAAGTTAATTTGTTCGATTTGTAATTTACATCTATTTTTGATATATAGAGATATATATTTAACTCTTTCTTTTCTATTTATCTGCTGTCTGTTACAACAATGTCCATATGTTAATTCCACAGTGCTTTTGGTTGAGAACCAGCATCTCATTCTCCTGTATATTTATAGTATATGCATAGTTATAATGATGATAAAAAGAATGTTGAATGATGAGTCAGCTTACAAAATAAAAGTCAACAACAATCATTGGTAATGAAACTTTATAATAATTATTAAACAATAAACAATAAATCAAGATCAAATTAGGTCAAGTACACAAATATAGTGAGTGTTGGGGTTGACGTTTCCTTTTCTCAGGCGTTCAGTCAGGAGACTGTGAGTCAAAGTTTCAGGGCGCACACACTCTCATCTGCTCAGTCATAAAACACACAGTGCCAGTGTGACATCACTTTACAGTCATTAGGTCCTTCATCCTCACAGGATGGTGCGCTGGAATCATCAACACGGTCCGACCACTGAGAGACAGTTCAGGTACGTTAACATGTGCTTGTATCAGGAACTGGCTCTGAGGCTACGTTCTTATAACAGATCTGGTTTTGTTTTTTTTTGTTGTTTTTTTTTGCTGAGATACACTTTTTTTTTTGCATGGTTGTTCACATTTTAGTTTTTATCTGACTCCAGTGTGAACGAACGGTCTACTGCCCTCCAGTGACAGACATGTGCAGGAGCAGACGTAGGTAAGCAAATATATGTCAGTGTGTATCAAATGCAAATTACAGCCAATTTGATGGTTTTTGCCATCATTCAGAGAGCCCCCCGACCCCCCCACACACAGCAGCTGTGATTGTCGCAGACCACTCTCCCGCTTTCACCCCGCCCAAACACAACAGGCTTCTCCAACCTCTGCCTGTAGTGTGAATGTAGTAGCAGTCATCCTTAGACAGACTGACTTGTAGGACATTGATTAAAAGCAGGGACACAAAAAAATCAAGACAGTAAATTAAACACAGGTCAAATCTGTTCAATCATGAGTTTTAAAAGAATGTTTGAAGCCTAATTTCACCGTTAAAAAGCCTCATTACCAAAAATCTGGTACCAGCTCACTTCCTCGTACCTCGTACTTAAGATGAGGACACAAATCCCAGGTGGTCAGTCTGCACCAGTCTGCAGTAGTTGGGGACAGTCAGATCAACTGATTGGCACAAAACATTGTCAGGCAGGCAGTGCCAGCTGATTACCGACTCAGCTGCAAACACGTGTTGATGTGGGACAGGGACAGTAGGGTCAGGAGATGGGAAGCAGTGAGAACATCACGCTAACAGGGAACTCCAAAAGCGAAGGAGGGCGAGTGGTGGCACAGTGAACCTGGAGCACAGAAGTGGAACAGACTGAGCTGTAGCTGAAGCACGAGTAAAAAGATTTTTTTTAAATTTTATTTAAAATTTATTTCACCACGAAAACCTCTTGAGATTAAAAATCTCTTTTACAAGAGTGTCCTAGATCAGCAGCCTATATAAGTCAGATCCTATAAAGTGTTGGTTGAGATCCATACTGTACCACCCAATAGTTTGGCAGCTGTGTTTTGTTTTAGTCTGTGACACAGTTGTTAGGTGTGTACTCCCTCTGTAAAGAGTGTATTTGTGATGTGTTTCCTTAGCTTTACATTACACCAGTACTTCTCAAATTGTGATGGTGATTTGCCGGGGGGCCCCGAGGGGCTTCCAATGGAATATGGCACACTGCTGTAATGCTTGACTGATAACAAGCCTCCAGTCACTAGATGGCAGCAACTCATACAGTGGTTTGTACAGATAAAAATATACATATTATCAGGTTTTCAATAGTATTTCAATTAGCGGAGGTGAAAACATTTTTGTCCTTTAAGGGGGGGCGTGATAGAAAACAGTTAAGAACCACTGCATTACACTGACCGTACTGTATGTCAGTACCTCATACAAGCACTGTTAAAAACCTGAACTCCTCTTCAACAACCCTCCTCCAGGAAAGTAATGCCATATAAAATCCCAGTCAATCCTTTGAAGCGACTTTTATTTAAAAAACTGCAGGTGGCGTCAGATGTATTTCACTTACAAACCAACATCTCCTGCCAGAAAAGAGAACAGAAAACTGGAATGCACTGGCAGATAGTGACGTTAGGTTCTCAACATTTGGAAGATGGAAAAAAATTTCCCGGTGATAGAAACTTGTAGCCATTCCCGGAGGGAAGACTGAGGCCTCCTTTAGAGTTAGTGGACAGAGAAGCAGCTGCAGCTGGGAATGGCTTGGCCTCCAGTTTTTGGTGACCGTTTGCTGTGTTGATATTGTTACAATCCTCAGAGCCTTCAGAAGTTTTGCTCAGGGGCCTGTGTTTAGGCGAGAGATTTAGCAAACCCAGCACATCTTTCTGGACAGTACTCATCTTTTTGTTTCCACCTCGCAGTAAACTGGCAGGACATGGCACCTCGTGTTTCTGGCCGGCGTTGGCCCAGTATGTTTTTAGGTTGTGAATGGCCTGAACTTTAGTGTCGTGTCTGGAGTCCGTCATCTTGGGGGTGGTTCCGGGGCTCACCGAGGATCCCGTGGAGGAATAGGACAGAGCCGGCGATGGGGCGCTGTTGGCAGGAGAGTGAGACGGCGAGATGTGGGCGGAGTAAGGCGAGGAAGGATATTTGAGTTTGAGCTGAGTCTGTGTGAGCCCGTCTGCTACAGGACCAGGAGAACCCTGATCCTTTTCGTTGAGGGATGAGAAAGAAGAGGACTGAGCTGGACTGTTGTAGCCGGAGCTGATTTTCTGCAGCGAAGAAGAGCGGGATGGAGGTTTAGGGCGAGTTGGAGGAGGAGTTGAAACCGACGAAGGGTGGAGGGGTGAGCGACTACTTGGAAGAGATAGCGGAGACGAAGAAACTTTCAGACTGGCTCTGCTCGGTGGTCTGCTGAACGCACTGGTCTCAGAGGGCTTGAAGCCACGTGCTCCACCAGTGGGTGTCAAAGTTGGTGTTGTTGGAGTGGACGCAGAAGGTTGTCTGGGATGAGACTTGTCTCTCGGCTCCTTCTCAGTCTGTGTTTTCCCCCTAACGTTTGCCTGCTGTAGGCTCTTGACAGCTTGCATGTGGCTCTGGGTCTCCTCCAGGATCTTCTTGGCCAGTTCCTGGGGATCCATTTGTCCTGCAGGCCTCGTCCTCTCCTCCTGGGACTTGACTGTGCTGTCGGTTTCAGTGCTCGACTGGTCAGACTCCGAACTGCTGACCTTCCCTTTCTTAGTCCTCTGAGGAGATGGGCTGGAAGAAACACAATAAAACTTAAGAGTCTGTTTTATAGACAAAGTCAAGTAGGAAGATATTCTGAAACTACTCCAGGTGAGCAGTCAAGTTAAAACATTTAAACAAACTACATGACAATAAGGCATCTTTTTTTTTTTTTAACCAGGTCGCTTGAGATTGAACAAACATGGCACTTACATTTCCTTCCTTATTTTAGGGCTGGCTGAAACAGGCAGAGCTGGAGCTTTGATGGGAGACGTGGGGGTGCTGATGCTGCCTTTGGAGGAGATCGATATAGGATACCCATGAGCCCCGTTGGCTCCTCTTCCTCCTCCCCCTCTGCCCTGCCTGTGTCCTGCAGGTAGTGGCAGAGTGTCACAGTCTCTTCCTCCTCGTCCTAAAGGCTCACTGCTTATGATGGAGTAGCCCTCGTACTCCTCATCCTCCCCTTGGTCCCCTCCTCCGTGATTGGCCATTCGTCTCTTTGACAGGCCACCTGAATGGTGGTGTGAAGAGTAGAGGCCTGCCACACCTTGATGTCTGTCTGGCTCCTGTTGATGCGAACGCTGGCTGATGATGTCACTTCCTGCAGGCTCAGGCCTGGACAGAAAACTAAGTGAGGAGGCGAGAGAGCTGAGGCTGTAGACGGATATGGCATCACAGGAGAGGTTGTCTGGGCAGACAGGGGGCAGAAGACTGGGCTGCGGTGGGTAACAGCTGAGGGAGAGGGGCAACGAGTGAGGCTGGGAGGTCGACAGGGACGACGACAGGGACTCCAGAGAAGAAGAACTGTCCATGCTCAGGCGTTTGGGAAGCTCTGTGGAGTCTGACGGAAGTCGTGAAAAGAAAGGATTAGAATTAGGAAACAATGAGAGTGATTATGTTTCCAATCAAACACAGTGAAGGACTCTCACCAAACAGAGCCAGCAGGGACTGAAGGGCGAAATGCATGATGCGTCTGCTCGCCTGTTTTCCAGTCTTCAGCACCACCTCCTCCTGACCCACCTCACAGAGATCAAAGCCTAAAGAGATGTGAGACAAACGAGACAGGACAGGATAAGATGAGACAGCTGATCATCTGTCCTGTCCCCCGTCTCCTCCGCTGTTACACCGACCAGTTCCCTGTCAACCTTTACTCCTTCCATAAATCCAGCCTGCCTGATCTGTTTATTTCTGAACCAGTCCAATCTGATAAAGTTGGTGTGGCTTTGGAAATAACCTGACACTGTTGTTAAGTCAAGCTTATTATATATGACATTCCATCACATCATGACTTTCCATAACCTTTAAAAATGTGATCCAGTCAGTTCATTCATTACATTTACCACAGACATTGACCAACATGGAGCCATTACCAAAATGAAGCCAACTTCAGCAGAGACAGCCAATGAGTTAAGCGTTTAAACCTTGTTTAATGCGTTGTTAAACTTCTGGACTATAACAACCTCAGATGATTTTTACTGATAAACAAATCTCCACCCAGTGGGTTGAGACCCTTTAGGATGATGATTATCTTGGTCAGAGTACTGGTCACAGGCAGCCTATTATTCTGGTATAGGTAGGCCGCCTCTGCTGCTTAATGTATGGTGGAAACTCTGTCAGCCAAGGCCTACCTTAAACCTACCATGAACTCCAACTGCACACCTGAGTAGTCTCTCACTGGTCTTATACATGTTTTGCACCGCCCTCACATACTTATCTGCCACTCCCAACCGTCTCACACACTGACAGCGCTCCTCCGCAGACAGACTCTAACATTTTTTCTAGAAACACTGTAAAATTGAAAATCACATCTGTAGTACTTCGTTTTGGACATAAAACCAAACTACAATAATAGTCTTTTAACTCAGCGGCCTCGAATGCCACTAATAAAACATGAAGTGGTTTGGTGGTAAAGTGTGAGGACCTACCGAGTGCTGCCAGGAACTCGTGGCAGCCCGGCAGCCTCCAGAGCTGCACACTTATTGACACTTGAATGGGAGCCAGGGAAAAGTCGTGTTCTTTGTCTCCGGACTGCAACTGCACCAACACCTGGTGAAGCTTTGTAGAAGGGAGAAAAAAAAGTGTTTACAGCAGCGATTATGTTATCACTGTTTGGGCAGTGCTGTTGTTTTACAAAGAAGCTTTTGTAGCGCTACATTACAAAGACGCCACAAAAAAACAAAACATGTTTTTGTCTCTGTGTCCCTTTTTTCATTCAGACCTAAGAGTTAACACTAAATAAGTTCTCTGAATGTACGATCTGGACACCACTCTGTCGTACTTTGCCAACATTCTACTCGGCTGCAGCGGTACCTTGAGAATAAGCTGCTCTCCGGCTTCAGACACTGTGACCAGTTTACACAGAGCCTGTAGAGCTGCAGGGGTCAGACCTGGAGAGAAACAGGAGATTCATTATTGTAGACCTTCAAGCTCTGATACACTGCATTAATCAGGAGGGTTTTATTTGATCACATTGATTTTTTTTACCCCACTGATTGTTTTATACTGGAACAATTTTACATCTCGATCCGTTTGGTACTTGAATTAATTTTAGAAGCTCATTTATTAAAATAGATTTATTCAGTACAGGTTCAGCCATATGAAGAAGCTGTCACGGTGCATTTTCAGAGTGTGTGTTATAGAAATTGATATAGATTTGTCCTCTGATTCACTGGTTCTCAAATATGGGTAGCAGGGCTGTGACATCTAATCAAATGTTTAAACACAGAAGTTAGCATCTGAAACAGTTTATGGATTTTTTTTTTAATCAAAGTAAACATTAAATTCTTACAGAGAGTCAATGAAAATCATCCCAGCTCCCGCCTATACCGGAGGAAATATATACACACATCACAGTGTAATCTCAAAACTTACAAGTAAAACAGAATCCCTGGGGCAACAAATAATACTAATCCTAATTTATAAATAATAAACCAGTTGCTGTACCAAGCAGGGACTGTAGGGTGGTGCTGCACTGCTGTAACCGATCCCCAGGGTCTGATGTGGGGAAGAAAACCGCCGGGAGTTCTGTACCGCTACCGGTAGAGTCCAACCGGAAACCCACCGCAGAAAGGAGGGCTTGCCACCCGGGAACACCACCGACCTGACCAGAGCAGAGCAAATACTCATACAGCACACAGTATGAGAGTACAGACGCTGACTCTCGAAGCAAAAACACAATTCAACTCAGACCTTGTTCTCCACGCTCTGCTGTGACGTGTACATTGGATTACACTGACCGCCCTGAATACGCTGCAAAGACTTCTCAACCTGGAGGGAAAAAAAAGAAAACGAACACGGTGACAATTCCAGATTGCAAAACACGACTGTGCTGCACTTTACATTTCTAGTGAAAAAGTCACCTTTTTTCATCCTCTGGAAAACGAACACGGTGACAATTCCAGATTGTTCTTTCAAAGCAAAACACGACTGTGCTGCACTTTACCTTTCTAGTGAAAAAGTCACCTTTTTTTCATCCTCTGGCTGGGTTTACGACTTATACTCAGGTGTGACTTGTATATTAAAATATCACAAGTTCGTTATTTTCACACTGTCAGCCACTAGAGGGCACTCTGGAGCGGATTATATCGCTGACAGCCACTAGAGGGCACTCTGGAGTGGATTATATATGTTTTTTTCTTCTTCATTATGCATTTTTTGGCTGGTGCAACATATATTCATTAATGTGAATCATTAAGGCAGATGTAGTTTATGGTAGATAATTAGTACTCTGAATTATTTGCCATGTATGTTTTAAACACCACATTATTTTAACAATCCAATTAGTACAGACTCTGTACTATAGACTTGGATTTTAACTATACGCATATATATATATATATACTATACGCATGTTACACTGTGCCAAAAAAGGCCTGCGAGCCTGTAGTTTGATGTGCCCTTAAGATTCTGAAAAAGGGGAATGTCATTTTAGTTGATCAATTTTCTGCAGGAACATCATGGAAACATTTACACCAATTCTGTGAATTCTGTGATTCTTCTTTCAAAGCTGCAATCTCTCATATTCATATTCTCTGAACGATGGAGTTCTTTGTTTTGCTCCTTCCCTCTTCTCCTTGTGGACAGAAAAACTCTCACTCACCAGGTGTAACAACACTCTCAGGGCGTCCCTGGCCTTCTCTGGGAACTGCAGTATCTCTGCCAGGGCTTGGCCCACCAGGGACATGGGACTGTTCAACTTCACATCATTCCCAATTAACATGTATCCTTAAAAGACAACACACACACACCAGGTCATATTCCTGTCTGGATTGTACAGATCTGTGTGAATGATTCCACCTACCAGCCCAGTTGGACGGGTGTGAGAAGTGCTTGCTGCTCTGCAGTGTCTTCATGGCCTCGGTCAGAGCAGCACTGGCTTTGGTGCCGTTGAGCAAGGCGGTGTAAAAGGTGTGTGTGAACAGTTTGGATGCTGCTACAGGCACCGGCCACAGGGAGACACACACACACTGGACGCCAGCTGCCAAGAAAGCCCGGGTCAGACCCACCACACCGTCGGCCGTGACCCTGCTGTTGGACTCTGGGTACAACCTGACGTGACAACAAATCACAGTTAGACTCAGGTGTGTGATTAAACTGTGACTCAGACGTCTTGTATTTTAGCTTCTGCTTGTTATTACTTCTAAATCAGTTCACAACATAGATATAAAATACTTCATCAACTTTGTGAGAAAGACTAACGTCATATAAACTCTGGTGTATTATCAATGTAATAAGAGCAATATGGTAAAAAAACAAAAAAACATTTTGACTGAAAGTTTTTACCTCAAAACCACCAACTTGACGTTCAAGCACAGGCCCAGGACGTCAGCAGCAGTAAGGAGGAAGTCTTGAAGTGCTGGAGTGTCACACACACTCTCCACTTCACACACACTGTCTCCATCCTCGCTGGCTTCACCTGCTGCCCTCAGCTTCTCTGGGCTGCTGTGGCTCTTGGAGAAGGACCGTCTCATCTCCCCATCCTGACTCACAGACTCAGTGGAAGGTGACACCCCGCACAGTGACTTTTCCCTGGGCTGGTTCCTGGTGCCCTCTGCTCCATGCTCTGGGGCGGGGGCGAGGACCAGGGCGGCCAGCTTCCAGGATATGTGCGTGGCGAAGTGAACGCACTCGGCTTGACCGAGAGCTGCCAGCACGCGCTCCTTTGTCGCATTTGTTCCAGTGAGCGGTTGACAACCGAGCTGATCGCCCAGCCACAGAGCTTCTTCCTGGGCTGAAGGCAGAGGCCCCCACAACCAGCGGCCCATCACGCTGGAGGGGAGACGGGGCGCTCCGACCACTGCAGCCACTGAACCTCCATCTGTGCAAAGTGACGGCCCACCACGCTGATGCTGAGGCTGTAGAGGACGCACACACACACATTTTAAAACATTCAGTGTTCAAGAGCTGACTGTGGCCTTAACACAAAGTACAGTGGAATAAACAGCACCTTGATTGTTGCTCCCAGACTGGCTAAAGAAGGCACAGAGATGAGACTGAATCTTTCGTAGAGGTACTCATTAGAGGAGCTGCCTTTGAGCAAGGCAAACGGGATCAGGTACAACTCTCCTTCCAGCACTAATATGAGTTGTCTGTGTCTGCCCACTGGACCACTGCTGTGCATTAGCCCCTGCACAGGAAACACCAGGAGAGTTGATTCATATACAGGAAGAATTTAAAAAGGAAATGTAATAAAAAAGGTACAATAATATACAAAATATATAATATTAAAAATCAGTGTTTAATAGAAGGGCATTATGTGCTTCTCTTCGCCAAGACCCTGTTTAAACACTGGCACTAAAAAGTACTAGAAGAAGACAGGGAAAAATATTTTTTCAAGTGATGAAACGATGACCTTCAGTCTGAGTGGATTATAAAGCAATGACAGAAAGATGTGTCTAACAAAGATAAAGATAAAGTGGAAAAGATTTCCGTAAAAATCAAAAAACAAATCAAGTAAAATTACAAAAAAATTAAAATAACAGTTGAAAGTTGTCACACGTATCAATGCTAACCTCTGCTCATGTTTCCTCTTTACCAGGTGTTTCTACGCCGATGATTCTGGTTGGAAATGTCCACCAGTGGAAAAAATGCCCAATAGAGGGCAGTATTAAAAACCCTAGATTTACAGAGATCCCTTAAAAAGCCAAGTCCTTCAGCTTATTGTTGCTCTAACACAGTCGATTATTTATACGCACTGGGATTTATGTCCATAAATGTTGCACGAGAATTAAAAAAAAAAAAAAAAATCATGTTAGCCTGAGACTTTTCTATGGAAGTTTTTTATCTACAGTTGCCTTCTCTCTCCAACACCAACAGCCGTGTTTACTGTGTTCACAGAACATTCTTTTTTACTCATGCATGTTGTCCGTACCCCTTCCATTGGTGCGATGAGTAAGTCATAAATGGCCCGCAGCGGAGGTTTGTGTATGTTACTTGGTCGACATGGAGGAGACGAAAGGCCTCCAGTGACCGGAGACACTGTAGCACTGTAGAGGCTGGTCATGCTCTGACAGCTTCTGTTCACGGCACAAGAACAAGAATGTTAAACTCGATTTCAACAAAGGTTGTTTTTTAAATGTGTTTACACCTGGACAGCAGATTAAGTTAAAAACAAAGAATCCATTATTTACACCTGGACAGCAGATTAAGTTAAGTAAAACAAAGAATCCATTGAAATGTTAATGTGAGGCTGTCAGTCAAACACTGTCCTCAAGACTGAGGTAGAATTAAACTGACCTGTTGAACAGGTTGTTCCTGGACACCATGCGTAGGTAGCCTGTGGGGTCGGTGGCTGTGATGAGTTTGTTGTTCAACTCCTCAAACTGTTGCTCTAACAGATCTCCTGCCTCACTTTCTGTCTCACTGCTGGAACCAATTCTGGGAAACAGAAAAACATCACATTTCTTCAAACAGAACTTTACTTTTTTATAGTCATTTTTTTAAGGTTTTTTTACTGTCAGTCCAACCCAGTGTGTGGATAATGTAGTGAAAACATTAGGAGCATATGTAAAAAAACACTACCTGCTGTAATGGCTGTCTACTCCCAGAGCCTCTCTGGCATTACAGATGAGTTGGTCCAGAGACAGAGGGATAACCCCCGCTCCTCCTCCTCCTCCTCCTCCTCCTGGTGGGCTTCCACTGCCGTCCTGCATCTCAAATCCAGGCTCGCCCAGATACACCTCATTAAACTTTAGGATACCTGTTGTGCAACATAAAGAACACAATGGCTGTATTGGTGTACATGGCCTACTGCTGTGTACAGTATGTGTATTTAACATAACATGTATTGAAAAATACAAATAACATTTATGCCATAGTGACAGGTAGAACAACAAAATACTATTCCACTAGGGGGCACAACATGGATATAAAAACATAGAGAGAAACTGTTGAAGATTTTCATTTTTTTCTCTTTCTTCAATTCCTGGAAGTGCTTGTCAAGAAGGGTTGAGCTCAGTATCCAAAGGTCATAAACAGCAGGCAAAAGTAATTATATCAGTTTCGTATTTAGCACAAGAAAGGGGAACGTGTGTCCAAATGTGTTACAAAAACATGTTGAGGCATGTCTCTAATCCAGGGAGTTTAAAGGAGGTCAAGGTTTGGAAAAACTACACAGTGATTTATATGAACCCATGAAACATGAATACGTGTGTGATGTCTTTAAAATTAAATCATTTATATTTTTATATATTTGCTTGTAACACAATATAGGGAATGTGTCTGAGTAAGACTAAGAGAATGTTCCTCTGTCATGAAATGTTTATTGTGGTGATGACAGAAGTCAGAAGAAGAGCTTCAAGCTGAAATCAATCAGAACAGAAATGCTGTGATAAACATCGTGATTCTCAAAATGTGTGAAACAAGTGATAAGAAGAAGTGCTGTTGTTAACATGGGCTGAGTGACAATGAAAATATGAGAAGTGTATAAACTGTTGGAGAAATAGGGAAGTTACAGGACAGATGTCCAGATGTCCAGATGTCCAGGTTCTCCAACACCACCACGAGGCAGTAGGGTCAGATTATACCAATAATGCCTCAGCACATTTATACATCATTAATTTACTATTATATATTAACCAAATCATATTTACCTGATTATTACAAGAGCTTGAATTTGTTCATGTGCTGTGCCCTTTTTATTCTAATCAATAACATTTTATACAAATAAATCATTGATTTAAAGATTAAGTGCCAGGATCATGAGAGGTGAGCTGTCACGAAGTCACCTCGTCCATCAGCCTCAGCAGACCTACAGAATCCTGAGAGCGTCCCGGGGGGACGGGGACCGCTGAGTGAAGTGGCGAAGCCTGCACCTCCTCTGGAGACGTCGGTCCTTACCCAACGCACGGAGGGCTGATCAGATACAGGTCAGCCCTCACTCGAGTGAGTGAGCGGCTGAGCTCGGTACCTGGGATCTAAGATGCTGTGTATCAGTTTTGTCTTCAACTAAACAAGCCCAGGGTTCACACTCAGTAGGTAAATTGTGAATATATTGAAACCAGAAGATCATCAATATACATGTAATGACATTTTTGTTTGTTGGTGCGCCTCAGGATCTTTTCATCTCCAACATCTTCAGTCCTATATATTAATAATATCTACGAATTTCAATCAAAATTCCAACATCTTCAGTCCTATATATTAATAATGATATTAATAATATCTACGGTTCTTTCAATCAAAATTCTGTATTATTTGATTTAATTTATTTTACATGTTTGATCTGATAATGGAACTAATGTTTATTACTCTATTACTCACACTTTGATCTGATAATGGAACTAATGTTTAATAACTATTACTCACACACATAAACTATGTACAACTTTATCAAAGAATTAGGACTTAGTTTTCAGTACCTACAAATGAACACACACCATCAGAGCCATGACTGGACTGGACCAGAAGACCTCATGTAAATGCCACCGGGTCATTAAAGTCACAAAGTGATTCATATTAAAATGTTTTGTCCCTGAAATGTTCTGAAATGTCATAACAATCAGAATCTCAAATGGTTATTACACCGTGGAGGATGAACGTGTTCTGTAAATGTCACGGCCGTCGACTTCCCTCCGACTCAGGCTTTTGTATCAACTCTCACCGACATTCAGGAGGTTTGTTCTCAGCGAGAACAATGTTTTAAAAGAGCAGCACGAGAACCTACACGTTCAACGGTTGTTTAAGACACGTCTCTCAGACTTTGTCACGTCTTATATCTTTGTTTTAAGGGTTGAGCTGTGTTTCACTTTAACGTCAAACCAAACTAGTTTTTAAACCTGGTAAAATTGTTGACGCTTGAGGTTTTTCATCTGATCTGAATTTTGGGCAAAGTTTTAAAAATTCCTGTACTGTATTTATAAATGCATATGTATATCTGTTTGAGGAGACCAAAAAAAAAAAAAAAACAAAACAAAGAAAACCAGAACACGTAATGTTCCCCAGATCATTTTGGGACTAAATTAAAAGGGTTGGAATTAACTGATAAATTGAGAAGAACTGTGTGGATGTACCTGCTCCTGGAGAAATCAGCCAGCTGTAGAGAGTTCCTCCAGCCAGAGAATAGTAGAGAACCATGGCCCTCTGACTGTTGACCGTCTCCAGGATGTGCTCTACAGTGACCGGGATATACGGGTCAGTGCCGGCGGTCTGTTGACTTCCTTTCTGGCGCTCAACCAGTAGGTCAGCAAAGGCACGTGTACGTCCTCTCTCTGCTATGGCCAGGGCCTCATTATGTCGGCCTGAGTGGAAACAACATCAGGAATCAGTCGAGAAACACAGTAAAGTAAAGGCCGTCTATATAACTGTGGTCCTGACTCTGACGGATGTACAGTCAGGAGGTTGGGTTGTCTGAAAATGCAGGGTAAAGATTCAGGACAGACGAAGACGGCAGCTCATTTACCTAGGCTGACCAGGACGCGCTGCAGAGCCTGGTAGCAGCTTGTTTGCAGGTCAAAGAGTGAGAGTTTGTAGTCGGTGCTGTGCTGCATCTCGTGACGGATGGTCTCGAATAACACGGACGCTCTGTACAACTGAAAAACACAGACGGCAAACAGACTTCACGCTGACTCTTCATACATGAGGAGCTGAACACACAGCTGTGGTGTGAAAAATAAACTTTTAATTATTCATATTTGTCACAAAAAGGCATAAAGATAAACGTTGACAAAAAAAACCCCATAAGAATATAGAATTATTTCGTAACTCTACCGCAAAAAAGCACTTTAAAAAAAGGAAATAATAAATATAAGAAAAGTAATTATATGCCCTTCAGTGTGTGTACCACCAGGGGTCCACGTGCCTTTGGTTAGGAACAACTGTTTTAGTTTAATTATCAGCCCTTATTATCTGCCACCAAATGATTGAGCTGTCAAACAGCATTAACCACTGGGTGGTAGCAAAGACACACAACGATGTATTGAAAACACCTGATCTTCTCTCCTCCACTGGATCCATCTCAGACAAAGGGGGAATAAAGTGAGTCATTTTGAATATTTCAACAGTGTAACAGAAGATATTTTGGAAATAATTTAAGCACCGGTATTTGTCATGATGTAAAAACTGCAGTAAGTCATGCTGATATTTGTTTAAACCCCTGTCTGTCTATGACCACCAACGGGAAAAAGTCAGGTCTGTCTATGACCACCAACGGGAAAAAGTCTGGAGACGATTATAATATTTGACCCTAAAAAATCTAGTTATTAAACATATACAGTTTTGAATATAATCCTCATCTTGACTGTAATCAGACCATAAATATAATCCCAACCCCAAATTAAAATACTTTGTCACTTAAGGGACCAGAAAAGTATCACCACAAGGACAGGTGCCTATAAAATGGTATTTTTCAAAAATAAAAAAAATCACCCCAAGTACCTTTCCTCTCATGCTACCTAAAGGCAGACATACATCCAGTTGAGGTAAGTGGGAGTTTTTAGCTCCTTGCAAACATGAATATTCAATGAGAACTGCTGAAGATGATGCAATTACTGACACACTTTAGTGAGGGAGTGGGTTTAGGTTTTGGAGAAACAGTTACAGTCCACTCGTACCTGCAGTGACAATAAATCAGTGTCACAGAAATGTCCCCTGAATCCAATGCTGTAATTCCACTTACCCTTCCTGCCACGGCAGCCATTTAAGGCGTTTTTGGCAACTTTACATCATTGGGTTAGACATTAGACCTGTGAGTGGACGCTCCCTGACCTACAGACGTAAGTATGAAAACACAGCGGTAGCCTGGACTGTGGTGGTGCAGCAGTAATGGGATTGCCTGATGAAGAGATAAGCTTGGCTCTTCTTCCGGCTCATACACATCACACACCTGGTGCTGTGACTCTTCCAGATTTCCGCTGGCCCACAGGGACAGACCAAGGCGATGCCGTATCTTTGCTTCATCTTCCCTGTGACCTAACTGCTCCGCCAGACGAAGACCTGAGGAGGAGAGACAATGGTGAGAGAAAGTATCAGATCCAGGCTGCTCTAGAAATTGTCACCTTTAAAAGTCCTGGTGTTTTGACACTTGGCTGCTGCTTCATAAAAAAAAAGCCTCACACTGAGCCTTCACACTCCCCTCTGTTTCTCTGCTCCTGCTCCTTTTGTTTCACTCTCCCTGTGTGCTGTTATTTTGTCAAATCAGGTTCAAGGGTTTTACTCCAGCTCTTCATCTATTTTGTAGCAGATGTTTTTTTTTCTTTCTTTACTGCTATGAAGAACAGAGGGCCAATGTAGGTTGTCTCATTTGGCAAACAAAAAAAATCCTCTCAGTCATGAAGTTTTATTCTCAGTGATAAAGTTTTATATTCCATATATTCCTGCCGGTGTGTTCCTGTTTGGTCCTTGATGTTCCCAGGCTTTGGTTCTGGTGTAGGCAGGAAATATGAGGTGAACTGAGGGTTAGTTTCAGCTCTGAGCTGAACTTCCCCTGGCCTTTAAATTTAACCATGGATTAGAGGAATCATGAGTTACAGCGGTGTTTTTCAACCACAGGTTCACAACCCAACATGGGGTCACCTGGAATTCAAATGGGGTCGCCTGAAATGTCCAACAATTGATACAAAAAAATTACTGATAAAAATAATTTCTTAACTAGTTTTTATCCTTTGAAATATTATGATTAAAAATGCCACATATATATCATATCATATATATATCATCTTGATTTGGCAGCTGTGATCACATGCCTCTGGGATCGCCAGAAATTTGTGATGTCAAAATGGGATCACAGGTCAAAAAAGGTTGGGAACCAGTGAGTTACAAACCAGCTTTACAGCAGGATTCTAAAGTCAACCTTAAGTTAACCTCAAACACAATTTGGAAAAATATTTCACAGCAGTAAAATAGAGTTTTGGTTGCTGTAAAAATGTTTTAAAAAAGAGTTTGTAAAAAATGTAGCACAGTTTAGAATTTGACTCTAGACCTAGAACTCTTTATCTAAGCCTTGAATAATGTATTTTACACATGGAAAAAAAATTCAAAAGGAATCACTAATAGGTTTGTAGATTTACCACTGGCATGAGTTGAGAAACATTTGTGTGTTTAAAAAAAATCTTTGTCAATAAAAAAGTGAAATTACACAGGATCACTGAGAACACACCATGTGCAGGAGAGTCAGCTGAGGGCACAACAACCTCGCACCGATCTCCTTTTAGCTCGCGTGAGACTCATGAATATCTTTCATGCTTCTTTAAAGGATTTAAAAATGCAACTCACTCTTTTCTTCAGCTTCAACAACCAAGACTTTAAATGAGATGCACAAACAAAGATCAAAGTTGTTGCTTACAACCATCTGCCCTCTAAACAGAATCTGTAATACTGCAGGGAAAGGTGAAATGTTAGGAACCTTGGTACAGATTGCTGATGCACGTCAAATGTTGTTGGAGCTGCTGGGAGTGGAGGCATGAAGTAGCAGAGACCGAAGTAACAAGAGTGGAGTTTAGGCTGACGGTTCAATTTCGCAACTTATAAATAAACTTCCCGACAAAAACTCCAAATCATTGCTGCCTGAAAACTAAGAATTTTAAATAACAAATAGATTATCACATATAAATACATTAATCAGTCACGGCTCAAATATAGCAGAACGCCACAACATCCTTTCTTGTTTTGTCCGTTTTGTCTGTTTTTGACTAGTTTTTCAGTATTCTGGTGTTCCATTGATCCATTTTCTACCCCTTATTCGTTTGCATGGTACTGTGGGTTGGGGCAGTAGGGGTCTAGAAGAAGAGATTGCCTAAAGTGTTTCTCCTACCTTCCTGTAGGTACATCACAGCCTGTGTGCAGTTTTGCAGAGCATGGTGTATCCTGCCCAGGCTTCCGTAGGCTAACATTTTAGCTGCTAGATCGTTGGTCTGTGCTGCCACGCTGAGGTGTTGTTCCTGAAAAACCACGGCTCGCTCGTAGTTTCCCAGAGCTTCGTAGGTCAGTCCCAAGTTGCCGTAGGCTCGGCCCTGGCTGCCCAGACACTTCAACTGCTCGGCTATATCCAAAGCCCTTTGGTGCCACTGGAGAAAAACATGTTTTTAGATCATCAAAAGCTGGATAAAAAACAAGTAAGTAACTGAATTACGAGACTTAAGATGATCTCTACAACTGTTGTGATGGTTATAACTTCATGCCTTATGTAAAATAAACCTAAATATTAAATATGTTTTATGAATAAAATGGTAATTTAAAGAGAAAAAGAAAACTGGGCAGACTTAGCCTTGTTTTAGCCTCCTAGCTAGCTGCTCCTGCTACTCAAACATATACAATCCAGCCTCTTAGCCAAACCTGTAAATGAGCTAATGAATATGTTACGGTATTTTGAAAAAAAAAAAAAATCCCCCTCCTATAAAAAATTCAACTGAACTGTTAATTGTTAATTGTAGTAGTGTTGTTGTTGTTGTTGTTTAACAATGTTTTTTAGCTCGTATGCTAACAGGTCTGCTGAAGATCATTCTCGTTAAACCACATATTATTGATCAACTAATGTATTGTATTCAATTTCATCAAACAACCCTTGGCTCAGTGCTATCATATAAAGTAATCTGCATCTTGTCTGGGGTCAGGCCTTTTCAGTGGACTAATATTATAAACACAGTAATCACTGTGGCATTTGAAGGCACCATACTTCACCGCTTGGCTAAGAGAGCAACTGCAGCCTTTCAACTGCATCTAACTGTCACCAAAATAACGAACAAGCAAATTCGTAAAAGGTCGAGTCATTTGTTACGATGACACACAACAAACACAGAGTCGTGGTTCAAACCTGTAACGCTGTCTCATTGTCTGCCATCAGCTGATAAACGCCTCCAAGAGCATCACTAGCTTCTGCTTCCAGGGATTTATCCTGACGGCGAGAGCAGGATTTGGGGATTTACTGGTCGATACACTGTGCTCACTCATGAAGATGATTGTTTCTCAGATTTAACAGGACAAACTTTGACACTGCCAAATAAAAGAACAGGCTCATGCGGCTGAAGCCTTACCCCTGCTGCGCGTGCTAGGTTAAGCTGGTGTTCCAGGCAGGAGAGGGCCTGCTCGTAGTTACCCAGCTGGCTGTGTAAGGTGCCCAGCTCCCCATAAGCCTGGGCCTTACTCCCCCCGTCTCCCCCCAGCTCATGGGCAACCACCAGCCGCTTCTCAAAACACACCAGTGCTTGCTGAAGATTACCAACAGACCTGAGGAAGAAAAGACAAGATAACCCTCGTAATGTCCTCACTGATGTCAACGTCTTTGGTCCTCTGGGGGTCAGAACCACCTTCACGTATCTTGACTGTTATTTAAAGCCTGAATTGTCAATCAAGTTTGGCTTTACCAGATTTGACCAGATTTAACCAGCTGACTACATCTAGGTGTAACTTTTTTGTCCTTTAAGAGACAAAGATGCAACAATAAGATGAAATGTGCAAAATCCATTATTATAAAAACAGAAGATCAAGTTAATAGTTTCCAGTGAAGTCTATACAGTAAGGTGAAGAGACACTGTGGAGATGGGGAGCAGCTCACAGTTGAGGCTCAACGGTTACAGTAGGCACAATGGAATTTGGTAAACAAACTATTGCATCATGGGAAGAAACAGGTGAAGTCAGCATTTAGAAGAGATGGGCTGGTTCCTCATATTATTTCACTAGCAGTAGCAGAGGAAATGTTCCCACTTCAGGGTTTCAGAGGAACTCTGACAAAATCCAAGCGTTGGCTTATTGAAATATTTTGCTTTTCTGAGCTTTAGTCTAAAACGATAACCAATTCTGCCCTGATGATAATTTTTAGCCAATGTAAAAACAAAATTGTCAGGAAACAGGTTATTAAAATATTGAGAAATAATATTCAACATAAAATTATATACTGCTGTAAACCTAAATCTATTAAAAAAAAAAAAAAGTCTTTGTAGTAATTACTAACTTCCAGCTCCGCCTTCACTAAAGGCGGCAGACACCATGGTGGCTCCAGTGTTGGACTGATTCGTAGCATATAATAAACATCGTTCTCATTTCCTACCTGTGTGAACTGCCCAGGGCTCTGTAGGCTCTCTCCTGATCCTGGACATGGTTCAGACTCTGAGCTACAGTCAGGTACTTCTCATAGTACTGAATGGCCTCCTCGTAGTCTCCCAGAGCATCGTAGCAGTCGGCCAGGTTTCCGTAGGCTCTCCCTCTCTCCATCATGCCCTCAGACCCACTCAGCTGCTGCAGCATGGCCAGCTGCTGTTCAAAGTAACCGATGGATTCCTCAAACAGGCCCATGTTAATCTTGGTGATGCCCATGTTGCCGTGGACCTGGGCCTCCAGACGGGCGTCTCGTAGCCCCTGAGCCAAACCCAGCTGGGTCTCATAACACTGGAAGGTTGTGGCGTAGTCACCCAGAGCCATGTGTACTGCAGCCAGGTGACCGAGGGCGTGGCACTCCCCCTGCTGGTCGCCGAGGTCCCTTCTCAAGGTCAGTTCCTGGCTGTGGAAGGACAAAGCTTTGTCCTGCTGTCGGAGCAGCCTTAAAAAAAAAACCCAGAACATTCATTGTCATTTTTGTTGCTGTTAAAACAAATGTGTATTCGTACCATTAGACTATAAATATTATATTACTGATTTTGTGTGTCTCACCTGTGAACAGAGCCCAGGGCTGAGTAGGCGTCGGCTTCCATCCTCAGGTCACTGACTTTCTGAGCGAGGGTTAACTGCTGCTCATAGAACCTCACAGCTCCAGGAAGATCTCCTCGAGACACACAAACATCCCCTAGGTTTCCAAAAGCCCTGAAAACCGCCTGCATGGAACAAGAGTGCAAAGAGATTGTAAAAAAAAAAAAAAATCCTGGAAAAAATGTTACATTTTTTTATTGTACAGCAACTGCTGCTAGATGACCTGGTTGTTGTCCAGGGCTTGTGCTAGAGAAAGGAGGTATCGCTGACACTCCTCCGCTTTGCTATACTCTCCCAGTGCTTTGTGGGCCAGGCCAAGGTTACAGTAGGCTTTAGCCTGGGATAATTTGTCCTGAAGGTCTTTGGCCAAACCAAGGTGCTGCTCATAATACCTGAGATTTGGTTGAAACATGCAAAAAAAAAACAAAACACAATCAGTATTAAAGGATTTTAATTTTAGCACATCTATCTCTATCCAATAACTCCACCCTGCGTCCACGTACTGTTGCTCTAATTGGGTTAGGTTGTGACTCTGGTTCTCCTTGCCTTTGACACCATATAATAAATTCTATGATACAGTTGAACAAATTGAATGCGGTGCTTTTTATAGAAGACCGTAATAATACTTTGTGCCTATCATTAACATTCTGCAAGTCATGACATCGAAGAGGAATAGTGTTATATCAAACCCAGTCTGCCCGGCAACACAGAGAGCCATAACAGCATTTACTTCGTATAATGTTTGGACTCCAGGACCACATAGTGGAGGAGTGGGTTCTTCTATAATAGCTATTTGGTCGCTGGTACGAATCCCTAACGATAATTCATGGTCTCTCCGTATTAAGGTTTTTACGTTCTCTTAATTTCCAACAACACACAGGATAAGGTTATCTAGACTACATTTTGTAACTTCACCTCACGTCTGAACGTCCATTTTACTGAACCATTTGAAGTGTAATTGATGGGGATCGGTCTCTAACCTGACGGCGTCTTTGTACTGCCTGAGGCAGTACAGGGCATAACCAAGGTTGTGGCAAACTTTGCTTGCTCCCTCAAGATCCTGCAGGCCCGGCTCCACAGCTAGATACTGCTGGTAGTACGGCAGGGCCTGAGCGTATTCTGCTCTCCAGCTGTGAAAGTTGCCCAGATTCACTGAAGAAGAAGTCGACACGTTAACGGAGGCACCTTCGCGGTTGACGCAGCTTGATCAATCTGAACTTACCTAGCGCTCGTGCTTCGCTCTGAACGTCTCGAAGTTCTCGTGCAATGGTGAGGTGGTGGAGGTAATGCTGCAGAGCCCGGTCATGAGCCCCGAGAGCCTGGTACGCTACTGCTAGGTTACCGTGCGTGGAGGCCTGTGACGAACGATCGCTAATCTGAAAGATAATGCATTCACATCAATCAATTTGAACAAGTTGTTTGTTTGTTCAGATCAGTTCATCACAGCGTTTTTTTTGTTTGTAACCAAAAACTTTACAGATCAGTTCATCACAGCGTTTTTTTTTTTGTTTGTAACCAAAAACTTTGCATTAGTCAAGTCATTAACACCTGATGAAAAAGTAAGTGTCCAATCCGTGCTGGTTTCATCGTGTAAACTAGAGGAACAAATGAGGCCCAGAGCCAATCAGAGCTGAGGTTAACAGGGTAAACAGCCATCCAATCATAGAGTGTGTGTCTGGTAGCAGAATAAACAGAACTATTTTACCATTAATGTTACTGTAAACTATGTGGAATGACTGTGTAAGAAAAGAACATAACTAATGACCTAGACAGAAAAGTAAACGAACCGAACGACTGATGTGTGAAATTATCTTCCTGAGATATGAAGGAATAATATAACACTAAATAATTTGTTGTAGTATAATAATATATGCCCAAGAGAAAGAAATAAACAGTGATGAATAAATAATAGTTCAATAAAACAGTTTCCTGTAGGAATGTCATAAAAGCCTAATTAATATTTTATAGTCAGAGTTCATTACATTTTATTGATTAAATCTACACCTCTGCAGAGTCATGTCAGTCACCTCTAGCGACATCTGTAGTTCTTGTCGGTGGTAGCGGACAGCCTGGTCATAGACGCCGAGCGCATGGAAGGCGTTGCCCATGTTTCCGTACGCCCTCCCCTGGGCGGCGTAATCACCCAGCTCCTGGGCGAAGGCCAGGTGGGATTTGTGGAGTTTCAGCGCCGTCTCATAATCTCCCCTCATCTGCTGAATGATGCCTGAGTGACGGGGGAGACAGTTTAAAAGAATGAAGCAAATCCCGCAGCTTCTACTTCTGCAGGCAGCGGGGACCACTTCACTTTGGTTTTCTCCATTTTGATATCACTAAGAATGACATTTAATTCCAACGGTTTAACAATCACAGGCTGTCCACTCACTAACAGTTCAGAAACTGTGATAGAGGAGCAGCATGAAGCCGGAGAGAAATCAATGCAGGCGCAGCTGTGGTGGAGTTTTAGAGAGAGAGAGATTCACTCTTATCACAATATCAAAAGCTGTAGATCGATCGTGACACTGACACAAACAGAACACAATCTTCCAGTCAGTATCAGACAGTATCATTTGGATGTAGTGTATAGAGCTGGACTCTCTCTCTCTCTCTCTCTCTGTCCACCCACCTTCTCATCCCTGCATCATTGCCCATTGTCAACTGTACTGCAACCCAACCCGTGGGCTTCAGGATATAAAATATCACTCACTTCTATTCATCGTTTGTGTTTTTTAAACGAAATGAAACGACTGCAGCCTCCACACCAAACTTTGTTCATATATATATATTTGACATTCATTACAAAAACCCTTTTCATTTAGCAATGAATTATCTTGGATCATATGAAAGTGTGTCATCCTGGGGTTGAATAAGTTCAAAGTCATCAGCTACACATTTTAATGTCTGCATTTCTAACCCAATCAAACAGTGGTTACAGGTTATTACTAAAGAGACATTTAAGTCAAACAGTATGCGATTCGACCTGTGGAGTTCACCTTTTATTTTGTTGGTGCATAGTTTTTGTTGGCGTCTAATAACACAGGTGTAAAAAAACTCAGGCCGGCGGACATGTGTTTCCTCTGGGAATCAAACCCAGGAATTGATGCTTTCTCGACATGTGTTTCCTCTGGGAATCAAACCAAGGAATTGATGCTTTCTCTGCTGTCAAGGCAGGCATGCTAACCACTACACCATGGAGCCATCCACTCTCAGTTGTTGAGGCTGTGACAAAATGTGGCAGCGCAGTGTTCCAAACGTAAACAGTACAGAATTCAACGACTCTTAGGAATTATATTTCCTAAAATGACAGCTGCTGTGTCCGCCCAGGACCGGAGCCGCCCGTCTGTCCCCTGAGAACCACTGTTTTGACACTACACTCAAGTTGTTTTTTCATGATCACACAAGTCTGAGTCTAAGATTCAAGTCTACTCCACAGCCTAATAATAAATACAAAGTATTAAACATATAAGAAATGTATGGGGTTTTTTTTTTTCGGGAATGACCAGTAATTTTAAATATTCATCGCACACAGAGAAAAAGAGAAACTTATGTTATGGTGAATTTAAATGGGGAGACGTTTTTCAACTGTAAAAAAAACCCATACAGTGCAGAAGGATAAATAATTAAACAGCTCCAAACACCCAGGAATGTAACAACAGTCTGTGGATCTCCGAGCTACACAGCCCGCGTACACAGGGCTGCAGGTTTTCCAGACTCTGTCAAGGGGAACGAAACTAGAAAACATGGCTGGGAGCAGCCGTACAAAGTCTCTGGGCTGTCCTGTGTCGACACCCAGGGTTTTCAGATGTGGAAAAAGTTTGAAGAGAGAGAGACGCTGGTGAAAAAGGAGCAGCAACAAATAAGAGGGAGTTTTACAGAAAAGTTTTTGAATAAAAAATATTATTATTTTACAGAACAAGTTACAGTTATACATCTGTCAATTAGGGTTAAAAAAACCAGTATGTTATACATCTGTCAATTAGGGTTAAAACAAAAACAGTACGAGAATGAGTACTTTTATTTGTGTACTCGTTAATACTGAGTACTGCCACTGATACTTTTACAGGTCGGATCTCATTTATATACATTGGTGACACAGGGTGTGAGAGCTCGACCTAAACCACAGTGAGGACACGCAGTAAGAAAGTGATTACAACCAGTTGTGTTTTTTTTTTCATTAACAGAAGAGTCTTAATTTCTAATAAAAAAATAAAAAAATATTTCTATATTCACCACAGTGTCATTTGAACAGAGGCGAATATTTCCGAGGAAACCAAGTCAAATCAGCTTGGCCTCCTCACAGACAACAGAGTGCAGTACCATGTTTTCAACTCTCATTCACCACATAACGTTTAAAGGGGGCGCTGTTTTACACATCATAAAATGCTCTCTTAAAGAGAGAGTGTTAGACCATAGAAAATTAAAAGGAATGATAATAGACAGTATTCCTGTCAGTCAGCCCATTAATTCACCAAAGCAATTCACAAACGAAACACTGGTTAAGTAGAGAGAGTGTTAGACCATAGAAAATTAGGGAATGATAATAGACAGTATTCCTGACAGTCAGCCCATTAATTCATGAAAGCAATTCACAAACGTAACATTGGTTAAGTAAAAAAAATTGAATTTAAATATTTATCTGTGTTGCTACTGAATAAAGTTAAACTGGTGGATCTTACTGCTGCAGGAAGACGCTGCAGCCCTGCTGTTGCTTTATATCTTCTTGTTGATGCTTCAACAGTTTGAAGTGAGTAAGCAGTCTCTAAACATTACGACCAGAAAAACAATCTTTGTCTCAGGCTGTGTGTGTGTGTGTGTGTGTGTGTGTCAGAGGTTGTCGAGACACCAGATGGAGAGGATATATGATGTCATGTGTGTATGAAGGAGGGAGCTGAAAGGACAGAAAGAGTGAGAGAGAAACTGTGAGTGTCCCCTTCAAGATCCATTCATTTCCTCCAGCTCTAATACTTTAGGCAACTGTTTCAGACTGGGCTGTTGATCAGCAATATTTTCTTCTAATTCTGCTAATTAACTGTCAATACCCTGTTGTTGCTGAGGCCTTCTGGCCACAAAGTCAGATGAATGACTTTGGTCATCGGCCAAAAGTGGTTAGTGCTTTTGCCTTACAGCAGTGGTTCCCAAAGTGGGGGGGGGGGTCTTTCCAGGGGGCATGCAGCTTTTATGAGGGGAATATTTCTTTAAATGTCCCACAATGGAGGAACTGCAGCGGTTTGTGATGTTATTTTCTTTGTTTGGTGAGAATAGGGGTTTTGTAGGAATTACAAAATCTGAAATGGAGTTTTTAAGCAGTAGCTGTGAATGTGTCCACATGGGGGTGCTGACGGTACTCCTGTCTGCAAAAAAGGGGCATTGCAGAAAAAGTCCACTGGGTCAGAGAGTAAAATCCTGATCTTTCTGTATATTTACATCACTTACCATATTTTCTGGACTATAAGTCGCACCTTTTTCACCCTTTGCTGGGTTTGCGACTTATACTCAGGTACTGCAAATTATATATGAAAATACATTATTTTCACACTGACAGCCGCTAGAGGGCACTCTAGGCTTGTGTACCAGTATTTGCTACTTCTGTAAGTGACACTTTTTTTCAACCTTTGGCTGGTGCGACTTATACTCTGAAGCGACTCATAGTCCGGAAAATACGGTACTTTTAGCAGCATGTATAAATGGCGGATGTGTGATATTGTTGACCTGTTCATAAGTAAACCCTTAACACTGGTTTTACCTTGATGACTAGGTCACAATGGTCTCAATGGTTTGGGCTAACTGAAAATTCTCAACCGTCTCTGAATGCTGCGAAGTTGCAGTTGACACGTACTGTAGGTCAAGAACTGCTCAAAGTAATTTCATGTTGACTTTTGTAGAACGCCAGTGAAAGAGCAGAATCTGGACAGACCAGTTCTCCTGTGTGGGTTCAGGTGATGGATCTTAGTCCAAATGAGCAGCACAGGCAGGAACACCACAAAAAAACGAGGATTCAATTAGACCAGTTGAATTTTAAATCAAGGTCCAGACCTTTCACTGGATGAAGGGGAACTTTAAAAGTGACCACAGCTGAATGGAGCCGCATGCTAGCAGAAGGCTTGCTAGCATCGTATGTTACTGTAAAAAGAACGATAATGAGGATTTAAATGGTAACATCATAAATTTCCAAAGAGTTTTACTGCGCAGTACTTGGCATGTCCTACATTGGATATTTCGGGAATCTGCACAATGCTGCAGTATATGACGCCGGTGGTTCACAGTTCAGTCTGAGTGAAAGAAACAACAGACTAAAATATATGAGAGGAGGGAAGGAGACAAGGAGACAAATGAAGTAGGGAGAAGGGAATGAGGATGATACAGTATAGAGGGCAGGAGAGTGGAGTCCAGGTGTAGAAGGAAAAACGGAGGAAAACATGGAAAAATATTAAATGGAAAAAAAAACTAGAGTCGTTTAGATATAAATGAAGAAAAAATAAACAGAAATATAAATTCAATTCCATATCTTAGTCGGGGTAGAGAACTCTAGGTTAATATTTGAGAAAAGAAAACATTAAGGGAAAAGTGAGAAAATACATTTTGGATGAAGCAAAAGAAAAGAGGAGACACCAAGTAAGAGAGAATAAGAAAGGATGAAAAAAAAAGAAGTAAAAGTTCGATCAGGCAGGATGATGGACGACTAGAGGAGGGGTCAGGTATTTGGATGACGAGAGGGAAGGAAACAAAAGAGGAGACGAGGAGGAAGTGTTGTCAAGTCAGCAACCAGAAACAGAGGAACATAATCAGCCAGAAATGATGATCTGAATCATTGATCTGAACCACAGTCTGAAGCTCGTCTGTCAGGAGAGTCAGCCGCTTCAGCGGGAGTTCATTAGTCACACATCAGAACATGTTCAGTACGCTGCAGGCTGTGGCTGCGTGTGTGTGTGTGTGTGTCTATACCTTTGTTTTAAAAGTAAAAACACAAGTTTTTTCATCTCTGAGGTGACGCAGACTCTCTAGAGAAGGATCTAAGACAACACCGAAATTTGAAAGCCGTCCATGCCAACAACTGGACGTGATGCTGCCCACAGGCCGTCACAGTGGCGTGGCTGAGACGACGCTCGGATTACAGCTGTAATCTCAGACAGAGAGGTGAAGCGTCCACTCAGCGACTGGTCTCCAGTTCACCGGCTCTCAAATATCTCTGTGTTCGCAGAAAACCAAACCGGCGACATGTTTAATAAAACATGAGCCTTGACTGAGTGGAGAGACACTGCTGCAGTCATCGGTGACTCACAGAAAGGCAGTGATGGACCAGGACCATTAAAAAAAGGAACAGTTGGGCAACGCTGCTGTCACTTCCATCCACTCCAACAGTGTCTCCATGACTGTGGACACCCGCTCCTGTCACTGTCACGGCAGCGACACAGCTGTGGAGGTGAAGTGACTGCTGTGAGGCCCACAGACAGCACAGACTCCAGTAAGTCACGTCAGTCCACTGGTCTCCAGACAAGAACTTTTCATCTGTCTGAATTGGATTAATAATAAGAATAAGAATA